ATTTGGGTCAGGTTTTGGGTGTGATTCATGAAGACAGCATTTTTCCTACCTACAAACATTTCTCTGTAATAACAATAAGGCCCTTGTAGTTTGAACTAATTTTGAAACAGTTGTAAGAACACCTCCCCATACTCACTCATCCCACAAGTCAAATGAAAGTTAGATAGGAAAACAGAATGTATATATTGTCTTTCCTCAGACATTGTCAACTTTGTTAAAATACCTAATACCTAGTGCAATGCTCTTAAAAATGAATTTGAAGTGAGTTTGAACTCCTAATCAAGAAGAGAAAACTAAGAGAATTTAATTTTTATCCAATTACTCATTTACTCATTGAAATCATGTTAGGTGGAATGCTCGATAAATAACTTTAGTGAACTGTATTCCAAGGGCAAACCCACTAACTTGAAAACAGTACCATATCACCTTCAGTTCTTAGGTATTCAGAAATATTGCTGGTCCTCTGAATTTCTCAGCTCTCCAAGACGGTATGATCATCAAGACAGGAGGACAACCAAAGCCAATCTCAATACATCATCACAGAGCTACGGAACTTATGGTACCCAGCAAACACTCTTGAGTTTCTATACTACATTATTGTATTTTCCTTCATTTATTATTTTCCTTTTCAGGAATCTTGCTTTTATTTGTCAGGATTATAATATTTAGACGGTCAGTTTAAATAATAGCGATTCTATACAGAATCATTGAATGGTTTGGATTGGAAGGGACCTTAAAGATCATCAAGTTCCAATCACCCCTGCCATGGGCAGGAGTACCTTCCACTAGACCAGGTTGCTCACCATGACCCAGCAATGTGCACTTGCAGCCCAGAAAGCCAACCATACCCTGGGCTGCATCAAAAGAAGTATGGCGAGCATGCCAAGGGAGGGATTCTCCCCTTCTCTTGTGAAACCCCACTTAGAATAATGTGTTCAGCTCTGGGGTCCTCAGCATAACAAGGACATAGAAGTATTAGAATTAGTCCAGAGGAGGGCCAAGAGAACGATCAAAGGGCCAGTGCACCTATCCTATGAGGACAGGCTGAGGGAGTTGGTGGTTCAGCTTGGAGAAGAGAAAGCTCCAGGCAAGACTTCATTGCAGCCTTCCAGTACCTAAAGAGGGCCACCAAAAGCCTAAAATCAAGAAAGCTCCTAGGTATTTACATATGTTTTAGTGAAGAAAGGAAAAGGCAAAAGACTATGTATTTAAAATAGTTTTAACAGACTTATTATTTGTAAAACTTCCTGAAACATGTTTGTCAATACAGCAGTTTAAATAATCATCCTACCTACTGTATGTCCACAATAAATCTCTTTTTATTTCCCATGAAATCAAACACAAACAAGCTGTAATACAAGATCCATAGAATGACAAATCAACAAATTATTTTTTCAAGTACACAATTTGTCTTGTTTTTATAATTTTTGATTTAAATTCGTTAAGTATTTTTAGACTACACAAAGTACTCAGACAAGTGTTTTGTGTTACGCTGTTAGTAGAGGCATTCAACCACATCCACGAATATTCACAGAGTTGGTCTTATAAACTTTTCATCTAAAATTGAAATCATTCCAAATGCAGAAGAGAATAGTTTTACCCATTTGCACAAAATATGACTGAAAATCCATTTTATTAAGATGTACTGTCAACTATACTTTGGTATTCAAAATGAAAAGAGTGGGATGCCTTCTTAACAATTAGAGAAAATCCATTCTGCCTTCATTTGCTTTATTCCTGCATCTGGGATTTACCCATAATATTACCACTAATTGTCTTTATTCTGTAAGAATGATTTCATCCATTATTTTATCTTCAAATAACAAAAGTCAAACAACATCCTGTCTCCTTCATTTGGATTCTCTATCACTGTTGCATTGTTTTCTCCTTTCAGCTTAACATCTTTTCTACGCTATTAGTCATGTTCTCCTTTTCCTTTGGGAAAAATAGCTTTTCCAATTTTCTTTTCCAAGCCACTTATACATTTTACTATCAACAAGTTTACAGTCTATTTGTTGCATCACAGTTAAAACCTGGGCTTTTATGTAAGAGTATTTGCCATTTAAATAGCCATTATATAAAGGGAAAGAAAATTATAAACATTTAAATGCATCACTTTATGAATAAATTCAAAGTTGGTATAAATAACAGTACAAAGAAATTATAAATTTAAGTTCCTTCTTTGGCACCAGGTAAAAGCAATTAAGCGATCCCAGGATCCACTTTCTCTGTGTATCAACAAAGCCAACAAATCTTCTAAGCCTCCAAGTTTTATTATCATATTCCTTAATCTCTATAATAAGCTAACTGATGAAGAAAAGTGAGTACACAGAGATCTGTAAAACAGATAATATAATAACCCATTCACTAACTACCCATCTGACTCTCAGAGGTGCACATTCATTAATTTAATTTATAGTTCTTATATTTAATTATTTCCTACACAACCCATGTAGCAAGGGAAGGCTATACAGGCTATGTACTATGACATGCTGTCTTCCGCTACAATTATCAACTAGTTGGTAACTACTAGCTGTCTTATCAAATGAAAGAAATACCAGGATGCTGGGCTTTGATTACCTGTAGTAAATCTCTGTCATTTTATTTCCATGTTTCTAATTATTCATTCTATAAAAGTTTGTTCTAAAGCCTTGAATACTATGAAGAGTGGAGGACCCACAACTGGAATGTTTGTGACACCAGAGCATCTAAAGCTAAATAAATTCATTACTACAAGGCAAAAAGTAAGAATTTTTTTAAAAATCATTTAGGAATACTTTTAAGTGAACAATGCAAGGGGTATGTTTTGCGAAAATCTATCAATAGTAGTCATAGCTAGTTAGTTCATCTGATCCCTCCTCAATTCAGACTTGATTAGCAGTTTCTGGGTCATCACACCCTTTCAGCTGGACCACCGTATTGGTAATGCTTTGTAAGAGTAGAAGTTAACTATAGCAACATATGCGGCTACTTAAAACTAAAGCCTTTGATTGTTGCTCCAAGTATATCAGCTGGTATTCCTGGTTCCCAATACTTTTATCGTTGGTTGCTAACCTCATATTGGCTGTAAAGCTAATACTGGGCTGCAGGGTCTGCATCCTGTGACCTTTCAGAAGACTCCTACTTCTTATACTGTATTTGTTGGAATTTTAAAGCATATTTACTGTTTTGTGTTACATAGGAAACTAATGACTATGTAACCACATTTTAAAAAGCATCACTTCCTTTTTCTTAGATACTTATAACCAGCATCTGCCTACAGAAGTAAACTGAAAAGACCATCTTTTACTTAGAATTACAAAAATTGTCACATCAAGTAATGTGCAAATGTGCGTGTACTTGTGCATATTTGTAGGGAACAAATGAATGCTCTTTATAAATAGAAGGCATAAGATTATATACTATCTTTGGTGCTCATTGAATAGATTAATTTTCACCACTCTTCTCCATATAATATTTAGCCATAACTTTGCCTATAGCTTGAAATTAAAATGCAGGCTGACAATTTTTGAAAGTCTGAACCAGATCAGATACAATAGAATTAAAAACTAAGTTTTGCTTTATTTTTCTACGGACTTAAAAATGGCGCATAAGGCCTCAGGGAGATCATCTTAGCAGATAATTACTCACTATTCATATATCAGGGTCTTGGTGCTATCATTTTAATAAAATGAAGGATAATAATAGAAATGTTCAAGCCTGAAAGATCAAAGTATGTTCTCTTTCAATGTTCTTTATAAGTGGAGGTAGAAAATCCTGACGGGATCTTGCTGTTCTTGTAAAACAAATAATCTGTATTGTTCTACGAAATATTTACGATAACACTTTGCTTTTATTTGTTATTGCTAATGTTGTTTTGTTATTGTTTTACTTTTGTTACAATATTTCACAAAACATTTTTAATAATAAAGTCAGCTACCAGAAGCTATAACTAAACTTAAAAGCTTTCTCTCATCTTATCGGAGTCTACATCAAATCTAAATATAAAATGACTAACCAAACAATTAAAATATAGTACTTACTCTGTCTGACAATAATTGGCCCATAATTATCAGTACTGAGTCTTGAATGAAAGCCAGAACAAAGTTTTTAAAGAAAACATATGAAAAGAATACCTTATAGGTAATGTGTTCTGCTAAAACTGAGGGAATAGAATCGAATGAAAGATTTATTCAGGTATAGAATAGGTATAAATCTTGAGGTATTCAAATACTAGTCTAAAATATTGCACGAAGACACAAAACAGATAAGTCAGTCCTATTTATAGACTATATCAACTCATAAGGCATGTTAATAGTTCTCAAGGTTTATCTACATGATAATTTTCAGTAGAAATACTTTATTCTCCTGAATAGGTCAGGTTAGCTCCAGCCATTTATAGATGTCAAAATACAGTCTTCTCACCATGTAGCGCTTCATTTGTCAGGCTTAGTTAGATCCTCTATCAAAAATTTGTATGAAAGAGGTGGAACCAAAGAATCTACTTCAATATGGAAATTATGATGACTACATCATTCATTTTAATTAGATCCAAAGCTTGTCTTACTCCATTTGACAACACAGAAGAAACGATTGGAAAAAAATTCTTTGTACATATGATGTAAGCAAAAGAGAGTAACTGCACAGGACTATGAAGTGCTTTGGGCTCTTTCGTTTTGACAGATAAAAGCAGAATTACCAGTGCTGCCTCAAAAGTTTCTCTAACTTCTCCCTAGGTCATGGAATGTCTCAGGCAGTACAACTGAAAAATAACTGCTGCATCCACTGCCCATGTTACATTGTGTTATTCAGCCTGTACCGGGTTGAAATGCAGTTGTTGACCAAAAAATGTAACAAATGGAAAACAAACAAAAAGCAATTGTTATCTTGGTTATCACTAGCAAATCACCAAATCAGAGTTTGTAATAATTAGTTGATAAAATACATCTGAATGCATAGGAATTATAACTATTATTTTTTTAAATTGTTCTTTCATTAACAAAAGGGAAGCAGTAACATACCTCTCTTCTCTCTGTGAACTTCTTCCAAAAGTTGTTCTTGCTTTTTTATCTGTTTAAAGAGAGACTGATGTTCAGACTCCTTCATCTGTGTAAAGTGCTTAAGCTGTTCGCGGCTCTGCAATAAGTAGCATCGCAGCTTTTTTTCCTTACTTTCTCTCTCCTTCACCTCCTCACACAGCCACTGAAGTTTAGTCTACATTAAAAAATTAGGACAATAAAAGAATTCTAATAAAAATATTAGGACATAAATGTTAATCGATCAAATTACCTTTGGAATTACAGCTTATTTATTTATAGCCATTACTGCATAATAATAATAAAAGGGAACATTAGGATATATTACAAGGATATATCTTGAGCCTTCAAGAATCTCTAAAGAGATATATTTTGGCTGATAACTATGTGAAGATGAAATACACAGATTTTATTTTTTTAATCAGGAGCAAGAATATGCTGGTGTGGGTAAGGAAATTCAAATTTAATTAGGGTATGTATATAGACACAAAGAGGTACTCCCTCCTTTCCCATCCACATTAAAAATTAAGTGACATCAATCCTTTAAGGTCAGCAAAAGACAACATTTAAGGTTCATATAGAGGAAAAAGAAAAGAGAGCTTATAGATACTATAGATGATGGATAGTCAGAGAGAATCTAAAAGCAATAGAAGAGAACACCATGTACAGATACATAAATGACCCAACTGTTTGATCAGAAAAGAGCAAACTTAAATAATATATTGCTCTGGATGAAGAAGGATATAAAGTTATCCTTATCTTTTACCTGTAGGACTTAAGACACAAAAAAATGAGACATGTTCTTCTCTCTGGCAACCAGCAAATATTTCATGGGAATGGCATGAAACTGCAACTAAGGAGGTTCAGACCAAATACTGGGAAAAAGTTCTTCACTGAGAGGGTGGCTGGACACTGGAACAGCCACGCCAGCAAGTCTGATGGAGCTCAAGAAGTGTTTGGACAACACTCTCAGATACATGGTTTGATTTTTGGGTGATACTGGTTGGAGCCAGGAGCTGGACTTTATCCTTGTGAGTCCCTTCCAACACAGGATATTTTATTATTCTATTATATTCAAATTATTAACTATAGACCTACATTACTTTCTTTCCATACTAGGAAACAAATTTTCCCCCTAAATGTTTTCAAATTCATGCAACTTTAAAATATATATAACAGATCTGAACAGTACAAGACAGTAGGGGAGATTCAGCGTGCAGTCACATGGACTATGTACTCCAGAAAAGCATGGCAGTCAGAAGCATCATGAATAGTGATGCACATTCTCCCTTTAAAATGTTATGCCTAAAAGGACTTGCAAGATCTATACAATTTTTATGAACAGGGAGAGGGTATAAGGCACAGAAGATGGAAATGGGCAGGATCATTAGCACTATCAACTGGATGAGATGCTAATTTATCATCAGAGGACTTGAGAGACCAAGTCACCACTGAAAGAACTCAAACATTTACTTCTTCATCTGTGAAACTGGGTGCTTATTGTGTAACCTTTATTCAAAATGTTCTCACTCTCTTTCTTGCTGACTAAATTTCTGTTACCATCAAAGAATCAATCAAATTAACCAAGACAGAAAAAAGGGTAATGGTTGGAATTTCAAATCTCATACATAGAGTAGACGGGGTGTATCAGGATCCGTTCAAAAAAGTTAACATCTCCTGTAGTTAATGACTGGCTCTTCTCTGGTACCTCCGTTTCCATGTTGTATTTACATTCTAAATATTTCAAAAGTCCCAGAATGTACCATGTTATATTAACTCCTGCTGGGAAGATGTTTTGCTCTTTGTCAGATTCAGCCACTTAATAAAACAGTAGGGATAGTCAAACAAAACTCAGAATTTGAGGACAGAGAAGCAATGACTAGCATGATATTGATGTATAAGTGCTGGTTATAAGCTACAGGCAACAATTATTTGATTTGAAGTCAAACTGATTGACCTTCCTATTTCAGTAAAAGCCTATAGGTTTGAAAGTGCTCAGCAATGTAAATTTGTTAATTGGTTGGATGAAATGTTGATCAGTAGAAAAGAAATCTTCCTTCTGTCTTGGATAAACATTATTTTTAGAATATACAAAAATACAGTAATAATAATAAAATATACTGTCATCTCTAATTTCTATCCTGATTTTAGCAGTGAAATATTTACACAATTTCTTTTTGATACAAAGGACTTTTTTCTGTATATCAAAAAGGGGGAGGGCACAGGGCAGGGGAACAGTTTAAGAAGAATGAGGAAAAAGACAAAACCTGCAGAAATTCTAAAGGCAACCCCAACCTGAGTAAGAGGAAATGTACAAGTAGTATGGTGAAAAGTAACACAGCAAACATTTTGAAAGTATGGGTATCCCATAAAGACAAAGTCCTTTTTTTCACTTGTTCTGCTTGCAAATCTCACACTGAAACTTAGGAATCCTGCCAGGAACTGATATACTATATCTTAAATTCATCACCAATTCATATGTCTTTAAAATACATGAAGAATCTTTCCAAAGAATGAGTTGCAGCTTCCTGATTTCAAATATTAGTTCTAAAAAAGGCACTGTAGAACATTAAGTATCTAACAGCTCTAATCCCCTTTTTTTGTAATGTAACATACCACAAACAACAGAGCATCTTATAGCTGATGTTCCCACACCTGCTGTCACAGTAAGTACTGAATCTGAAACACCTGTTGTCGAGAATAAGCCTTTACCACAAATTCTTCGTATAATCTCTGCAGATATACAGAATGAGATTCCTCCATAATGAATTGCAATTATCATGCTGGGATATTATAAAGATGGGATTTTCTTCTGTAATTTTTACAGTGCACTTCTATATTTCAAAAAGCCAGAAATTTGTATCAAAATCATCCTCATGTTCATAAACGTGAAGAAATTAGTGAACTTTCTGAAAGGCTAAATAATCCTTTTTTTTTTTTTTTTTTTTTGACCAGAACTTCATATTATTTCTCTAAACAGTAGTAAACCTAGAACTTTCAAAGATTCTTAATTTAGACTTGATTTCACTTAAAGAACATAATGGAGACAAAAGGCATCAGAAAAAAAAAAAGGTTAACTATGCCATGGATCAAGAGCTGTCATAACTGCAGAAGGGAGCATCTCTCCTCCCCAGCTAAACTATTTAAATTAATCTCTTTAAAGCTGCAGGTTTGGGTACTGCAAAAGTACAGCACTTTTCTAAAGTGGTAGATGTTATAGCCTCAGTGCACAAGCAGTATTCCCTCACACAAACTGTGAAATTTCTACAGCACTATTAATATACCCTACAGTTCATAACCCTTCTTCAGTGGAAGCACGCAATGCTAGAAACATTATGAAAAATGCAGGGACCAAACTGTATACTTAACACTAAAGTTCAGAAGTCACATCTCAAAAATATTTGTATGTGAAGCAAGTTTGTTCCTTCTACAGATTGTAGTAACTGAGAGAAAAATCAAAAGACTGAAGAAAACCAACTCTTGAAAAGGGACCATTTGTAAATACTTCTAAATACAGAAGTATTTGAAAAAGTGAGAACAACAATTATACTAAAGAAAGAAAAAGCAGTACCAAGGCCATTATTATTAAATACAAATTTTGTCACTCCTTGGACGTGATGTAAACAATTTCACTTTTAGAAATTTAGGAGAAAATCAAAAGATTTTAGGTTCTGAATACCTATCAGCAGTTGCAATAACCCAGAAATACAAATGTGGTTAACTATTACAGCAAGATATTCCCAGATTCATATTGTATTTTATTTATTTATAATGAATACTTTCACTGCTTATTTCAACCAAGCAAAGAAAGGGTGACACGAAGTTTTTCATTCATTCTAGACTTTCCTATGGCAGCTAAAGAAACTTACATGATAAATTCATGGAAATAATTATTAGTTGTACTTTAAAAGGTCTTTTAATATGTCATTGTCACTTTTTAAAATAATGAAAATGCTTTCTGCATAACATTTCTTTTTTGGTTCATTTTATCTTTGTTATTTATACTGGCAATCTCTCTTGGTCTACAAGTCTTAGACTATACATGAACAGTAACCTCATGGTTCTTACATGGAAACAGTTGCAACTTTTCCTTAAGTTAGTTCTCCTGTGGCATTCTACATGAAGCAAAAATTTTTGTGTATTCCACCAAGCTTAGTCTTTTTAAAAGGTACTGGAAGTGAGTCTCTGTGCATGTACTGGGGTTTAAGGAGGGAAGCAGCAAAATGAAAAACAATAGCTTTAAGTCATCATTTCTGAGAAGTCTTGAAGCATGTATGCACCTGCATTATAGAATTCAGAAGTTTTAAGCAACTGTGGAAGGATCATTTTCCAGAAATCCAATCTAATAATCTTTAGATTTAATAAAAAACAGCCTTATTTCAAATTATTACTTGCCTTATTATATATAATCCTGTAGGAGAAACATAACCAGCTGACTACATTCTCATGTTTTTCTTGTCTCAAAATAATTTATACAGTGGGAAATTCAGATCTAAAGGCTACCACTGCAGATTCTTCAATGCATTATTTTTTTTGGTATAATTGCTATTTATTTGGCTATAGAGATATTTATTTCTTGTTGATAGGAAAATCTATAAAATAATTTTATCAGTTCAAATAGCCTGATATTATCGTTAACTGCTTCCAAAGGAATTATTTTGTTGTTTTTTTTTTCCCCTTTAACTATCTTTTCAAACACACTTTCTACTGAATGATTATGAATGTTGGATATTACATTACTCAGTAAGATTTCAAAAGACTTGACTATTACCTTTGTTTCTGCAAACCAGCGATGAGGATCATTCAGCACCGTTGGTATAAGTGATATTGCCTATGGAGTAGTGAAGGAGAAAGAAATATGCATAAAAAAGGGTATTAGAAACAAAAAGGAGAAACACTTTCCAGCTTACTGAAAAATTGTCAACTAAATATTCTCTGCTAAAAAAACAGTTGGGAAATCATATCTGTAAAATGGTTTAATAGAACTGTAACTATAAATTAGCCACAATTAAAAGCAAAATATACAAATTCATTGACTTCTTTTTGTATCAAGGTGTATAGTCTCAGTCTGAATCTGTGTGTTCTTTTTTTTGAAAACATTATATTTCCAAATAGCACAATCAGACTCTGCTTTAAAATGCCTGCTTCTCAAGAAAAGGCCAACTTCACAGCAATTTAATTGTATAAACCAAACAGTATAAACCAAAAGTAGCATAACCAATTGTTAGTCATTGAATTGTCACCAGTATATCTACAGAAATGCTATGTGCAGCATGGTAAATGACTGGTCACAAAGTGAAAAAGGGCAAACCGCAAAAATCTTAAAATATTTATGTTTCACAGTGGTGGCCTTTGTGTTTTCATGAAGAAGAAATCACTTGCTTGGAATATTTCATAGGTGTTAAAAGAAAAAATACAAATTTCACTAAGTTGATAAAAAGAGAAGAAACTTGCACCGGCACGCTTCATTAATATTGCAAACAACAAGAAAACGTGATATGCCTTTTTTCTGCAAACTGAATGGTGTTAAACATCTCCAAAAGGTACTGTTATATGCTTTCTATATTATTTACTAAAAAAGTGGTGATAATGGATTTTTTTCATTGTTGTAGTTGGTAGATAAGGGAAAAAATGTCTTATACACATCTCTCACAATTGAAACCTATTTAAAATGAAGTTGACTATTAACCTTATGTCTAGCTCATCCTTTATCTTATCTAGCCTTATCTCATGATTACTTTGTGCCTTCCTCTAATTTAAATAGGAATTTTTTTTTGTTTGGTTGTTGGGTTTGTTTGGTTGTTTTTAGGCTTTTTCCCCCAATTTTTTTAGCACATTTTGAAATTCAGTGTGTATTTCTGTATGTTTTGGACCAGGGCTGATAATTTTTTTTATAAGCATATTTCTTTAACAGGTATTTACAAGGGCTTTATTAAACACCAAGACCAAAAACCTAAGCAGTACCAATTGATTACAGACTTCCATGTTTTATAAGAAAATTATTGCTACAGAAAGACACAGCTGAAAAAAAGAAAGATTTATTAGGCATGTTGACCACAAACAAAGCAATGCATAACCACAAGTTGTGACTTCTATGGCAGCAAACATGATTCTTTGCCACAACATTCAAACAAGGCAGTATACAGTCCATAGTTTAAGCATTACTGGTGTAGTTATTCCAAGTGTAAGGTTTCTTATAACAAGAATACTGGTTGGGAAAGTAAATCTGAGAAGTATATGTAGAATTATTTGTATTCTTTGTTTAGAACACCAGTATATGGTGATTTTAAAAAATCCTGTTTATTTTAATTCAGGGAAGATTAAACCAGGTCTTTATGTCACAAGCGTTTATCCACTCCTTGACTGCTCACCTCAGTTGCAGTGGCAACTCCTTATAGTACTGAAACATGGACAATAACTAAGTACTGGGGAGAAGAACAATACAACAAAGGGAATTTCTTACCTTTTTTTTTTTTCTTTTCCTAATTTATTTTTCAGACCAGACACCACAAAGCTGTGAAACATTTCTATTCACATGTCTAGTCAAAAATTCAATTTCAAATCTTTTAAGTTTGCCAATATGGCAAATAGGGCATATAAAAGGCAATAACGAAACTAGATAAATTATGAGAATTATGAAAACAGAAACAGCAAAGCTTTATCCAGAAAACAAAAACTCTGCAGGAGGTGGGAAGCAAGTCCAAAAAGGCATGGTTTGATGTTCAAGAATATATCAGATCACAAAGGCTTAGTAAGTAACAACAGATCTGTAAGGACACAGAGGAGGAAGCTTGTTTGTCAACTAAAAAGATAAACTTAAGATAGAAAACAAAAAAATATTAAAAAAGATAATGGATTTTCAGTATCAATGCAGAAAAGTGTCTATTTCAAAGGCAGTCCAGCCAAGTGACCAAGGACACCAGATTAGAAAGCATGCACTGATTAAATGGCAAGAGAAGAATGGGGTAATCCGAGTGAGTGCTCACAAAAAGATTTGCAAAAGAACACAGTAATGAGCAATACATGGACAGATCTTCACAGTATCTCATTCTAGTAACCTGTACCTACATCAGCTAAATATCCCTAATCCTACTGCCCCTAAATTATCTATACCAAATGAGTGACATGTAATAACAGCACACATAAATTCTGCTACAATCACCCACTAAGAAAACAACAAAATCTGCAGCATACTTAAAAGCTTAGAATTACTTTGAATTTCTCCATGGAGTCCCGAGAAAAAATTTCACAAGCAGCATCAATTTCACTTCCTATCATGGTGAGAATGGATTTCTGTTCCATTTCTAAATGATGCAGCTGATCCTTAAACTGCAGTCTGGCCTCATCCATTCTTCTCAAATGATCTTCTTCATAACTGATCTGTTTATTCTGCAGTCAAAGGGGAAAAAAAAGCAGGAAAAAAATCCACAAATTATTGCATTCATACCATAACATGCATAAATAGCAATGTATCTTTTAATTTTATAATCACACTATACTCAGGCACTGAGTTCAGTTCTTTGCCATGGAATATAATACATTCTCATAGTACACAAAATCATCTATTAATTTTTCCTATTCACCTGGAAGTCTCCTAGTTGTAAAGAAACCACACCAAATCCAAACCCAACAATCACAGAGCTCTATTTCAGAGTCAAAACTAGACATTCTCTCATGAAACTTTTTTTCACGAGTAGAAAAAGAGCCCACAAGAAATACTCCTTTCATTTCCTAGCCTTAATACTCCTTTTGACACTAAGGTCACGACCCTAATACACCTTTTCATTTCCTGAACATTTCTCACATCCCCTTCTGACAACCCACACTCAACACAAAGAAACAGAACTCATTGCTATTACTTTATCTGCATTTACTTAGGCTTCTTTGCTTAAAAATGATTCTGTGCTTAAAAGCTTCTCCATCGTTTTTCACCTTAAATATAAAAGACCACCTCTGTCTAAAAGATGTATTTTTCTAATAAGACAGAAGTTGGAACTAGTTTTCAACTGACTGCAAAAGACTACGTGCACTTCTACAGACACATTTCCTTAACAATAAATATTATAGTGCTAAAATCCCAACCTAGACAAAACACATTTTAAATTTAAGTATTTTCTATTAGCCTGAAAAGTTGAGCTTTTAAAGCACTTCCTGTTAGTCTAATAAAAGCAAGCTAATAGAAAGGCCAGATTTCATATTCATGTCCTGTAAGTCTTGGATGCACTATTTGAAAATTCTATGAAAATACTTATTGTAATAATAGAAAAGTAATACAGTCTTTTGAATTCATAGGAAAATGTAATTTGAAAAAATAAAATTCAATACTGATCCTAAATATTAGCAGAAAAAGGAAAATGCAGGAAGTTGGAATATTACAGTAATTCAATTAAACTTCTGTCCCAAGATTTTTTAATCCATAGGTATTTCAGTAGCAAACTATGAAAATAATAATTTATGCAACAGGTTTTGTACCCTGAATAGTTCTACCTAAACACTACATTAAATTTTGGGAATATAGTTATCACAACCGAAGAGTTGATGCAGCTAATAATACTAATGTACAGCAAAACCAGCAGCCTTCCTCGCTGTTTTTAAAGGCTTTTAAACAGCATTTCAGTATATAAATTAATCTAGTCAAAACCAGCATTTAATTCAGCATGTTATCAATAAATTTAAAAAGTCTGATATCCTTCTTACACAAGAAGGAAAAATTGGCAGGGAGCTAACTACATAATGTCAAGAGGTTTTTATTCCATTCTTTCAAAAAAGAAGAAAACATTTTTTTCTCAGGGCCAATATTCAGAGTAAAGAGTCATTATAGGCTGAAGATAGAAGAAATATGACAAAAGGAGTTAACAGCATTTTGGAATAATCCCTTTACCTAAACTATATTCAAAATGAACTTCTTAGATTTTAAACTAAACTTCTATGTGAGGTTTGTACACTTCATTTATAGTAACAAAATATGAATTGAAAATTAAATTGGAAAACCTGAACAAACATAAGGGATCTCCAATATCAATAGGTAAGTGTTACCAGATTTAAATAGTTTGGAACTATTAACCTAATGAAACTGACAACAATCCAGTGGCCTATGTGCAATGGATAAATAAAACTCTTGTGTCATGTTAAGATAAATACTTATATCACAGAATTTAATGCCACACGGATGAAAAAATAGTAATCTGACATAGAAGAATAAGAAGCAGATAGAGGCTCCATTAAAAAAAAATTAATGAGGATATAGTGCAAAAAATATGTATATGTAAGCAGTTTCCTGCAGGATGCTTTTTTTTTTTTTTAATGTTTTCTTGAATTTTAATTTAGGAAATGAACATAAAACTATCAAAGATGAGAAATAATCAATGCTGTCTTAATATGAATTAATCAAATACTGACAGCTGCTTTATACTGGAGAAGGTAAAACTTCATCCATGCACAGAAATACTCATCTGAAATCACAACACTGCAGAAAAAAATTAAGATATAAAAATTGCACAAGGTAAAATGCACTTGCGTTAAGAAAAACATTAAAAAGCAATGTTGTAGAACCAATCATGGAAACAAACAAACAAAAAAAAAGAACTGAAGAAAGCAGTAAAAGGAGTTACAACATATAATGACTTCAGCAACTTTTAATTTATCACTCGATTTATTAAAAAACAAAAGCTGACAATTGCAGATAGTGAAACTGCAAATTTGTATTTGATAGTAATTAATAATAAGAACATTAAGCAACAAGAATGGCTTGTAGAGATCACTGATTTCTAGAAATATAATGCCAGTATAAGAGAATAATGTATGTTTCCCTAAAAGCTTGCTGTGTTTAAAATATACAAGCAGTAAATAATTTTTATCAAGATATTTAGAATTTATTTTACAGTGATTATCTTGCCTATCTAATTCAAATTTGCTCTAAATTATTTGTAACTTACCTGCAACTCCAGAGAACGTGAAGAAAACTGGAAGAACTTAAGTATTTTTTAGTTGCCCGTGTTAGAAGTATATAGGAATGTACATGTAGTACCTATATTCCTACTCTGATAAATCATTGATATAACTCACTGATAGATAATATCAGTGTATCCCTGGAGGGATACCATTCATGACTCAACCAAATCACTTCTGCCTTGTTTGATTTGTGTGGAAACTTTGTACTACAGTATGACTGCATATATTCTTTAATGTGTATATGTATTCTTTGCATTTTAGATTCATCGCCTAATTCTTTAGTTCACAGTGTTAGATATTTATCCTAAAGTTTAAATAAAGTTCAGAGACTGATGAATTACGTTTACCTTTTTCTCCAGTTCTTGTTTTACAAACTCATATTTTCGCCTGAGTTTTATATTTTCTTCTTCACTTTGGGTTAATTCTTCTGTCAATTTATCACATTCAATTTTTATCTTCTCCAGTTGTCGACACTGAGTCTTGACTGTGCTTTTCTCTTCTACAAGTTCCATCTGATGGTAACAGATGAACAGATGACAAAGTCACTACTATATGGGTTATTTTAAAATCTTCACAGACATTAAAGCTTCAAAACCACAGAACATGATCATGGATTATTAATTATCTTTAATTTTTTACATTTAAGTTATATTAAGTGCAATCACTTATCTGAACATGGAAAACGTGTATCACAAAATTTGAAGATAATGATCAACTCAAGAACACATAATGAAATTAAAATTGTACACTGTGACTTAATATCACTTATTATTTGTTATTATTATGATTTATTAGTGCTGACACAGAAGTTAAATGATACGGACTTTCCCTTTAAAGTGTAGAGCTTTCCCACATTTTACTTATAATGAACATTTAGCTGCAAAACCAGATCAATCAGCTTAGAAGAATGTTGATGTTTGCCAGGTATGTTGTAAATTTCTGCAAGACACTGCAGTACCATAGAGCTATTTAAAAGCAGTAAATAGAAATCTCAGATTCTGCATTTCAACTCTGCTACACTCATCAGCTGACATCACCTTAAAAAGTTCAGTATTTATGCAACTTTTCCATTACTGAAATAATTTGGAATCAGAAACTCCAAAACTCATTTCATTGCAAGACCTAGTATGAAATTTATATCTGCGGGGAAATAACTTTAAAGATTTTGTTATTTTTTCATTTCTAGATTGTGTGAATTTAACTCTATTTATGCAGATACTACAGGTAAGAATGAAAAAAAAAAAAAAAAAAAGAACTTCTAAGGGTCCTAAGAGCCCTAAGTAGTTAAGTGAACAAAATATATTGGTTTTCTGTGGAAAACACAATGAGACCTCTCTTTCTAATTAAGAGGTTTGCTGCTCATTCAACTTAGTAAAACTGAGTTAAACTGACAGATCTGAGAATTCTCCAGAATAATTGCAAAATACAAAAAAGTAAACAAAGCTAAGAAGAAAATTGTACGCATAAGATCATTATCCAAAACCAGCTTCGTATAAGGTGAATTGCAGGATGCAGTTACACACAAATATAAACTTCCAAAGCAAATTCCTTCTTGAGGAAAATCAAAAATTCTGTTCTTCTGATTAGACTATAAGTAAGACTATACATATACATTTTATGGTGAAGAAGTATAAGAAAAGTTTTACAAGTTAATTTAGACTTAGGACACAAATACAAGCCTGCAGTGCTTAAAATATTTTCTGTGAGTATGTTTATAAAATCCTCTTTTCAGTTCCTACTAAAGATAACCATATAAAAAAAATATATACAGATGGAAACAATCCAAGAAACAGATTCCTCCTGTACATCATCTTTGAGACATGACGTTGAAAAATAATTGTTATTAATTTCTAATATGGACAAGGCAATTGTGAACATAATTGAATTGATCTAGATTTAAACCAATTTCCACTTCTGGTTATTTTCAGGAAAAATAAAACTACACCCACTTGTTGAATTTTAGAAAAGTTAATTCAAAAAGAAAGACATTTATATACAATTTTATACGTACCTCTACATAATCATTCATTAAAGACATAACTTGAAATTGCTGTCAGCCATGAGTAAATTTTATATTTCCTTATTCTAAAAATACATGGATGTTTTTAAAAGTAAATGAGGGCAGGTAGTAAAATTAGGGGACAGATTCACGGCTTCTGAATGCACAGTGTTTGGGAACTACTAAGCAAACTACTTCATTTTCTCTACCTAGTTTACCTATCATTTTGAAAAAATTATAGAGACTGTGCTTCCAGTAGAGGTCCTAACAGAAAGAGAAGTAAAAACTTTAGCACCAGAATCTCAGTACTCAGACTGAGATCTGAGATCAGTAAGATCCTTCTCAATACTGACATCTCATACAAAATGCTGAGTGCTTCTCCAGTTCTACAGCAACATGCAATATCCCTATGCTACTGTCCCATTACATAAAAATACTTAACTACCCTATTTTTTTCTTATATTTTTCTGCCTTTCTTGCAGAAGAGGCAAGAGAGTGAAGAAGTATAATGGATCAAAAGGCACTTTCAACATCAAAATTCCTTCTCTAATTCAGATTAGGCTTTGAGTCTTAAGAAATGTGTTCAATTTGCCCTTACCCCTACTACATGCCTCCCAACTGACTTTTATATTTTAGACTTTGCCATTAACAACCTTTGGACAGGGTTATGTATATTTTTTCACAAAGACAGTTACAAGGGTCAGACAAGGCTGACCTGTAAATAAAGTCAAGATTACCTGATTAACAGACAGTTGCTCACTGGGCACAAAAAAAAGATAAAACTTTCTTTTAAATTTCCGTAAACTCTAATCCCAAAACCATAGTATTTAAATATACTTTGATAACTCACATAAAAAAATTTACCTTAACTTGGAAGACAAATCTATTCATAAAACTTAAACCCAGTTTGAATTGTGAAACAGAGAAACAGGAGGAGGGCATACAGGTTTATAAACGTGCAGTCTTCCCATCATCCAATGGTGTTGTTGGCATTTTGGTTACTAGTGTTGTCCAAAGCTTGCCAGAGGGATGGTATTTGCAATGAAATGATGAGTTCAGACAAAAAGAAAGTCACCTGCACAATATATTCTTAACAGATTTTCCCAGGGATGAATATGTCCAGATATTTCATTGTTCTTACAATGTTTGAATCAAGACACTATTTTGAATTATCATTGTGTACTTCCAAAAAAATAAAGTAGTCTACCCAAGTTATCTTAAAAAATTCATTTCCCTTAATCCCTCCACTCCTCTGCTTCAGAGAGATGAAGCTGTAAAAAAAATGCATGTAGATTAAGGATTCTGGTTAAGTCACAACTCTGTAAATGAAACAAGGAAGTGAATTCTCTAAAGATTCTGTTTAGCTACAACAACCAGTATCAATATTGAGGTCCATGCTATAAGACTGACTTTTCCTTCTAAGGGGAACACATAGTCACAATCAACTCATTTTTTGATTACTACCATCTAGAACATATTCCCCTTCTCTACACTTGACATTAAACGTAGAGTCTTAATTGCAATTTCATTGTCAAAGAAAAAAATCATATTTGGATAGATCACCTAAATAACAATACTAGACACATCACAAATTAAGTCCCTAAAATGTTAAGCATTGCTGTCAAAATATTTTTTAATGATCCTTCTACTAACAGCTACCTAGATTTTTTTTACTGCTATCTTCATTAAATGCAGTACTTATGAATTATTATCAATTATATTATGATTGATATAATAACTAACCATCCTTTTCTAAGTAACATTAATTCATAATTGCCAAGATGCAGAAAATACACATTTTTAGTGACTCTGCATATTTGTGTGAAAAGAAATAGACTTGTTTATATTACCAATGATGAAGTACACCATGAATCACTGAAGTTTTGATTAAGGATATTATAACTTTTTATGGTTAAATTGGCAGAATTTTGATATGAGCAAATTTTAATTAAAAAATATCTGATGGGACTGAGGTGGAAAGTGCATTTATACTGCTTCTGAAGCACATTCAAATTATGTTGGTAATTTACAGCCTGTCTGGAAAACTACTGCCTCCACTAATATGTCCTAATAATAATTTGTATATTCATAAAAAATACTATCTTACATATATATTTAATCATGTAATCAAACTGCTTCAATAACAGTGCAATGTTTAGCTTATACACAAGTTTTCATACGACTGTTGACAATTAACTGTGCTATGTAGAGTATCCATTTCAACTTAACTTCTTCAATTCTCTTTAGACCACTTAAGACACTGAAATATATGTTTTCTTTCCAATGCAATAGCCTTGAATCAGTAGCAAAGGATGTGAGCTGAAGACATTAACTTGTTTCTTAATGAATAAAATGTTTTAGTTTCATAATTTACTGCACATGTAGCCACTTCCTTGAGGAATTAGAAATTCTAAAAAGCCTTCAAAATAGAACGAGCTACAAAAATTAATCTTAATGAGACATATTATCACTGTTCACGTTCTGAAAATTCTTCCAGGTACAACAGCGTTATGCAATTTAAACATTTACAAAAATGTACTATCCCTGACATAATACAAGTTCTATAGTAGAACCATGAAAATAACTTGTTAAAATAGTAGTTCAAAAAGAAAGGATCAAATGACGTTAAAACTACAGCCTTACACATCTCCTCCTGTTCTGATCACTGACATACCTACTATCATTACTTCCATACTAATGGTTTTTTCCCTTAAACTATTATGAGATTACATTTTCAACCATTAATTTTAAACTTTTATGATGACCTGAAATAAAGTGTGTGTGTATGTGTGTGTGTGCATGTGTGTGTTAAACGTTTTACAACCCATAGTTCATTACTTTCATCACTCTATAGAAAGAAAATAGCTTACTTTTGGAATTATTCAGAATAAGTACCTTTAGCATTCTAATCTGAGCATCTGCATCATCCTTTTCTTGTTTAAGGAGTTTCATGAGCTCTTGAATGTTTCGTTCGTGCTTGATTTTAACATTCTGTAACTCTGATCGAAGATCTGCTAACTCCTGTTGGTGAACCTCTCTTTCCATCTTCAACTGCCTGTTAGCTGAAGTCATCTCTTCATGCTTAGAGTCCTGTTGTTTCTGGAAATCTGAGAGGCTTTTATGTAGTTCTTTTTTGACTTTCTCTTCTTCTGCTATTCTATTTGTTAGTTCCACACGTATGGCACTCAGATTTTTTATATCTGCTTGCATTTCTAAGAGTCTTTCCTGGTCTTTTTCATGAATTGAGTTACTAGTTGCAAGTTCTTGCTCCAAGTGTTCCTTCTCAGCTTGCATTTGATTTTGTAGACAGACTTGCTTTTTCAATTCATCCTCCAATTTATTTACAGTACCTTGAAATTCTTTAATCTCTTCTTCAAGGCACAACTGTTGCGATTTCATTTCATTCAGTTTTACTTCTTTGCAATGAAGTTGTTCTTCCTGCTGGGCCCTCTTTGTAAGTACATCATTCAGCTCTTTCCGAAGGTTTTCTATTTGGTGTATAGCAGAGAGAAGTTGACTTCTGAGGTCATCCTTTTCTTTGAGGATCTAGGAAATACAAAAAATAAATCCAATGCCACCTAAAGTAATTAAAGAAAATTGTTGGAAACTAACATCTAAGGAACATGTAGGCTACTCAGTTCTGCAAAAACGCAATTCAAATTGCTTCTAATGAGTTCAGTTACTCAGTGTATTAAATTTAGGTGCAGAACATTTGTGATCTCAAAGTATACCTGTCCTTAAATGACTAAGATGCCTAAGCAGGGATGCTTTAGGTTAATACCCAGTTTCTCTCATCCTCTTGTCTGACTGAGATAGTCTTATTTGCAAATTTTTCAAGTAGCAGTATGGAACAAGAAAGACAATACAGTAATGAAGAACAACATAATGAAAACTACTGGCCATATATACCTTACTTATAGTAAGGTATATATGTAGGTCCATTGTATAGCCTGGCTTGTTTTGCTTATTTTCTAAAATATTACATAATATTCTATTGCCTTTAAACTCTGAAACTACACTCTGAAGAAGTATCAATAGTAGTTGAAAACCAAGTTCAAATGAAAGATAAGGAATTAAGACCTTAAAATGAAAAACAGACACATTTAATAAAAACACTGCTGTTTTCCTGAACAGCTTAATGGTGTGAGGTTTTGTGTCCTCCCCCCTCCCACCCCCAACGTTGATATCTCAGGTTTAAAAAAAATCTAGAAAATACTTGGATGGAAATATTTCACACTGCAAGTGCATGTGTTACTAAATCATAGAATCATACAAGTTTAACAGAATGTGGTATTCTATGATTCTGTTGCACTCACCAGTCCTGATTCTTACTTATCTCAATTTACCACGTAATTTTTTAAACACTGTCTACAGTACGTTTACCAGAAGTAACACAATTGCTACTACAGGAAAAAAAAAAAAAAGGGGTTACAAGATCTTCCTGATGCATCAGCCACTGCTATATAAAAATATATTTAAAAGAAAAATTATTTATAAAACTAAATGATAAGGTTACAAATAAGAGTCAATCTTACCTGATTATTCTTGTCCATCAGTTCATTGATAGTTTCATTTTGTTTTTCCACCTCATAATCTAGTTTCTTACATTTCAACTTCCATTGTCGGATGGCTTCCTGTGCTCTCACCTTCAAATCTTCTCTTTTTTTCTCAGTCTCTAGCCTGAGTGCCTCTGAATGCCTGAATTCAGTGAGGTATCGTTCTGCTTCCTTGGTACTCTCTTCAACTTGTTGAGCTAACTCAGCCGAATGGAGTTCAGTTTGCCTACGTCCATTCTCACATGCCTTGTAGCAACTCTGTATTTCCTTTAGCTGGTCTAGCATTTTTTGCTGTTGCTTCTCCCTGTTTTCCAGGTCAGATGTTAACACCTAGAATCATCATAGCAAAGTATGAAAATTTCAACCCTAAAGATATACAGTATGAAATCTTATTAAACTACATACAGCAATGCTTACATCACTTTTCTATCTAAAATATGAAGAGAGTAAAAGATCTCTGACTATCATGTTAGCACACAGAATCTCCCGCTCTGAGATGGTAAAGAATTTCACCACTGGATATAAAATACATCAACATTAGCAAATACGCAGGAGGGGAAAAAAAAAAACTTTGACATGAATATACACATATAAATGTGAATTTTAAGGTTTTATTTTTACTATTAACAAAAATAAGTTTGATCTTTTCTATCAGGTTGCCCTTCATTCAGAAAAGATAAGCAAGCATGGACCCAAAGCAGTTGATGTAAGCTGAAAAATCACAGCATACCAACTTTTCATGAAGCCTTCCCTACAAAATAAGGGGGGATATAGAAAGAGCAGGTCTCCACACCGTTTACTTTCATATTTCATAACAGGAGTCCCAAATTTACCTGTACTTTTGAATTCCTATTGTGACATATGATATCTATATGTATATCCGTATGTTAACCTGCATACAGTTGTCAAAATTCTGTTTGATCTATAAGGGTATTTAAAACATTAAATAAACAACTTTTCAGATACAGGCTGTCATAAGAAAAGGAAAAAACACCTTTTATTAAACTATATTTATAGTTTAATATAATCACAGAATCTTTAGGCTGGAAAAGACCTCCTAAGATCATGGGGTCCAACCATTAACCTAGCACTGCCAAGCCTACCGCTAAACCATGTGATCAGGTTACCAATAATTTTCCAAAACCTCCCTCCAGATGTGGTGCATATGTTTATTCACGCTCTGGGAACAGACATAAACAAGCACTATTTGTTGGAGGTGGTTTTGCTTCAGCATCTATAGTAACACACCTCAAACTTTACTGTCTATATATGCCACTTAAAAGTCAATAAAAAAAAGGACAGGTTGTGGTCCGGCCTTTTGGTTCCTTGGAAAACCCCAACACAATGTCAGTTTCTAGTCATTCATTGAAAAAAAGGAGAAGGATTGGTGGCAAGCACATTTTTAGATAATACTTCTAATAGAACAGTTACAGGTAAGTAATGTCTTTGACATTTGTCGTTATCTGTCTGCACACATCAATGCTGATTTGAAGCAACCCTCTACTGCAACAAACATCTCTAAATCCAAAAAATCCTTATGAAAGATAGGGCTTGACTGAATTACTTAATTTGTATGTCCCCCTACGTGCTTAGAAACGGATATAGAGGAAGATATATTGTTGCCTATAGCTTTGTGCCCTAAGCTAATTTTAATGCCAGAATTATCCTACATGAGTTAATTTGAACGTATTAATAGCTTTCTAGCAGTGTCTAATGTTTTCTCAAGGAATAATGCATTTTTTTCTATCCTTAAGCCAAAGTATTTAAAAGTAGTTAAATAAAAATATTTTTAATTCACACTTATTTCAAAAATTAAGATGTAAAATTCTGAGTTAAGGTTAAAACATACCATCAGATCTCCAAAATAAATACCAAATATACCATGTTTTTAAAATTGACAAGCCAAGAGCAAAAGCACCATCTTCAAACTCCGATAGTTCAGTAACAAATGGCTACATTGGTACTTTAACATCCATACCATCATTTAATGAAAACTGTCCCATAAGATGGTTCTGATTGGAAATAACAATCAAAAGGGCCAGTAGAGCATACCTTGCTAAAGACGATACCCCTTTCAGACAAACACTGCTCAGAAAATGATTACCACTTTTTTTGTGGAACTATACTACCAGCAAACAGCATATGGTTAATACAACGCATCTAAAGTCCCATTAAACAAGCTAAACTACTACGAAATTTTAAAAGCCTAATTTTGATTTTATGGGAACGAAGATTGTTTTGATAGTAAGGAGTGATTATGTAAATTACTGTTGTCATTGGAAGAACATTGTTCTTGGCAGTGGTAACCTGTGAAAGCATGACCATACAGTTTCAATTCATAAGCATGACATTATAACCTTGGCTTTTAGTTGTAAAGGTTGTTTAGAAAGAAATGAAAAGTAGTTGATAATTAAGCTGGATACATAGCATCACATTTTTGAATTTCAGTGTATTTTCAAAAACCATTAGATTTCATATATAGAATTCAGAGTGCTGTAGCACCTCTCCTATGAAAAAAGGCTGAGAGAGCTGGGGATGTTCAGCCCAAAAAAGAGAAGGCTCCGGGGAGACCTCATTGCAACTTTTCAATAATAAAAGGGGATTTGTAAAAAAGATGGAGAGCAACTTTTTACATGGGCAGACAGTGATAGGAAAAGGGGAAATGGTTTTAACATAAAAGAGGGGAGATTTAGATTAGAGGTTAGGAGGACATTCTTCTCTCAGAGGGTGGTGAGGCACTGGAACAGGTTCCCCAGAGAAGCTGTGGATGCCCCATCCCTGGAGGTGTTCAAGGCCAGGTTGGATGGCAACTTCAGCAACCTGATCTAACGTGTGGCATACCTGCCCATGGCAGGGGGCTTGGAACAAGACGATATTTAAGGTCCTTTCCAACCCAAGCCATTCTATGTTTTATTTTTTGTTAATAAATAGCATTTGCCTATTTTTCATAAGTTTGTCAAGTTCTTCAGTCCTGAAAGACATCCATTTTCACTACAAATACAAAAACTATCTTACATAGAAGATTTATATCTATATCCTACTGTGGAAGCACACACGGTCAGTCTCAACTATTCTCAACTATTAATAACTGGAGTAAATAGGTAGCCTCTACTTCCCATCATGTTTAATATTTGTATAAAAACATCTGTAGGAGTCTCATTCCTCAGTTCCCCTTTATCCTTTCTGTCCTCAGTTTTATTTCAGCCTTTGTTGCAGGGACATGAATACAATACATCACAAAATGCTGTCCTTAGTATAAGGCACAGAGCTTGAGTATTTGCTTTGCACAGCTGGTTTTGTGAACATTCTATGGCAGCTGTGGCCAGAGCAGTACTAAGTTCAGCACAGCCTGAAACCCAGATAATGGCTAGTTCAAAAACTTTGAGGACATTCTGGTATTATAATCAAGTGTGACACCATAGGATTTTCTTGCTGTGTTTTTGTTTGTTTAGAAGGTTGGATTTTATTTGTTGTTGGTGGTGTTGTTGTACTGAGGGTGAAATACTGCATTATCTGTAGGAAAGAAGCTGTCCTATGATACCACAACATCCAGAAGCTAAAGAAATTAATCCTTCAGAGCTGTGGGATTTGAAGGAACTGGTCAAAGAGAGGGGAAAAAAAAAAAATCAGCCCTTACCACAGACCACACCTTAACATAACTCCCGGGTAGATTTAGATTTTCAATGCCCATAGACCTATTTGAACTAGAGAAGTTACAATTATAGATCTCAGTTTCCACCTTTACTTTAGTAATATAAGGTTTAGAAGGTTTAGCTCTTGAAGTCAGCAGGCTCATGTCCAAAGGAAGATGTTTGAAAATATCCTTGACTTGTGTTACTGAGGCCTCGACAATGCATCAGCATCACAGTCATGTGTACATAGTGACAGGGGTTATACCAGGCATGGCCATCTGCCTGAGCCTCGCAGACTGCCTTTTTACTAGAGCATAAAAAGTTGGCAGTTTTGATATAGCTGCCTTATAGGCTGTATCAAATTTTCACATTCCTGTCCTTATCTTACCCTTGTAGGTAATTTAGAAATTAAATATTTTAAAAATTTCCACAAGACAGAAATATAAAGATGTGATTTGTTTATTTTTCACCCAGCTTTCTCTCTTGTTTATGACTGCAGTGAACAAGACAGATCATCTAAGAGAAAGGACAACAAATATCAGGAGGTTGCACTTACTAGAGAAAAAAAAAACAAAACACATTCCTTGGACATCTGAGTTTCTCTTCCAAGAAGTAAATTACTAATTCTGTGATCAACAAAAACTTCTAGACAGATGAGAAATGCTGCCTTTATGGAATAAGACCTCATATTCCAAGGAGTACCCAGTATTTTTGATGGCTCAAGGTTGTTCAACAGGCGACCTCAGTGCTCTGAATGTAATAGAAGCATGACCATGTTCCACAACATGTATGGAGGTTCTCCTGACAGGAGAAGCCCATGGTATTTAGGACTGTTGCTTGTTAAATGTGTTCTGAGGATCTGTACAGGCGTGTTGTTTATGGTTTGCTTCTAAGTGTTTTCAGCATTGCTCTTACTATAGAAAAAACTGATTTGGGCACATTGCTGCTTCTCTATCCTTACACAAAACAATTCTGGGTCCCAATTTTTATAAGTTGACTAAATTTATTTCTGCATTTTCATTTTTCTACTGTTTACAGAAGCAAGGGGAAAGTATTACAATATTCATGTTAACACATTTGCCACCAAAATAATATCAAATAACCTCCCGCCAGCATTAATATCTGAGGATTTTTATAAAAGGGAATTATTTCCCTGGAATACTTAAAAATTCGTTACATTTAATTAATTGATCCTGAGGATACAGCAAGTTAATGCTCTAGAGATCTGAATGCAAGTATTATTTTCAAAACTGATGAAACTTTGTCATCCCTCAGACTGCAGAACCACCACGAACGCTTCAGTTGACAGACTCCGTCTAGAGATTATTCAGAACAAAGGTGATCAACAAACTCAGAGACAGATGCAATATTTGCCCTGAGTAAAACAGTTGTGCTTAGTAGTTCTAATTTACTATATAGCCAACATCCAAATATATAACCCATCTATCAACTTTCACAAGAAATTGGAGGCAGCAGAGAAAAAGATCAACATTTTCCAGTTAGAACTAGTTATTTATCCAAAATGTAAACTAATCATCATAGACTCTAAACACATGATTACTCAGTTCAGATTTCCAGTCCCTAGCTTGACTACATATATTGTATTTTTGACCTGCATTTTCAACAATTCATTTAAAAATAATCACCACAAACTGCAAAAGAAATTCTACTCTAGATACAGAAAATAAATCACATCACATACTCAGTGTAACATTCCTTAAAGCTTTCATGAACACTGAAAATACAATTAAGGATCATTCATTTCATACAATTTGCCATAATCCAAGGTAATGCCTTAAATGAGTTATGTGCAAACATTCTATAATGATAATACAATAAACCACATTTCACCTCAACCACACTAATTATGTTGATCACCTAAAGTAGATCCGTATGTAGTGTTCTCTTTTTCTGTAACGGGTCTCAGCAGTACAGTCACCAGTTTCTAACATTATGTAATCATACCTAATTATTTCCCTTACCATTTTTTTTTATTTTTATTTTTTTTTACTGAATACAGTGCTCAAATATTTCTTCACAATCTGATCTGCATCTCTTACGAACCATAATGTATCTAACCATGAAGAATCATTGATTCTGGAGGTTTAGATCTTTTACACAAACACAAGTTCTATGAATTGAAAAATCAAAGATGTATATGGTCAATCAGTCAAGAAATGTATTCTTTCAGTAAAAGGTATATTGTACAAAATCAACTGGTTAAAGAGGTACTTTTTCCATACATTCCCCAAGCATGAACTGCTACTGGTTCTTGATCGCTAATAGTCTATATAAAGATACAGCTGAAACATCTTAAATTTTTAGGTTGATTTGTGATTTTGAATAGATTTTTAAAAGTACATATGCTAGTCACTTTTAATAAAGTTTTTGTAGCACTACTTCAAAGTTTAAAAAACATTTGATATAGCAATACAGGCTAGTCTATGCCAAAGATATGGATTTGTCATAATTTGTGAGAATTTCTGTTTAAGTTTATAAAAGTGGGTTATGGTTATTGGTTTCAGGTATCTTAGTTGACCTGTAAAATTAAAATAATTGGCTAATAGTGTCATCTTCAGTGAAAGAAAAGCCATAAAATAAATTTTAATAAGGCTAAGAATTTAAATCAACCTTTAGAAGATTAGAAGATTTCTATTATTTATGTCTAATTAAACAAATCTCTCCCTCAGAAAATTTGAAATATTTTTAACAAACTGACTGCCTGCTGTTACACTCTACTGGACAATACTGTAAGACCCCATTGACCTAATTAGAATCTAATTAGAATTAGAGAAATCTTCAGTAAATCATTATTTCACAAGCATAAAGAGTCCATATAAGCTTATGGATAAACTGGCTTATTGTATCTTTACAATTTTCATACACTGTTTACTTCTTATCTATAATAGTCAAGTTAGACCAATTTCTCTGTTAGTTCCATATAGAAAAATATGTTTAAAATAATGACATACATTTCCAAGTTCTTACAGAAGCATCCTCAGGTACACTATGATAATTGAAATTAAAATTTTCTCTATTAAATTTAAAAAACTAAAGATTGAACTCACTTCTAAACATGAGATTATGATCACATTCTTAAGCTTTCTCATCCAGTCCATTTTATATCATATTCTGATTTTATGGTGACAAGGACTAAGTGTACAGCACAACTCAAATTCTTTAAAACAATGACATTTTAATAAATCAAAAGAAATTTCTAATATCACATGTACACCAGAGTCACATCCTCCCCACTAACCAAAGATAAGTTACACTCAATTCAAACATGACTAGTCTGATTCCCAGTTGGAAGTAACTATCTGATAGGAGCAGCTGTTAGAACGGACTTGACAAAATGTTTTGTTAGTACATAAGTTTAGAAATTCACATCCTTGTATTCCTTGATGTTTCATTAAAAGAAAAAAACCTAGCTATTTTCCTGTTGCTGCCTCTGTAGGAGAATGGCAGTGGGAAGCAGATAAGAAGTACAAAGTATTTTCTGTTGAGATAATCAGGGAAGTCAGATTTCTAACTTGCAGCAATGACAATGACCCTGGCTAGCCCTCTTCCATCAGTATTTTCACAGAGCAGGAAATTAGTATTAGAACATCATTCGGACCCTTAAAAAAGCATGTTTTACAAACAGAAGTTAAAAGATGTTTTTCCGGTTTTTTGTATCCTACTAACTCCCCCCACCCAAGTAACTGGAATTTCTCAGACCATACAAAAATTAAAAAATAAAAATAAAAACAAAAACAAATTTAAAAAAATATATAAAAATCAAATTTAAAAAAAAAACAGCATGCTTCACATTAGTCTAGAGATATATTGGTCAGCCAGAACATAAATGCTAAGGGGCATCAGAAATGCATTCTGATTGCTGTTTTCTCTTGAGGGCAGCCTAGATCTTCTGAAAGCCTTTTTAACAGCCAACTTACATAAAGTATGTAAGAACTTATTTTGAGACTAAATTTTTTTTCCAAACACAACTTGAGGTATTTGATTTAAATTAGCACAAAAGTTGACAACAGAACGGTGGAAAACCAGCCAAGAGTAAACTGAACAGTGTAGGCCTGTAAATCTATGATAACACACAAAAGTAGCTCATCACTTTTGAATTTCCAAAGTGATACAATGTTATTTCAAAGAGCAGTACCTTCATTAGAAAAATATACACAAAATACAAAACCTCTGGGTTACTAAATACCTCAATACAATAAACCTTATGTGGTCAACTAATGAAATCCCTCATTGGGTTCTGAAACACATCTGTTAAGGGATTTCACTACAATAACTAATCTAGACAGGAAGCAAAACCACAGAAATGTCCTGTCTTAAAAAGGCTGCCACCTCTTACATCTTAATTAACGTTTAATTTAAAAGTCTCCCAACTGAAATTCCAGTGACATAGACACTGTTATTCTTTGTACAAAGAACAAGAGAGCCATTTGGGTTGAAAGGGGACCTTTAAAGATCACCTAGCTTAAACACCCCTGTACTCATCCCTAGGCAGGGACACCTTCCACTAGATCAGGTTGTTCAAATTCTTATTCAACCTGACCTTGAACATTCCCCTTGAGGAGCATCCATCCTGGACAACCTGTTCCAGGTATCTAACCATCCTCACAGTAAAGAATTTCTTCCTAATGTCTAATCAAAATCTACCCTCTTTCTTTAAAATCATTAACCCTTGTTCTATCACTACACATCCTGATAAAGAGACTCTCCCCATCTTGAAAGAGTAGTTCCCCTTTATGTATTGGAAGGCTGCAATAAGGTTTCCATAGAACTTTCTCTTCTCTAGACTAAATAACTCTAACTCTTAGCTTCTCTTCACATAGAAGATGTGCTCCAGCCCTCTGATCATTTTTGTGGCCCTCCTCTGGTCTCGCTCCAACAAGTCCGTGTCTCTCGTGTGTTGGAGGCCTAAGAGCTGTATGCAGTACTCCATATGGGGTTTCATGACTGCAGAGCAGAGGAGGAAAACTACCTCCCTTGACTTGCTGATCACACTTGATGCAGCCCAGGATATATATGATTTCTAGGCTTCAAACACACATTGTCAGCTCATCCACCAGTACCCCCAAGTCTTCTGTAGGACTGTTTTAAATTCATTTATCACCCAGGCTGTATCTGTGCTTAGGATTGCCTCAACCAAGTTACAGGACCATGCACTTGGCCTTGTTGAAGTGCATGAGTCTCACAAGGGCCCATCTCTCGAGCCTAGTCCCAACGCAGACCCTTGAGGGACATCGCTCATCACTGGTCTCCAACATGGACACGTTGACCACAATTCTTTGGATGTGGTCATCTAGGCAATTCCTTGTCCAGCAAATGGTCCATCCATCATATCCATGTCCCTACAACTTAGAGGAAAGGACATTGTGGTGGACCGTATCAAATCAGAGTCACAGAATGGTTTCAGTTGGAAGGGACCTTTAAAGATCATCTAATTCCAACCCCCCTGACATGTGAAAGGATACCTTCCACTAAATCAGGCTGTGAAAGTCCCCACTCAACCTGGCCTTGAACACTTCCAGGGAGGGGGTACCCACAACCCCTCTGGACAACCTGTTCCAGTATCTAACCACCCCCACACATTGTATGTGTTTGCCATAAATAAGTATGCTAATAATTATTACTATCATTGCATCACATCTAATAGTGAAAAAATAGAAGTTACAAACTGTTTTTGTTACTGTACTTCAACATTTCATAGAACAAGGAATTCCAGTTTGTTTGAAATTACTATTGATAGAATGGGGGCTAAGCAAATAAAAACTAACTTATAAAACTAATTCCACAAACCACTATTAATGGCAACTGATGACAAAATCAGATCACCTTTTATTTGGACATCATAAAATGACAAACAATACAAACAAATAATAAAATAATACAATACATGAATTCAGGGGCAACAATAAATACTTTATTTCTTTGGTTTATTAAAGAGATGGGAGAAAAAAAAATCTGCAAGCTCAGATCACCTTTCAATGTTATTCATAGAATAAACTCAATAGAGCATGACAGTCACTCAATTTTAAAGGTTGCTTCCTAATCTGGTATATCACATATCTTAAAGATATGGGAAACAACTTACAAAGAAAACTTACCTCTATGTGTGTTACAAGCTGTGCCTTCTCCTTGTCCTTACGCTCTATGCATTTCTTTAACTCTTCCACCTCTGACATTACTGCATTATGATTCAGCTTTGCTTTAAGCTCCAAAATATATTTCTCCAGTTCTTGCTTTTCTTTCTCATATCTTTCAGCAACTATAAAACAGTAGGAACAGAACAATATGCCCAGCAGAAATACGGAAAATTACTTTTTTCACTCATTTCTCTTTTGGCAATTTTCTTCTTTACATGCGACTATTATACAGCTATTGATTTTATTTGAAGTGTGAAAAATGGCTATAGTTATATCATAACCTTCCACTGAATAAGACAGTATTTTTGGGGCTTATTATTATCCAGTTATTTTAGGGTTTCCTCCCATATCCCCCCTGCCTTTTACTGGAGAAAAAAAAAAAAAAAAAGAAGAAACTACTGGGGAAGTTCAGGTGCAAATGAAAATTTTCCACAAATTTCAAGGCCAAGATTTTATCCCATCAGTGTGACTTCCAAGTCAGGAGGTGTTACTATCTGTGAATTATATGTTTCAATACTACAAAAGACATTCCTGATGAGAATAAGCTGTAAATATCCTCAGCCAGAAATTCAAAGGTTAGTAGTTGTTTATGGCTAAAGGAGGCCAAAAAAAAAAAAATCAGTCTGTATTCTTTGCATGCATCTTTGAAGAACGAGAAATAATGCAGTAAGGAAAAACAATTGCTTTAATTTTCATTTCTTGTGTGTGTGTCTCTTAATAACTCCAAGTACATATTTTTTCTTGCTTTTACACAGGACTTCTTACAAAACAAATGGAAAAATAAAATATGCTTTCAAGACAAGCTAAACAAGAAAAACAGTTACAAATAAATTTCCTTTTAAGCAGATACACTAACATCCAAGTGACTGAACAGAAGCTATTAAAATGACTATCCTGTATTAAAACTCTGAACATAAGCCACATACCATTTTCCAGGACTCTGTATGAGATTTGTTAAAAAAGGGAGTCAAAGTCCTGTTTTAATAATCAAGATAATTCAATAGCTGAAGTCATTAACCAAACCAATTAAACAATTAAACCACGAAGACACTGTACTAGTGCTACTCAAGATAATAGAGGAATACTGACTCCATTTCCTTCTTAATGAGGAGAAAGACAAAAAAAGACATTCTCCAATGCATTTTGATTACATTTTGAAAAGTTTAAATACAGATAGATATCTAATAATATAGTCCTCACTAAAGCTATAATTTAATTCACAACTACATGTTGAAATTTTTAAATGAATTTTTCTTCTAAGTATCATGGCTCCATCTCCAAAATTCTCAAACTGCAATTAGAAGCCCTGGACTGAATCATACTAGATTGTATTTATAAATACTCTGGAATATGCTGTTACTCATTAGAAATTCTACCAGAAGTTCAGCAGCTTGTCTATAACCAGCTACATAATGGACTTGTTATGATTTTCAAGATGACAGGATTTAAACTGCAAATGGACTGAAAAGTACAATTTCAGAAGAATAGTGTAAATATATAAATAGAACTAGAAATAGTGTAAACATACCATCCACTTTCCTTTAATTTTCTGTAATACACTTCATTTGTTTTAACCACAGAAATCAAGGTATTTCATCCTAAATTTTAACTGTCATTTATATTTATTTGTTAAATACTCAGTCGCCAGTACTTATTAACTTAAAGCTGAGAACTTCATCAGCTGTTTTAGTTGAAACAGTAAAGGAACTGGAACTTCGATGACAGAATTAAGGTCCAGGTCAACTAATTTGTAGGCATCTAGTGCAAAATTTGAGAGCTGTACCTGTTCTAATTCTCCTTTCATCTTCTTGCACATCCTGGGAGCTCTGGCGGTGCATAGCAACACGTGAAATTTGATGTTGCAACTCTACACGATCTTCTTCTGCTCTCAAAAGTTGCGAACGAAGATCTTCAATCTGAAACACGTGTAGAAGTATCAAATGTTTAACAAAAAATAAGAGTGAAGGAGTAAATAAGATATTTTTATTAAATTGTAAAAGAAAAAAAGGGACTGTACAAGCAATATTTAGAAATTTCAAGAGTGCTGCAGATCATAAACGATAGACAAATGACATAGTTCCTAGTTATTGGCCAGAAAGTGTTTATTCAAATCAAAAGGAATGATTTTAGTCTTTTAGGTTGATCATGGCTGAGCATCAATTTCTTTAGAAAAAAGTAATACCATTTTATGTGTTTCAGTTGACTTTCTACACTGTTAGTGAAGATATCTATATAAAAAGTAATATACTTTATGTAAATTCTGCTCATTAAATATACATTATTGATATTCTCAAGAAACATACAGGGGGTTACATATTTATTTTTTATTATATATAGTCTAATGCTTGCAACAATGACATTGCATATGGGAAAATAAAGGAAACAGACATGATTTAGCATGAATTGAAGGAAAATAACTAGTATTACCCATATGTGTTACAATATGTATGTCATGCACAATGAGTTAAATTCAAAACAGTAATATAGCCATCTCAATTTTTTTCTAAATGCACAAGTGAAACAACTATTTCTAACAGATAAGTACAAATTGTTCCTTCCCTACCTATCTCAATACATGTATTCTTCTTCAGCTCCTCTGAAAGAAGGATGGGCTAGAGACATTTAGGAAAAAGGACATTTTTCTAATGCTATAATCCAGGTTCCTTCATCTTCTAAATTCAGCCATATGTGCATTAGTAGGTATTGTTTAGAATACATTTTTGATTGCTTTCCCAATGTTTGTCTCCCCCTCATATGCACACAATACATCTATGTCACTGGTTTATCTGAAGTTATGCAATTTGTACAATAATTACTAATACAGAAGTTGTTTTTAAGCATACCCTGAAGGGTAGTTACAAATAATGTGTTTATGTATGTAAGAAGCACCATAACTGCTACTACTGTTCTTATTAATACATGAACATATATGCAAGAAAGTTTGGAAAAGAGAAAAAGTATCAAGAGCAATCAGTCTCAGTCTCTTTTAGACTCAAACCTTTTTCTCTGTATCTCCTTCCCAAAGCAATGTTATCAAAATATGAGAAAGGAAGATTAATCAAAAAGACTATGACATAGGCAAATACAAAAGCTTTACGATTTCCACCACCCCAAAGCAGTTACCTGATGCAAAAGAGCTTCTCTACTGCCTTCTGAATGATTCAACTTTTTCCGGGACTGCTCCAATTCTTGCTCAAGCTTTCATTACAGAAAAATTATGAAGAAAATTGAAGTATGCATCAATAGAAAAAAATATACCTTACCTAGTTACTTCTGGTGCAAATTAATCAGTGTAAGCAGCTACTTAAATTAAGATATAATATTCACCATATTTCAATTTGTCCAAAACTCTAAAGCAAGCTTTCACTTGTACTGAATCTCTGCTATATTTATTTAAATTAGACGATGAAAATGTAACTTAGTCTATAATTTTTATATACTTTTCTATAACACGTGAAGATAAAGTGGTGTATATATTCAAAACAAAACAAAAAAGCATGAAAGCAACTTTTTACTAGGTTAAAAAAATAAAATAAACTTTTAAAAATTGTTCCAAGGTTTGTGCCATGCATTCAAATTCAGATAAAAATTGAGAATGAGTTCACATTTGAAGCCTTTGTTACACAGTTCATTCATAAAAATGTTAAAATTGACACTTATTGGTACAAGTGGTAAGTAGTAAATTGTTTCTCCATGTTGTGCAAAAAGATATTACAATTATTCTGGAATCAAGATGACTGAAAAATTGACGTGTCAGGACTTTCAGACAATTAGAATTTTCCCCAAAATATAATATCAAGGGAATTTAAAAGCATGTAAACAGAAGTAGTCAAACTGATTACCATTTCCAAAAACAAAAAAAGTTATGAAATATTTTGTGAGTTCTGCCACAAATAGCTCAAAGATTGCAAAGATGCACATAGAAATAAAAATAGTTTTGAAAGCGGAAATTGTTATTGCAGAGATAACATCCTTTTTGTGATTACTAAGAGGCTGGCAAACAGGCAAAATAAATAGGACTAGAAGTAATGGAATGAAGAGGGTAACAATACATAGATTGTTTAGAATAAAAGCTTTAGCATAGACTTTGGAAGCATTGACAAAAAGGTTAAGCTAAGTGGACAAAAAAAGCCAGCAAAAGTGCAACATTGCACTAGCAATCTGCAGGGACAGAAATATAATGAATTTTGTTTCCTACAAACAGGATGAAAGCAATATGTCAACAGATAGGTCAGTAAAAAGAGCACTTAATATTCACCAGGTTTCAAAATAACAAAATATGCATTAACTGCTGGGACGAAGAAAAGCTGTACCTTTGAGCTGCCGTAAATACATGACAGCAAACTGCATCTGTTTGTCTTTTCAACAACAAATCAAAAAAGAAATCAAGGATAATCTACAAGTTATAAATTTATTTATCTGGCAGGATGGAGTACTTTTTAGAAGAAACACAATGAAACTAAAAAGCTTTGTAGGAAAGACAAGTTCAATATAGTTGCATTCACTGTGTGACTGATACAACAAAAACCACCAAGTCATCTTAAAGATGAAAGAAAGTTCTATCCCACTGCTTTCTCTGAAAGAGGAAGCATATACTACAACATATAACATACATTTAAATAAAAAAAATAAAATTAAGACTTACTCGTTTCTTTTCACTTTCATATTTCTCGAGTTTACTTTTCATGAGCTCTTCTGTTTCAGCTGCTTTAGCATCTCGTTTCTTTAAAGCCTTTAAAGTGAAAAATATAATGTGAACTTCATTACAGAAGTTACAGAAGTCTTCCTTATAAGTATGTTAAAAGAAAACAATCTACTCACACGTATAAGAAGAGATCTAGACAAGTGCTTTCTGACTTTGTCTAATATTTCTAGGTGAAGCCAATGTACATTGTTATGAAAAGATAAATATAAGTCCATGCATAAACACACCCATGCACAGAACTGGGCCAAATACAAAGTCAAAATTAGCATTAACATCCTTCCGATGTATAGATTCACAGATGCTCAAGACTGACCCTAAACATTGTGAGATGAAGGACTGAGAAGCTGAAGAGAATCCCTACAGATAAACTGTGAACATCTCAGATAAGGAGAATATATTCTCTAACATAAAATATGCAGTCACATGTAATACAACATACTGCAGTAAGGAAAACACTACTATAAAGTTGTGTTAGAAGCCAAAAAAAGGAAGTTAATTTTATCTGAATCTTGACAAATGCTTAGATGTGCATTGTTAAGACAGGATTAACTGAAACATTCCTGATCTAAAGCTACTGCCACTGTCATGCCTTACTTCAAAAATAAATAAATAAACCAACCAACCACAGGGACTTTTCCTGTCCCTTTCTGACTGAAGAGTCTAAAACCAGCTATATACATTTTCTAAAGCATCTCATACAGTTGCCTTGAACACCAATTTTGAAACCTCTTCCTTCTTTAAACCAACATTTTTTGCTGAGCATATACCATAACTTGAAAAGGAATGCAGCAGATATCAAAGATATTAATGACACATGAGATTTGCAACCTAAATAACCCAAGCTTGGGCATCCCAAGCCATAACGATGCCATTGGCTTATCATACATAGCAGGTAGAAACACAAGACGACATCACTAGCTATGCTGACATAATTTACTCTGAATTTGAGAAATTGTGTCAAACATTTCTTTGCTGTCAACATCACCAAGCAGTTTTCACACTAGCATTTCATTCACACTTTCATTAGAGATCTTCAGACCTTTGATTTTCATCCAGTATCACATAGCATAAGTACACCTGGCCTTTCCACCATTACTTGGTGAAACTGCAACCAAACAACAAAAACACATAGCCCGTCCAGAACAAAATGCCTTTTTTCCAGTCTGTTCTTTCTGAGCAGCAATTTATTTTCATTTTATAGGAGTATATCCTTAAACAGATACCTCTGAAACTCTTCCCTGTCATTAGTACAATATCATTCAATTTTTTAACATTTTCTCTTCACTGAAAACTAAGGAAGGTTTTCACTTGATCAAAAGTTCAACTGTAGAAGTTTTGCTTTTATAAGTAACTTTGTGGAGAAAAATAAATGGATGTCTATACAGCCTTATATCCTCATCTCATAAAACATAAGGGTTTCAGTATATTTTGGCTTCCTCTCCTGCCTGAACAGTTTATACTAGAAACTGAGATTGTGGAAGCTATTTATTATAACTATGCCACTGAAAATATTATGCTACATAAAGAATTAGGCTTTCGTCTTACTGATTCATAATCAGATACTGCAAGACTGTAACATATTTAAGGTATTTCTCTAACTACTCAGTACAGATTCAAAATCTATCTTAACCTATATAACTCAACACTGCACACAAACTGGATGCACCCATTTCACTCAAAAAGACTCTATGAAGAAGCCCCCCCCCCCCCAAAAAAAAAAAAAAAAGCTAAGCTATAGGGGTAAAAAACAAACAAACCCAAGATCAACACTTCAGCTAATGTCATTACTGCACACAAAATCATTGTTTTAAGTAATTAGAGGTACTAGTTCGCTCTACTAGGGATGTATATATACACTAACTGCAATTCAGCTTCATTTTTCAGCAGAATTAGAAGCTTTGTTATAAAAAGTCAACCGTATGCCAACCTTATTTTTGGTACTGAATTAGTAATTAATTGTAAAATATACATATATATATATGTATTATCATATGCAGATTTTGCTATGGAAGTCAGCATAAAGAAATTTAAATTCAGTTTAAGGAAAATTAAGCTTTAACTGAGTTGGAATTAGAAACACTAGGAAAAATTTCAAAGATGTCCCTACTGAAGGCAAAAAGTTTGTCTCACTACCAGCAGTACATCCAAATTCATTGAATAAACCACAGAAATCAATGTCATTTCAACTTACCAGGATCACTGAATGATATTTAGACTATTAAGTATAAATAACATCAAATAAAAAGGCAGTCTTTCATATCATGGACACTAAGCAAATGACATTCATTTCTATTTTCTGTATATAGTTTTAAAAGCCCATAACAATTTCATTAATAAAACAGCTCATATAGCAGTTAAAATACTATAAAAAGAATGTGGTTTTACAATAACATTAAATATATCAAACATGTACTGCTTCAACTGTAAAATACAAGTTTTTCCACTAGGTGCTAGATAGGCCATCAGTTAAGCAATCAATATGTCATTAAGAAACAAATATTTGGTCATCTATTTGGTCATCTGGAACTGGACAAGCAGTAGATCTTAATAATGGTTCAGAAATTACATAGGTAAAAGTTTAAGTTTGCCCTCCTTGTTGTGTTCCCTTTTAAATAATTATTAACTGGCTTCTGTCACTCTTCTTTTTCTCCATTAAAGATTTGTCTGTGAAAGGACTCTATTGGGAAAGGAAGGGTAAAAATAAAAATGCCACGTAAAGAGTCAACTGATCTTATTTCATTTGTTATTTCCATAGACTGGGGGAGTCAAAGGGTCAAAAATGGGAACTAGGAACTGCTGTACTCATCATCCCAAACCAATACACTCCTGCCTGATGGCTTCCAAAAAGCAGGCAGGCATGGCTCAGGGGACCTCTACCTAGAAACACTGAAGCACCAAAGAATGGAAACTGGTCTACAGTCCTGTAGATTCTCCCATCAAGATCCTCTTCTTGAAGACACTAATATCCAGGCTGCCCAGCAGATGGCTGACAAGGAGTTTGTGTAACTTGGTGAAGCCCTGGAGGCAGCAGGCAGGTTGGAGGCCACAAGAAAGCAGAGAACATGCACATGGAGACATCTTCATAGTGTGATTTCAGGATGGGCCAGCTAGATATTCTACGTCCTGCTCAGACAGTTAGAAACAGACTATCATCTCTGACAGGCTAGACAAACTTATGATTTGACCCAGGGGAGCAATTCTTAAGGTGTTTTTACAGACTTTACTAGCACAAAATAGAATCAGAATATCAATATACATGGTGTACCCCAGCTCACTTTACCTCATCAAACTTCCTAATTTTAATAAGAAAATCATTTATTCCCTATTCTGTAGAACTTTTCCTCTTATATACGGAGAAAACTGTGCAGAGACCTCTGTAACGAAAGTTCTCAATCATTTGCAACATACAAAAATAACTTTTACCGATATTTGAGCCTACTAACTTCTTAGCTTTTTGTTGTTCACATAAAGATAGATTTGAAGGTAGTGCACAGACCACAAATAGAAATCTTTTTCAAAGTGAGACTGATCATTGAAAATGATTGATACTAACTGAAAAATGCAAAAAGATCAACCTTGAGCCATGTTTTAAAATAAAACAAAAATGTACCTCATCCTAATCTGATTTTTTTCTCTAACCTGCTACATTAGCAGTCCATGTTACTGCTTCCTTAAATGCACTGCATTTAAAGACAGACTGCCTAGATAATTCAGTGACATATGTACGAAACCTGCTTGTGTTCTAATGCAGAGATGCAAGCCAGACAAACTACAATTAAAACAAAACCCACTAGCCATAGTTGGCATAACACAGAGTCAAGAGGCCAGTATCAATGATGCATTAAAACATCCAGATGTCTCAGAGCACAGATCAAGTTTATGTTTGTCTAAAAGGATCACAGAGAAGGTCATGCAAAAAGAGAATTTTTCAATAACATTTTTGACCAGTCTACCCCACCCTCTGTTTAAAGTTTGCCAGCATCTTGCACTTCACAGTAAGTACGTGCAGTGAGAGGCAAAGAGATCTAAGTATCCAGTTGCACTAGGAAATGAATAAGTTATTAGCTTAAGACATACTCATAGTCACTGCCTTAATACAGCCAGTGTGTTCAAAAATGTTTTATAAATATGATACTGTTCAGCTAAAGTGAGCAAAGCACGAACACTACCTCATTTTACCAAAATCCAGAAAGCCAAGCATAGGAATTATTGAAGCCATCCAGGACACTCTTTGCATATAAAAGCTGTTTAAAGGCTGCTTTTTTAAGAATTATATTTGTTTTAGAAAATGGAAGCATATATGCAAACAAACAGTACAAAGTGGATGGTATCTTTATATTCAAAACAAAGCACTGAAGAATCTCAAAGTAATCTTAATTTAGACAACAAATGTATTTTGTTTAAGTGATCCATATATACATCTCAGTGGTACTGACAAGATGAACATATTTGTTCTCCTTTCAAAACAGAAGATTTTCTATCAGGGAAACATAGAAGAAAGTTAAGATGCATGACTTGCACTAATTTAAGATTTTCTTTATAAATAGCATTTAAGCACACCTAGAATACACATCAACTCAAGATACAAAAATGCAGTGGAAAATTTGCATCTGCCTACACACAGCACATATTGAATGCAGATTCAAAAATACACAGATTTAGATACTAAAGATGCAAAAACTATATGCCAAGCTTTCTTTATAGTCAGTTTATAACCAGATATCATCTTGGTTAATGATCAGACCATGATGATGATGATGATGATAATGAAATAAAATTTAAAAGTTTGCACATCAAGAGAAAAGCAAAGACAAATCAGACAAAGAGAAAAAGAAACACATGTATCATCATGTTCAGTTACATCCTGAGAATATATAATTAAATAACTGAGATTTAGGAAGATGACTCTTAAGGTGGTAAAATACTGACAAGTAGTGGTCAGTTATGGACACTGCACTTTCCCTAGAGATAAGGACTCTTAACTTTTAAGTATCACAAGATTTCTTAATTAAAACAACTGCTGATCAAATCCAAAACTTAAATTTGATTTTGTTGGGTTTGAAATGTAATAACAGGAAAGCTAATGAAAAAAATGTTTCATTAAATAGCCACAAATGCTTTAAATAGCATTTCTTTGTAAATTATCCAGGCCATATTGAATGACAGGATTTCAGAACTCAGTCCAAACCCTATCCTCCTTCCAGTAATGTTACTTGGGAAGAATCTTGGAGAAATAAAAAAGGACAGAAAGAGACTTTAATAGAGCATTAAATCCACGCAATGGTCACCACAAGACTGAGGCCACTGACAGAGTTAACAGTCCATCTAACTCGTAATTCAAAGTACAAAGGGCAAGAAACAGAATAACAAGGTAAAAACCTCCTTTTTACAATGGTGTAGAGACATGCTTCACACAAATAACTTCAGTAAAATATTTAGCTATTTGCTTTATTCTCACTAGGGTATATGCAAAAGTACACACAACAATGCGAGTTCAATCCTATTAAACTGTTTCTAACAATATAGTGATTAACAACATTCAGTTCTCAAGCAACTGCTCACACATTTACATGGCTGAATACATGCACCGTTATGAGTGGGGACCAAAAACATTCCAAGACCACCACTATCCAGGTTAGTGTTATTATTGAAGATGAACACGATTAAAAATGTTAGGACAATGAAACCTAAATTGTTACCACCACCTCCAAGCCTTCTTCCAGTGGACCAGAACAGATCTTTACTATTGAGTTTACTGGCTTGGGTTCCATGTTTTATCCCTAAATGCATTCATGTTTCATTAGTGAAGAACATTCCTCACTTATTTGGAAAGCACCTTGGCTGCTTGGTTCTAATACTCCTGATAATTCAGGCCAAATGGAAGGCAGAAGAGGTACAGCTGCTCAAAAGGTCAAGCTGCAGAAGAAGCTAGGGAGCAAGCCTCACCCTGTGTGGATTGTGTTTATTAAGAATATTTTCACCTACAATGTCCCCCTAGGAATCTGAGTGAGTACAGAGTCATATTAATGCAAAAAAAAAAGTGAAGAGATCTACATTATTAAGTAGCTGATCCTCGATATTCTGTACATCCTGTGAGAGGTCAAAGGAATGCACTAATGAGACTTGCAAACTTGAGAAGAGCATCTGCAATAGCTGAGTTTCAAAGAAGTATCAAATGACAAATGTCACAATAAGAGAGAAAATCAGCAACATCTATTGTGTTAAGTTGCTGTTCTTAATGTACAATGAAGTCTAACAAATGCACGGTGTAAAGCAGTCAAGAAATAAGTAAATTTCTACACTGGATTCTCTGAGAACCTCTGGTCTTGAAACTTGTCTATCAAGCAATCTTTGTGGTAAATGCTACTGTTAAGTAATGGGTAATAAGTAAGAAAAAGGTAAAATGACAACATATATTACACACAAAAATCTAACATTTCTTACAAGGAATTTTTGTTGTTGTTGCTGAATAGTTACCTTGTAAGCTGTAAGCTTTGCAAAGACTGCCTATTTAAATATAGGATATATAAAAATTGTGAGAAATAGCGTAAACTGAGAAGATCTCTAATGGTAAATGTAATATTTCTATAATACAGAGAAATAGACAAACACCTTAGCACAATACGTCAAACAATTACACTGATGCAAGCAATGAACAAATTCACAAAAAGTCAGCTAGTATTCAACTTAAATACATTGTTGACAACCTTATAAAACTATTCATAAATTTTAAATGCTTCATAGTAACAAGTTATATTATTCATTTTATTTAGTTTGCCATACTGAATCTATTCATCTGTATCACTGCACTCAAAGAAAAAAATTAAATAGTCCAAAAATACAGCTCAAGAACTCAAATTCTTCACCTGTTTTATTGCTACCATTTTTTCCTCTGCTTGTTTTAAATTCAAGATTAGACCAGTTCTAAACCTTTTGTATCCTTAGAAACTCTCATATTCCTATTTCTTGTATAATTTACTTTCAATAGCAAAAGTAAATTTCTTAACAAAACTCTCACACAAATATCTCTTGGGATGGTAGTACACAGAGGCAACATATACAGAATTCCTATTATTTTGTTCTCAAAAAGAGTGTTTTCCAAAAGGTAAGGCCTAACATGGTCTAATTTGCTCTTCTTTCAAATAACGTTTGTGCCAGTTACCAAAAAGGTCTAAATCAGTATCATGATTCAGAGCAGCACCACAAATAACAGAGACTACTTGTTATTATCTGGTCATCAACTCAAGAAGAAGTGGGTTGGATACAATTAAAAGAACCTGCCAAAAATATGAGCACTTTTGCCAGTTTGACAGGTACAGGGTCAAAAACACAGCAAGATCCTAATTTAATTATACATATACAGGAAGTTTTCATTTGCATACCTCTTGTAATTGAATAGACATCTGTCCCAGTTGGTCCTGGCGCCTTTCTACAAGCTGTCTTTCAGCATGCATTTCTTGTTCTATCTCCTGAAGTCTTCTTTCTACCCGGGCTGACACCTTCAAAAGGAAAAACAACCTGCAGGAAGTTAGGGCGCATTTTTACCACATACTGAGAAATTTATTTTACCACATACTGAAAAATGGAGAAAACAGTAAAAAGTATGGGACAGAAAGAAAGAAAAACAAAACAACATGTATTTTGTGAAGATTTAGAATGGTATAGAAAATAACCAGATTTATAGCACTGAGTACTCAAGCAAGGAAATGACCTGCTATTTTGTTAGCAATATCTTCCTTTACATCTATGATATTTTTCTTTACAGTGGTGGTTCTGATCAAGTGCTAAATATATCAAGTTTGGTACAGGCTAAGCTGAGGCTGCAATACAGAAATCCTAGCTTCTCTGCCACTGGTCTGGTTAATCTCTGGAGAGTCACTTCCTTCACATCTCCTGTCTAAAACAGACCACCATTCACCTCCTTCATACTCAGAAATCCGTGACTGACAAGTATGAGAATGACTGTAATAGCACAAAATATTTACATGAATAAGACTTTTCCCCAATATTTTTTTCAAATTGTATTCAAACTAATATAACTAACACCAGTCAATTGTTAAAGCAATCTGGATTACAGGTACAATAATTCAACTTTAAACTACACCCAGAACTACTTTATTTTTGCATTTCAAGCTACTAGCAGAGAGCACCCTCTTGTGGGCAGCAAATTAAATTTACATCGTTGAAGTTACAGACGAGCAAGGAAAATACTTATGTATTAGTATCCTCCCTACTTCAAAACTAACAGCTTTAAGGAGTCACTAGAAAGCAGTATTACCAAATTACCAAACAGTATCTAGATAAAACAAAGATTTAAGAGACTTGTACAACTATGAGTTTCTGATGTGTGTGGAGGGGAGCAAGTTCTCATATCTACTTTCACCAATAAGCGAGCTTTTACTAGGATATATGCATGTGTATGGATATAGAATTTTAACAGGAACAACACAGTTGTGTAGCAACAGATACATAATTATGGACACATTCATACTTCATGAATATCATAAAACATTAGGTTTAAAAGAATGAAACAGTCATTTTGTCTTTATAACAAGAAGTGGTGCTTTGAAAAGGTTTCTTGTTTGCACAGCCAGATGAGCAGTCAGCTCACAACTTGGAATTTTCTATTTTCTCTTAAAACCATCATGAGATGTTAAAAAAATGTACTTCATCAAATCATGTTCTTTCATGTAAGTTATGAACGCTCTGCAGCCATAACTAATTACTGTAAACTAATGCATAAAAATAACGATCATGTCACAACACATGCATTTCTATTGTGAAAACTACTACTTATTGTTACTTCTAATAATTCACAGAATACAGCTAACAATGATTCTATCTAACAGTAACAAAAAATAACACTATCATTAAACTTGTTGCATCTCTGCAGAAAATTAGGGAATGACTGTCACAGTTGTCATTTGTGTACTTTAAATACACCTGAAATAAAGTTGTGGTTTATGTTTTAAAAAAATCTGAAATGAAGTATTAGGCTATTTAGTATTTAAAAAATACATATGTTGGTAGTATAAGGAATTAAAGGTAGTGGGGAAGTCAGCGTTATGGAAAGAAAGCAACATGGCATTTAGGAGGCTAGTATGGTGACGAAGCTTAACATCGGAAAAACATAGGAGTTCTTGTACAAAGATTTACATAGCTAGGATACAACATAAGTTTTTGTAGGGTTGCACAAGTAGTCAGGGAGGAGACTAGGCAAAGAAGGCAGAGAGCACAGAAGTCCACAGCAGATCAGGTTTATTATGTTGTATCTTGTAATAGTGCAAAAGAACCAAGTACTATAATTAGCAACTTCCTCTGCATTCTCTGTGACAGCTGCTATGTCACATTCATGTCCTAGCCATGCTTAGTAATAAGACTTTCTGGAATGCAGTAAACTTACCTTTTCTGTTTTGGAATATTTAGCACCACCACAATACCACAAACTGGGTCACCTATCACCATATTTTCCAAACTAATTATCATTTACGCTATGGAACAGCTGAAGTCCAAGCACAGGTCCCTCCAGATCCAACACCAATCTTTTTATGTGTTTCTACGCTGGAACTTTCCAGAAGCCTCTCTGGTAAAAACGGATGCAAAACAAGGAACAGATTCTGCCTCCCATCTTCTCCACAGGTGTTTTCTTTTCTGAACATCGTTTCTCATTTAATCATATTTTCTCCTAGTGACACTATGGCATTAAACAGGGTTTATCAGTGTGTGTAACTTTGGAACCTCTTCATCAAACAATTTTTAACCTACCTTACTCCATTTTTATATTTAGCTGATGAAGTTTATCTAACCTTTCCACTTCTATCATTTGGCTATAACTTCTGGAAGGACTTCCTTTTACCTTGTATAGTTCCATCAGGTATCTTTTGATTTCCTCCAGATCTTCTAATGCATTAAAGTCCTTACTGTAGTATATTCCAATTTCTTCTACATTGTCTTGAACTATTTTACCTTCCTCATTGCCCAACATTATTCAAATAAGCTTCCTCATTTTTGTGCAACTCCCTTCTAGAAATCAGATGTTATTGTAAAAAGCTTACTTTTTTTTTTTTTTTTTTTTTTTTTTTTTTGCTCTGGTAGGGGTGCCAAGCTTATGTTTGTTGTTTTGGTGATTGTTACAAAGTGAGTCTTTCATAGATTAAAAGCCACACACAGGGCTTGGTTTATAACAAATAACTGCTTTTATTCTGGAATAGTTCATGTTTATTTGCTCTACAAAGTAGTTAACATGCTACCTAAAAATGTAGTTCCCCCCCAACACGACAGTTACCCATCTACAGTGGTTTAGACATTATCTTCCATGAGAACTGTGTTTCCTGATTTTGTAGCCTCTCTGATCTTCCTTGGATTGTCACAGAACCTGTGACATGCAACAAGAGCGATAACAACAAAAGGAAGATTAGAAGCAGTAGGCAAGTAAGCAGTAAGTTGTATATGAAGAAGAGACTAAAATTCACTTCTCTTCCTCTATCCTAAATGACCCATATTCAGGACAACATTCCTACCTGAACAATACACATCTTGTCCCCAGATTAAAAGCCGTAGTGCAGACAAGTGATTCACTGAAGTACAGTAACAAGGAACATGGAGGTTCTACATAATGACATGAAATGCTAAATTATTGCATTCAGTGCATATTAGAACATGATTGAAGGATGTATTTTCAGCAACACAGCCTACCTGAACAATAATCATGACACTAGGAGCTCTATCTCTGTGTTAGGTTTATCAAATAGCAGCAAAATCTATGAAAATGGATTAGGCTACCAAAAAAAGTTCTCCTACCACCAATTAAGCAAAAAGAAAAGAATGTCCTGTTTAAAACCAGGGTGACATTTAAGTCGTAGCTAAATTTAATTCTGCAGAAGATGCTGGATGCCTAATTTACAAAAAGCAGTATCCTACTTCTTAAATTTCTCCCCCATTTTTCAGCTTTCCACTGTTTTTTCTGGCTGAAATCTATTTCAATAGACCTTTGTTGCTTTTGTTATTATCTATTTTATTGTCAATGCAGACTTGAAGCAGAAGTCATAAAAACACAGAAATGACAAAGTACTTTGATAGATTTCACTCTGAATATTGAGTTAAACATTCCCCTCATGGCAAACACTAATGCATGAAATGCATTTTACAACAGTCACCTTTGCAAGGCCAAAAATCTCTATGTCAGGTCCTCTGAGGGACAGTTACTTATCTAAAAGTAACTGTGTCTCTCTGGGACGTCTTAACCACATGAACTCCATGTGAGATTTGTTTTACTTGACATCTCTGTCTTTTTCCACAGACATAACCTACACTAACCTTCCAACAGCACCATCTCAACTATGCATCTACTTACTTTGAACAACTCTGTGCTTTGCAGCAGTTGCTTTCTATGTTGTTTGGGATGAGCCTTTATATGAGGAGATGGCAACAAAATATCCAAGAGGGATACCTTATATAAACAACGTAAATAAACATGTTTTCAGTTGTTTATAGGTCTTTATGGACATCCTCTATAGCTGTTTGAACTAATGTATAGTTCAAACATACAAATTTGTTTCAAGAAAAAAAATCTCAGAACATATCCCAAGGTTTCCATTAGTGTTAAAGAACAGATGTATAGGATATTGTCTCTTAGAAGCATCTTAGAGAATACTGTAAGAGGAGAACATAGAATTACGAGTTCCATCATCTATTGAGCCATTTCTAGATAAAAATAAGAGATTTTGATACAGCAGAAGTTGTAGAGTCTGCTGCCTTTTTACCAAAGCTGTACATAGATTCTCAAGTATATGGTCACAAGGAATGGTTGATTTGAAAGAGACATCCAGCTAAGCCTCACCACCTCAGCCATCTTTTTTTTTTTTTTATGCTAAACTGGAAAAGGCTTCCATTAAAGTTAACATTGATGTGCATTGATTGTGTGTGTTGGGTCTGTCTGAGCTGGAGTCACCTTTTCCCTGCAGCAGCCCACAGAGTGCTGTGCTCTGCACTCATAGCTGGAACAGCACTGATATCACTCCAGTGTTGTGTCTATTGCTGCATAGTGCTGGCACAGCATCAGGACTCCTTCCAAGCCCCCAAGAGCCAGCAGGCTGGGGGTGGGCAAGTGATGGGGAGGGGACATTGCCGGGGCAGCTGACCTAAACCAACCAAAGGGATATTCCAGTAACACCTGATGTCACACTCAGCAATAAAAGGGGGAGCTCTCGTGGGGGACGGGGCTGTTCCTCCTGAACAACCACTACGCGTTTTGAGACCCTGCTTCCCAGGACATGGCTGAACATCACTCGTTGATGGGAAGTAGAGAATAATTTTTTTCCCTCTCTCTGTGCTTCCATGCAGACTGATTGTTTCTTTTGTTTCTTTTTTTCCTCCCCATTTCCTTTCCATTTAATTAAACCTTCCTCATCTCAAACCTCGAGTTCTCTGTGTTGTATTTTCTACCCCTTCCTCGTTGAGGAGAAGGGAAGTGAGAGAGCAGTTGTGGTGGAGCTCTGCTGCCCACCTGAGTAAAACCACCATATTGTGTTGTGTGACTCTCTAATATAGGGGGAAAAAAGCACTCAGCTTCAACATCAAAAAGGCTCTCAAATCATAAACCTCTAATAAATAAATTCTAAGCAAGTAACTCAGACGGACTGTATCGAAGAGACCTTGGACATTTATTATCACATTTATGTAGTTTATATATAAGCAGTTTTCATACAGTACTGACCATTCTGAACAGTACAGCTGTAAGAATGGGTTACAAGTCCCTACAGAAATGAAGGCTTAAGGACACTAAGCTGAAACACATGTTCCTGCTACAAACTCATTCTGTCAAATTATCAAGATTTCAAATCGACAACTTACAGTCAAAACCCCTAAAATAGAATGCAAATAAAAAGATGGTAACATTGAAGATGATAAACAACCTCTCTGAAGTGAAGTAATAAAGACATGGAGGAAATAAGTTCCTGCACAACTTTTCATAAGTTATAAGAATAAAAGTGTTTCTTCCTACACAACTCAGGCAGCCAGACTCATCAGTGTAACAATAAATCATTAGGCTTTGAACAATGGAAAGAGTATCCAAACCCAGTTTTGGAGTGCAGAGGTAAAGCAATCAGCTCTAGCCTACTACTGCTAGCCTTTTCAAATGAGGTGGAATTGCACAGCTATGAGTGTCAATGCATGTCAGAATTCTTCAGCCTGAGAAGGGTAATCCTATGAAGAACCTTTTAATAATCTCCTCCAATGAAAATTAGACATGGAAAAGCAGATTTAAAAAAGAAATAGAGTAAATAAAAATAATAAAAACACACCACATGTGGCAGCTCCTCCCACAGTATGTAATCTATCTGTAGAAATTTCTAAAGGATGAGAAGATAAAAATATACAAGGTATAGCAAAGACTGGACAAGTTAAAAAAAAGTGCACAAATCCACAGAGATTACTAAGTACAAAAACTAGAGAAGTACCACTTGCACATCAAGAAATTCACAACTAATAAGTAAAGTAGTATCGTACAGAACTATCATTAGATGCATTTGTATCCTAGTATTGTTCCCTAGACATTTACTTTTTGATCTTCCATCATATAGGGCTAGGTCTCTCCTCTCTGCATAACCCTTCTGCAAACTGAAAAACAGCAATTGCTTTAACCTTCCAGAGAGGTATCTAAATGAATGACCTGCCTTCTCCATCCTCCACCCTTCTGGTTTTCCCTCCATTTTGCCCATGTTCTTCCTACAGTTAATAAACAGCAATGAGTAGAACATTCCTGTTGAAGTCGTATTAGTCCTACCCAGGAAAACCATGTGACTGCAGCCAACTGCAGAAATCGTATCTTCATTAAAAGTGTTTCATTAAACATTTCAGCTTTCAAAGCTTTATGGGAGGATAGTTTCTCTCACAAATAGAAGACTTTTTTTAACGGCAAGGGGAATATCAAAGAAGAATACTGAAGGCTTCTTTGTTACAGTTCTCTCATCTTTTGCTTGTCTCAGAATAAAATTGTAGCAACCAATTTCAAATCTTGAAATCCTGCTATAGGAGGTCACAAACCAAAACTAGTTATTTCTTTCATTTATGTAAAGACAGTGGTTGCCAGCATTCCAGAGGATTGAGGAGGAAGGTTTGTTTCTCTCATTCAACAGCACAGAACAGTTGTGGTGTAGACAGCTGCAGCAGCTGTTTTCTTGTGAACTGTCCTGCTTAAAACTTAGAGCTTGCTAATTTCCTGGTGCATCAGAGGAAAAAAAAAAGTGTACTGAGAAGCAGGACACAACACTCATAGGGAGCTGCAAGCATCAAAGAATTCCTTACCATATAAACAGTGCTAACATTCTAACAAGGACAGCCTGTTAAATTCTTCTACAACAGCTGAAGAGGAAAGTCATCTTCCACTGATGGATTCTATCATGTTAAGTGTATAACTGGTCTTGAGATCACAGCCTCTTGAATCCCTCTCTTATTTCATTTACAGTCAGGAATTTACACAAGTACAATTAATAAGTCTGTTGGTGCCAAGAAGCAGCCCTTGCCAACAATACTGATATCAGTGACACATGTATCACTAAAGCTCTTGCCAGGTCCTTTAGTACCAATTCATGCAATTTTAGGGAAGGATGATCCACCTAGGAGAAAATAACACTTGCTCTGAGATGTTAGCATGGCTACTGATGTCACATTAGCATTTACATAAAGCATAGACTCAAGTCTTCAAGTCAAGAACTATCTACAGGATTTTTACCTCCTAACCAGATTTTCAGCTTCCCTTGTGCCTACAGCAATACTGCTTTGACTTGCGTCTCAAGAGCTCATCTCGTCCATATTTGAGTGATATAGACTAGAGTATCTCCTTCCAGCAGATGCAAGAGGCAAAAAGTAAGAGACTTCATCATGGCTGCGCTTCCTCCTTTGATTTGTCAGAGCCTCCAGATAAAATTATAGCCACAAGAGACATTTCCCTTTCAAAAGGCTTCACAGATAAGGACTGAAAAGGACAGGGAGAGAAGGAGGAAGAGGAATCAATATTATTACTCAGATTCCATGGTTATCATGGAAGTTCTTCAACATGGCAAAAACTAACTTGTATATTTCAAAAGCTATCTGTTCACACCAATGTTCAAAGTTAAACAACAGTTTTCTCTAAAAACATGATTTCTCAGAGAGAAATTCACTATATACATATTTGTAAAACATTCACTTTCAGTTTAAACAAGCACCTGAGATACAGGCACTTGTTTTGCTGATTTCATTATGGAAGGGTAACAATCACCAATCCTAACCTAGATAGAATCCTGTTCAGATATACACCAATACATAGTACTAATTACCAAAACATACATTATACTAGTAACCCATATCCTGTTTAGACCATTAAATAGAAATCTTTTCATGTTATTCACACTCACCGTTTCTTGTCTTTGGGACTCAGTAAGCTTTTCAGACAATTCTGCTAGAGTTTTTCTCATTTCTGCATCAGTCCTTCACAGAAAAATACAGGTAAGATTTATATTCTGCAGTGCAAAAACTAAATATCAACTATGATAATTTTAAGCAGCAACAATTTCATGGATTTTTAGGTTACTCTGAGTCATTCTACGGTTTCTAAAACCCTAGCATAATTAGAGACCAGCCTCAAGTGGAAAATTCATTATAGAAAGCATTTCCATTCCTCTAGTGAAGACATCATAGCATCTAGGTAGAAAGACTAGGTATCAGGTCAACAAGTACAAAATTATGAACATGTCAGCACAATCCTTTTGAATAGGACTAGTTCTTACTAGGAATTAGAAGACTAATTCCTGTTACTGTGATTAGACAAAGCACCATATGTTGAGACAGCACATACTTAAAAAAAAAAAAAATTATGGCCTGCATAAGAGCTTATCCTCAATAGACTCCAGTATCAAGAAAAATAAAGGAAATAAAGTTTTAGTAAAAGAAATTCCCAAGTTCCTGTCTTTTTGTCCACGTATAAAAAGAGGGAGGTAGCCACATATACTATAAAAATCAATGTGTGTGCATCATTTATACATATAAACATTGGATGAGATTATGGGTAATAAACCTTTCATAGTACTGGTTTCACCTGTACCACTCTCCAACATTTTGTTTTAATACAAAAGAACACAGGAAATTAAGAATTATTTATTCACATGGAAGTTATATTCTGTTTATACCGGTTTCTTCTTGAAAGCTCCCGACTGATGTCATCTCCTAGACGAACTTGTTCACTACTGAGATCTCGAAGAGACTGGTGGAAAGAATGCAGCTGTAAATTAAAGTACAGAAATTACGCCAAATTTTAAGGATGCTTTTATCTGTGATATTCCAAAAATACATATATACACGCTTTTAAAAAGAAAATATTAAATGAAGTGCAGCAGATTATTTTTATCTGGAAAATAACAAAATTGCATGAATTGAAGAGCAGCCTGGATGAAGCCTGTATGCTTCTGTTTCTATCAGCTCTTCACAAAACTTGCTCATCCAGTTTAATTTCCAGTACATGATTTGCTAAAACAAGTTTCCCGACTATATTTTTTCTATCCTTCAGAGCTTATTCATTTCAGTTACTTTACATTGTACCATCTTTTTAATTTAATACAAGATAAATTGAAATATCTGAACAGGTGGCATCAGGACAAACTAAATAAATACTAGTATGAATGAGACAAAGTTCTGCTCAGCTACATAAACTACTATAGAAGCATAGCATGTAAAATTGCAAGTGACCAAGCAGAACACTACAATGTTTTCAGAAACTTCCAAAGCACTGAGGAATTTTATTTTACTTTGCCCAAGATTTCTATATACTACCTTAGAAAGGTTTTTTCCAGAGTTGGAAAAAAAAAAAAACAAACACCATTTTCCTCAATAAAATGTCACATTTAGATTCCTGTTTCCCTTAGTTAGCAGACCAGTTTATAGTCATTATAAACTACATAGTTTATAATGACTTAACATTATAGTCATATAATGTGTATAATAACATTACAGTCATTATAGTAAAAGCTTTTAAGAGAGAGAATAGAAAGGTAAAGGTAATTCCACCCTTCAAGGGAGGAAAAAAAAAAGCAACAGTTCAAGCACCAGAGTGCTGTAAACAGCTCAGTGGTTAGGGCCACCGTTTGGGAAAACCTTCACTTATAACATCTCCTTGGTCTATATGCAAGACTTTAAACTGAATCTTCCACAGCCCAGCTGATTGCCCTCAATATTCAGGCACAGACATCAGCCTCTCTCCTGTGTGACAGACCAGAAATTTCAGCCTGGCCTAGGAGGCTTTGACAAACACAATACATTTTCAGAATGCATCAGTTTGAGAAGGACGAAGATTCAAATGTGTCAAAAATCCATTTCGCTAGAAAATTACCTTCGCCAGAAGCAGTCAGAACAGAAGAAAGGGGCTGTGGTTATATAAATAAGAAAGAGCTGAAGCTTTATTTTTTATTTGAGTAGTGCTACTCTATCTCTGCCCCAATTTCTGCCTATGGTCATAACAAATGGCTATTTCTAGAGAGTTCAACATTCCTCAAAGCACTGTAGTGTTTTGTGGGTTTTTTTGTTTTGTTTGTTTTTTATAAAATAGCTGATGATCCAGTAAAGCTGTATTCACTCAATGAAAAGCGAGGATAAGGAATAAACTAGCAGTCATCATAAAAATAAGAAAAAAAAAATATTTATTTACACCTTCACTTAATATAAAACATTAAAGTAGTTAATTCATATTTTCTGAAGAGTCTGCAGGTAGACATGACTGGAGAGGTCTGAAAATCAACCATGCTATACACGTCCTCTCACACCCACAACAATTGCCTGAAGTACTGAGTTAAATTATCCTACTCACAGGTCAGATTTAGAATTAAAATGAAGAACTAGCTGACTACAGATCAGTTCAGACTAGACTGAAGTGAATGGCAAAAGCAGTAAGATCCAGTGCTATTAGCTAAAGAAGAGCAATCCCCTCTATAGCTACACCAGGTTTCAGCATATGCATAATGCTAATTAAATATTCAGATATTATTTCTGTCTCCTATGTTGCCCAAAAAGTTACAGAAATCATTTTCATAACTTTTGACATCACTATCATCTGTACCTTTTTATCTATAAAGATAAATTTGTATGAAACTTTTTGACACTCATAGATACGATAGATGACTGTCATGAAACATGGCACAGAACATTGAAAGGACACTTCACAGCTGTAAAATTCTTAGTTTTATCATTTGATTTAACATTTAAGAGCCTGGTAACCACGTAATGCTTGTGTAGGGAAATAGCTTCCCATTAGTGATCTTACCTGGTCCAAATTGTCTGCCTCATTGACGAATCGAACACTTGCAGATCTAGATCTTCGATGTCTACTGTCCTGTGAGTCTCCATAATCCCTGAGAGGAGAAGTAGGCAGGAAGTGGCGGTTCCCTTTATAAAAGAAATAAATAAGAAAGACAAAGCTTTGTACAGGAAACGTTTAATTTTACTTTGAGAAAAGCTCATGTTTGATCTTGCCAATATGAAATACATTATAGACAAAAGAATTACTAAAGTTACTTAAAATGCATGGACATACAGTTGAAATATTTTTGAATATTTAGATATATGAGATGGGCAAGAAAGAGAAGAAGCTTTCCTTTGCTTCTCCAAGAATTAGGTAGACTTTTTTATTCAAATTTTATTTGCCCAAGCAATGTTTTTTCCTCTATTTGGATCTACTGCAGTTTCAAACTATGCCACAGATTTTACATCAGAAAAAAACAGAAAACTTTAAGAAGTTTTCTACTAAAATATATTAAATGCTACTTCTGGAAAGAATATTCCTCTCAAATACACCTTTCCCACCCTCCAAAATAATGAAATTTAAGAGATGTAGAAGAAAAAAAACCCTACTTTTCTGTATATTATACATTGGTTTAGTTTTTTTTCCTTTTCCACTAAGCCTTATACAATTTTACCTACATACCAAAACCTTATGCATTTAAAATTCATGTTTTCATTTTGCTGTGAAGCAAGCTTCAGAAACTGCAAAACATTTTGGATTTGACTTACAATTACCTACAAATCATGAAGGGGGTAAGACAGTTTTCATGTATCAATGTTTCATTTGATCTCTTGAGATATCAGCAGGAAAAAAAAAAAAAACAAAACATGCAATGGAAATCATTTACCTAATAAACAACTGCTTAACTTAATGCAGGTCTCACAGATTTCTAAACTGAATTTCTTTGAAACAATCCATGATATATCCTCATGCCAATATCTTTATACATTTTTATTTTCAATTTCCTCATTCAATATAATATCAATATGACATAATTTAAGTACACTCAAGCACCTCAAGTATTTTACCTGAAACTGCTTCTCCATCCAGATCACTAGGGTACAAGCTTGAGAGAGAAGCACTTCTCATTCCAGAGCTTCGGTTTAATCTTTGACTCCTTAACTGACCTATAGACTGTTCCAGCGTTTCTTTTAACTGCGAAGAAATTACATTTTACTGAAATATGAACCCAGCCACATATGAAAACACATATGCAAGATATTTTTCAGAAAAAATGGTCATTAAGAAAATCAGAGCCCTTTTTTAGCCTAGTGCCATTATGGATTAATAACAGCTTTTCTTATTTATCTCATACTATACTAACATACTATAATATAAACTGGTTTATAAGCTCCAAATAGAAGAGTAATAAAGCTACAAAAAATGCTAGTTTAATTATATAACAAACTACTATAGTTTGTTTTAGACTGTTCAAATAAATATGAAAAGTTTCTGTTCATGTCTTCTTAACTCTTGATATATTCTGCACATCACTTCTAAGTTTTCAGCTATGAATGCTATTAGGTAAAAAAAAAAAAAAGATTTAAGAAGTTAAGATAAACTGAAAGTTGCTCACAGTTGCTATTGCTTCCGTTTGTTCCTTGTTGTATTCTCTGTATTGTCCTAGTAAATGGTCAACATGTCTCAGATTTCTGTTGGTATCCTTAAAAAAAAGTTTGAGGAAGAAAAGTCAAAATAGAAACTTCCAACAGCTGTCTTTACTATTCTTCATTTATAAAATGAAGAATATACATATATGTTATATATATATATATATTATATATATATATAGTATTATATAATATATATATGTTATAAAACACTTATAAAACAAGTATTTTTTCTGAAGGGACTTAGCATTCCAGAATTCCAAATCCTAGTCAAGTAGACAGAATCTGAAGATGTACAGTGCAGCTAAAGGAACAAAACTGAACACTACATATGCAAGCGAGGACTCAGGTTCAGACAAAAAGCATATACATTTTCAACCATTCTCCAGCAAAATATTTTTATCCAAAGATCTTACAGTACTTAATTCTATTTTGTGGGCAGGTAAACCAAGAAATGGCAAGTTTTTGAAGATGAGCATATTGAGCAAAGGTAAGGAAGTTCACCAAGCAGGCAACAGAAAACAGAGCTACAGCAGATATTCTAAAGACACCCATTAAAACATTCACCTCAAGAAAAAATTAAGAAATTATTAAGGCTGTTAGGTGACATCCCTCTGACAGCAGGAAATGGGCCTCTTAAATAGGATTTACGAGGAAAAAACTGGCCATGTTAACATGCTCTCCAAAAGCCACTGCAAGATTATTCAGCCCTCAAGACTACATTTGTCTGTGCCATGTACAGCATTTGTCACAGCCTGTAACAAACCACAAAAGCTATACAATAATGGAAAGGACTGCCTGGTTAAAGATGACCAAGTCAAAACATACTTATTGCATTCTTTACTGTGGAACACCTTGACCAAGTTCCATCATTTAGTTTATATAGCACAGTTTCTTAGCAGCTCAAGGCACCTTAAACCAGACTGTGACAGTCCTACCCTTCCCTTCAACATAATTATTCCTCCTCCTCCTCTATACAAGCACTCCTGTGACCAGATGAAGAACAGGATCAGGTAGCAGATCTGCTAAAAAGCAGTACAAAATAAGCAATTAGCTTAAAATCAGATTCTTAGAAGAGCAGCTAGAAAGAGATTAGACAAGAACAGGACAATTCTGAAGAGTGCCTTTTAAAAAAATATTGTCAGCTTACATTCTTATTACCTCATCTCTTTCTAGCTTAATGATCATTTTCCAGACAAAAAGTTCTCAAATATAAATTAACCATTGAATATGCATTTTTCTCTTCTCACGGTGTGTATATATATAGGCCAAACAATAATTAAACACAAGTGATAATGCACAAGCCCTTTAAGTCCTCAGAACTATCAGCTAGAACAGATATTCTCACCATACAGGTTATTTTTTGTTTTTTTATTTTTCTTCCACTCTGAAGAATGTTAATGACTTTTGAAGTGACAAATGGTGTCAAGGGAGCAAAACGTCTCCTCCCATACGCAAAACAGTTTCAGAAGCCTTGTCTGCTGCCTCCACTGAAGAAGCAGGAAGCAGATGAACGCTCTCCTACTCAGGGATGAATCCATTACAAGTTTACACACACTGCTTCTCACTATGCTGTGCCACATCTAGAAATTATTTCAGTTGTAAGCTCTATTATGAGAAATAGAGTACCTACATATTTAGTTAGAACTTAGAAATTTTATACAGTACAAGACAGTTAAGAGAGGGCTGGAGTTTTCTACTACAAAATTCAATGCCTCTTCTGACAATCCGAAAAGGTTAATTTTGCATTACTCATTTCACTAGTTTTATAAACACCATTGCCAAACACTTTATTGTTTCTAAGAATATTCTATTACATTTTCATACAGTTGTTATCTCAGACCACAGCAAGCCACCTACTTTCAGCTCAGAGGCAATATGATCAGTTTCATAAACCCTTTAGGTTTGCACAGAAAGCAACATTTCCCAGCACTACAGTATTTTGCCAAACTTCAGAAGTGGAAACTAGACTCTATTTTACATATTCTAAATATACTTTAAACTGTATTTTGTAAGCTACCTGTAAAGTGCTTGCTAAAGTATGTATCTTCTCTGTAACTTCTTCAGCACCATCGTTCCGAGTTCTGTTGAGGGATGCCCTCAAAGGTGGCCGCCTTCTTATTCGACTCCTAAGAAAGTCATCTGAATCACTGGATGAGTGTGCCATTAGTATCTTGAAACCTAGGTAGGAAGACCAGAAAAGGTAACAAAAGCTAAAGCCTGATTGTTACTGAACAGATTCAACTTGCACAACATTGCCAAAGCAAAACTACTCAGACTACTGCATTAGAATCGTATCACAGAACGGCTTGGGTTGGAAGACACCTTGAAGACCATCCAGTTCCAACCCCCCTGCCATGGGCAGGGATGCCACCCACTAGGTCAGGTTGCCCAGGGCCTCGTCCAGCCTGGCCTTGAACACTTGCAGAGATCAGGCATCCACAACTTCTCTGGGCAACATGTTCCCACGCCTCACCACCCTCTAAGTGAAGAATTTCCTCCTATCTTCTTATCTAAATTTCCCCTCTTCTACTTTAAAACCATTCTGCCTTGTCCTCTTATTATCTGCCCAAGCAAAAAGTCGCTCTCCATCTTTTTCATAAGCCCCCTTTAAGTATTGAAAAGCTGCCATAAGGTCGCCCCTGGGTCTTTTCCAGGCTGAACAGGCCCAGCTCTCTAAACCTTTCTTCACAAGAGAGGTGTTTTTCATTCATTAGCAGGATGTACTTTTGAAGCAGGATGTACTTTTGGAGCTGATCTACCAACTGTTCCTCAGTTATTATGCTTGTACACACCACGAAGCAGTGGCCAGGATGCAAGAAGCAGAGCCCATTAGGACAGAATTAAACTAATAGATGCACCCTCATCACAGCCAGGTGTTCAGTACCCAGGCTAAGACCATAGCCCAAAACAAATTCTCTCTGAAAAACATACAGTGAAGACATCAGGAGAGCAGAGAAAAATGGATGATGAAGCCCTCAGGAGGCAAGGCAGTTGGACTCAATGATCTTTGTAGGTCCCTTCCAAATGAGCTATTGTGTTTTTATCCTAGCAGAACCATTCTGTTCTAGCAGAATATAATTTCCTCCTTGCCTCACACTAATTTCTAAGCTATATTCAGACCAGCTGGGCTCAACTAGGACCGTAACTCCAAATAACTAATTGTGGGAAGCAAGTTGTCCTGGTTTCAGTTAGAACAGAATTAATTTTCTTCCTAGTAGCTGGTGGAATGCTGTGTTTTGGCTTAGGATGAGAAGAGTGCTGATAACACCCCGATGTTTTAATTGTTGCAGAGCAGTGCTTACACCAAGCCTTTTGCTCTGTCCTGCCAACAGGCAGACTGGGGGTGCAGTAAGAGCTGGGAGGGGACAGACCCAGGACAGGTGACCCAAACTAGCCAAAGGGGTATTCCATACCATCTGACCTCATGCTAAACAATATATAGGGGTGGCTAGCTGGGGGGAGGGGGCCGGACTGCTCGGGGTTAGGCTGGGCATCGGTCAGCGGGTGGTGAGCAATTGCATTGTGCATCACTTGTTTGTACATATTATTAGTAGTGGTACTATTATCACCATTGTATTATTATTATTATTTTATTATTATTGTTATTATTATTTTCTTGTCTTATCAAACTGTCTTTATCTCAACTCACGGGCTTCACTTTCCATTTCTCCCCCCCCATCCCAGAGAGGGAGGGGGAGGGTGAGCGAACGGCTGCGTGGTGTTTAGCTGCCGGCCGGGTTAAACCACGACACAAGTCTAAGAACCAGTATATTTAAGGACTTTAGGAGAACTGGAGATACTAAAGAAGAAGGAAATGCAGTGTCACTAAAAGAAGGCAAAGGAAAGAAAATCCACTTGAAGTTAGATGGAACTTTTTTCCTCAAACTATTATGCACTGCAGCAGTTTGCCTAGAGGCCACGAAATCACTGTCAATAAGATTGGTGTTGACCATGTATATTTGGAGAGAAAGTCTGAATCTACTTTGGGGAAAAGGAAATAGGCCAGCAAAATTTTGAATTCCTTTTGGTCCTGTAGCAGACAAAAAATAAATAAAGCCGTAGTAAAGGTATCATTCTTCTAACCATTAATGCAGAAGTTTAACTCCCCTCCTCATCTAAGGAGGGGGAGTGAGAGAGTGGTTGTGGTGTTTAGCTGCCTAGCACAGTAAAACCACCACACACAGTGGAACTAGATTCAATTGCTATAATATATTTTATATATGTGCCACTCAACGTTTTTCCAGAGTTGTATACTGCATTTTTATGATGTAAATTTCTGTCTGTCAGACTTGTACAGAAACCTTGTTGACATGAAAGAGTAAATCAACATAATCAGTTTGTGCTCAAGTACACCAATATTCCTTACACCTGTTTTCTGAAATGATGAATTTATCACATCCTCCCTGCCCTTATCTCACTAAAGCCTGTTCTTCCTGCCTATATCAGCATTCACTGCTCCAGAACTTCTCACTCCAATCAGCTGAAATGAAGCCTAAATGTGGCTGAGGAAGCACAAACATTGCACACTAGCAAAAAGGTAACATGGAGTGTTTTAAAGGGCAGAGGAAAAGAAAATAAATTAAACACTGGTACCAAAGCAACATGTAATAATTTTCATTTTTACTATGTCTTGCTAATCATGATAACAAGTTTTATTTTCCTTGTCAGTCTTTACTGGAACTTCACGTGGGTATCAGTGAGATCCCCATTCTAGGGCACAAACCAGAAGTATCACTGATAAGCATGAAATGATACTTCTCCTGAACAGATCTGGCATCACCTGTTCTAGAGTAATTTTTAAGTTCTCCTATAACAACACTGTCAGTTCTCTGGGCTTAAACATCTCTTCCTGTTCTCATCCGCCATGCACAAGAAGCAGCACAAGCACTCAAAACCCAATAAACAACAGCTTCAACAAACAGCTTCCTCAAAGCTTAACAAAGGTTCTCAGTTTCAAAGCATTTTTGGAAGATATTTTTAAGACACCAAGCAAAGGAGAGAAGGAATTAGTGGTCACACTAACAATGAAGCACAAGATCAGTCCCATCACGTATCGGGAATCCAACCCTGAGACATTAATCCATGTGAATCCAGCCTTTACCTGTTCATGTACCTATGCACCAGCATATTTTGCCTGACCCATCACACCTACAGGTGAAACACCAAATGGTTGATGGTCTGTGCCTGTCATATTTTTTCTCAACTACAAAGTCATAATAAAAGTTGTTTTGGCAAATTAGATTCTTTAAAACCACAGTAATAGTTTCACAGGAAGCAAATTCTCTTTTCCTCCCAAACCATGCAGAAAAGCATAGGCTGGATCTACTCTATATGTAGAATATTGCACAGCAGTACCCCATGAGACTTAGAAAAGCAGACTTAACATTATGCAATTCATACGGCTTGTCTGCTTTGAACTCTTATTTCCACCATGTCACATTTCCTTCTAGATCCACAAGCCCCCAAATAACATCATTTACAACATTACCAGTTTCACATTAGTAAAAATGTGCTTTTTAAGTATACCTTAGTAGATAGAGAAATGAAGTACACATCAGAACACTGAAGTGGTCAGAAGTGTTTTAACTCATTTCAAGATGAAATGCTATAAGCCAGCAGAATACCAAAGGGCAGTTATTGCAACTCAGCTGATGGGAACTACATCCTTAAAAATTTCCCAAACTCAAAAGCAACCAAGTCTCTGAACACAATGCTACATGTACCTCTAGGTAGATGAATATGGCAACTCATGTCAGAGGAAAGATAGGCACTGATAAAAAGACAATGAAAAACAATAGTTGACTGATGCACTCAAAACATAATTCTGAGAAGCATCTCAATCATAAGAAAAGCACAGAAAAGCTATGACACTGTAGGAAAAATAAAAATAAAGACGGAAATGAAGATTTACAGCAGAAGATATTGATGTTTATTTTCAGCTGGCCAAAAATAGCTCATTAAGGCACTGGTCAAAGTAGAAAAGACAGGCTAGTGAGTGAAGGAAACAGAAAAAATGTTATACACAAGGACACTTGCAGAAAACTTTCCATTTACGGTTGAGCAGAATTCCTCTTTGCTCCTGCGGGCAACTTAAGAGGAACTGTAGGCACTTTTAAGTTGGAGAAGTCTCACTTCACATAAAGTGACATCCTCATTTTAAAAGGAACTGCAGAAGTTTCATTTTAGATTAAAAAAAAAAATCATACAGAAGAAGAAGTTTGTAGAAATATACTGCATGAGCGTTTGCTGTAATTTAAAACTAACAAACAAAAAGGAGTATTATCACTTTTCCTAAACTGCTAAACCGATTTTAGCACACAATCATAAAGCCTACCTGACTGAGAATTACTGGTTGCCTTTTTTTGTTTTTTATTGTTACTTTGAGTCCACCTAGACAGATTAAAACATCTTTTGCACCAAGGAAAACGTCAACGCTCAGCATCCGCCTTCCCTGTTAGAACACAGGCGTTTCAGTTTCGTGAGGACTTTCCTGATAAGAGCAAGCACGAAGGCAGCTGACAGTCTCCACAGCAACTGCTCCAGCTCAAGTGAGGAAAAGACGAACTCAGTACACAGAGCCTGATCAGTTCTCAAGGGGTTTTATTTGTTTATCTCCACACACGCTACTCCATCGCTAGGAAACTGTGGCTAAAGCCGCGTTTGGAGCCTTATCGCTAAGGCTGAGCTTAACAAAAAAAAAAAAAAACTATGGCCATTGCAGAAGGGAACAGGACAGCCCCCTCCATTCAGCACTTCTCGAGCCACGAGCAGCTTGCAGGCGGCAGGCAGGCCACACACACCACGGCCGCATCCCCACCGCTGCACGCACCCTGCAGGCACGGCCCCTGCCCGACCCACAGCCGGGCACAGAGGGCGACCCCTCCGCACCACGCGCCCAGGTACCGCCGTGCCAGCCCCCCCGCGCCGTGCGCCCACCTACCCCCAACCCTACAGCCCACCCCAGCCCCGAGGGACCCCCTGGGGCTCCCTTCCCTTCCCTTTATCCCTCCCCTCCCGCCGCAGCCCCCCGCCCTCCCCAGGCGCGCAGCCCCCGCCCCGCAGCACCCCCCCCCTCCCCTCCCCTCACCTCGCCGCTATGGCAACTTGAACTAGCCGCCTTGCCACCGGCGGCCGCAGCCGCCTTCCGGGAGCTCGGGCACTCCCGCAAGGCTCCATGGGATGTGTAGTCATGCGCCCGGTGTCGGCCATGGAGGAGGCATAGCGGAGGACTTCAGTTCCCAAGAGGCTTTGCGGCGCGGCCGGCAGAGCCGACCGGCGGGTGGCTGCAGGGGTGGTGACTGAAGGCCGGCCCCGCCCTGCCCGCCGGCCGTTGGCACTTCAGAGGCCGCGGCGCAGAGGCGAGGGCGGAGGGCAGGGCGGGGCCCTTTACAGGCCGTGACTGGTGTTTATAAAGGCTTGTAAAAGATACATCTTTACAAAATGCACGTTAACGTTTACAAACATTGACATTTGCCAAAGATGACAGTGAAATAAACAAGAAGCGCTGAAACCAGAGCTGTTGCCCTGTCAAAGCAGGCGTGTGTGCCACACGCCGCGGGCGTGAGGGGACTGACGCCTGGCTGATCCACCTCAAACAGCACGCGTTTGTGGCAAGGATGATACCTCTGTTCTTCTCCCACAGCTTTTCCTAACTTGTTGCTTTCTGCCAGGTAGCTCCCTGGTCATGAATGTTTTATCTACCACCAGTGTGTGCAGTAACAATGAGCAAAAACAGATTACCGTGCTGAAAAGCCTTAAAGAGAGAAAAGTGAAAGAGTGTTTTGAATGATCACAGGAAACATTGACTGTGTCTCTGAAACTTGGACGGAGCTTGCAACAGTCCTAAAGTCTTAAAATTTGTTTGCAAGTCACCTGTAAGCGAGCATTCAAGCCCAAGGTACATATGATTTTAAACCAACGTATGTCCATGCTGCCTTTGGCATCCACTCCAAGGAGCTTCCCCAAGCCTCTAAGCACAGTCATAAAGTGTGGCTGATATCCATACCGGCTAGCGTCGTTCCTGACTTGCAGGGCTGTTTGTTGGCTCCCCCACAAGCCTCTAATGCAGCAGGCAGGACTGCATGCTGTACAGTTACAGCACACTGCAGGAATGAGACAGGCCCCACACACTGGCAGCATCCACCAACAGCCCTGGCAATTGCTGCTGGCCCCTGCTGCTGCAACTTTGATACCTGAGCTGAAGGCAGGTGAGTTACTCTGGGATATAGAACAGAAATGAGATGGCATAACTCACGTCACTGTGAGCTGAAGCATTAGTGAATAATTAGTGAAGAAATGTCATCCCTGGCTTTCAGCACATGACCATTGCCAAGGCTTTTGCTCAGCAAACTGCAGCGTGGTCAAGTTGTGCTGGCAGGCCTAAATACAGGGCAAGAGTCAGAGCTTCTGCTTCTCATCTCATCTCATGAGGCTACATATAGAGGTCTCTGAGGAACATGCCCTGAAACTTCCCAAGCTTTCTGAAAGCTTTCCTATCCTACCACCTTTGCACCTGGCAGTGGGCTTGCTCCTTCATAGTCTTCTGGAATTCATCCATATGCATATTTACTTTCCTGACTCAGTAGTCTCTCAGGCAATCACAGAGTGGTTGAAGGGGTAAGGAGTGTGTCCTGGATGTGGCTGGAGCCAGGAACTAATTTTAAGATATCTGTAGAGGAGAAAAATAATACAATGAATTATTTGTTTGCTTTTGTAATAAAGATATTAAATCTAAGTGCATAGGATTGCTACAGAATTTCTCTTCAATTTAGAGTATGTGTGAGAAATCAATGATTTACCTACATTGTTAATCTACTGTACCAGACATATTTCCAAGGAAGTTGTTTAACTTTTCAAGCACAGAACACTTTCATGTTATATGAAATCAAAAACTGTACTCTGTTATCTAAGGCACTGAGTTGCAACAGTCACTTGACAATGATTGCTTTTAGAGAGGCCAGCATTTTCCTTTTTTTTCCCTAAGGCTAGTGCTGCTTGTTTAACGTCGTTGTACCTCTTGACTCATAAACTTAAGAATGAGCATCCATTTTTAATAAAAGGGAAGATTATTATAAACCATCACATTGCTATATATAAAAATATATGTACAGGGAGTCTCAGGACACAGACCTCAAGAATGGAAAATCCAGGAAAAAAGAAAAAGAAAAAGAAAAAGAAAAAGAAAAAGAAAAAGAAAAAGAAAAAGAAAAAGAAAAAGAAAAAGAAAAAGAAAAAGAAAGAAAAAAGATGAAAGAAAGAAAGAAAGAAAGAAAGAAAGAAAGAAAGAAAGAAAGAAAGAAAGAAAGAAAGAAAGAAAGAAAGAAAGAAGGAAAGAAGGAAAGAAGGAAAGAAAGGAAAGAAAGAGAGAAGGAAAGAAAGAAAGAAAGAACTAACCATTTGTTTATAATTTTGTTGTTGTTGTTAGGCTTAAGTTGAATTTTTTTAATTATTGGATTTGTCATGAGTGGTCTCTTTTTGTGTTACACCACTTATCCATGACAGGTCATGATCATTCTTGTGGCTTGCAGGAGACTGTTTAGGTATTTCTTTCAGAAGAAATCAATCAAAAAGAAAAGAGAAGACACTCCTAAGTATATAAAAAAAAAAAATGGCTTAAAGAATCATCACTTACTGAGCTCAAAAAATTAGTTATTTTATCATAAAAGAAGGGAAAGCATTGTGGACTAGATGTATTACTTGAAGTCAGTAAACTTCAAACCCATTTTTGACGTATGAGTGTGATAATAATGAGTCAAGTCTCTTTATTAAACAGTGCTGGTCTCCAAACCAAAGCAGGTATATGCCGTGACCCAAGTCAAACAAAAGTGCAAGATTCCTCTAGAGTCTGAATTACGAGGGCAGAGTAGTTTTTGCTGGATGCTATTTCTCAGTATGGAGGCCTGTGCAAGAGACGAAGGTAGAACAGAATGGAATCAAAGATGTCTAGAAAGTTGACTTTAGATGCAGAGATACAGGCATTATAATCTGGGGGTGTGAAACAACTGTAAGTTTTTTAGGATAAATGGGATGAATGCAGACAAGAAGAAAAGGTCTTGTAATAGTACATACAGCAGCTATATTCTATTCTGTACCCTAGTCTGGTGAGGGATGACAGTAGCAACAAGAGGGACTTCTAAAAGTATGTAAGTAGCAAAACAAAGACTAGGGAAAATGTGGGCCCACTGCTTCATGGGCCCACATGCCCCATGACACGGGATAGAGAAAGCAGAGGTACTACATGCTTTCTTTGCCTGAGTCTTTTCTACCAAGACTGGCCTTTGGGAATCCAAGGCCTCAGAAACCAGGGGGAAAATCTGGAGCAAGAAAACTAGGTGGAAGTCTGGATAAAGGAAGACTTACCTTTGGTGGAAAAAGATAAGATAAAGCATACTTGACATATGTAGGTCCTTGGCCCAAATGGAATGTGCTGAGGGACCTACTGACATGCTGAGACAGCCAGGAGTATTCAGCTCCAGAGATAACTCCATAAGAGAAGGCTCAAGGGGAATCTTATCAATCCATATTGCTATCTGAAGGGAGGGTGTGAAGAAGTATTTAGTCTTCAGTCAACTGAGTACTTTTTATTTTTTTTACAGCTTTTTCATGGCTTTTGTGTGTATGAAATAAAGCAAAATGAGACACACAAGAGTTCCTTAAGTCCCATAATGATAAAATTCCATAACTATGTGTTCTTGAAGTTGGAGATAAGTTGGTTATAGAGACAACAATCTTCAAGAACCCAGAAAACATTCCTTCATGTAGCTAGTCAAACAGTTGGACTGATTGGTGCAACGTCAAAGCTGCATCTCTAATGTATTTTTTTCTGACAGAAATTATTTCAAATATTGAAATAGAAAAAGATTGTAACTGGCATATCTTAGAAATGTCTAGAGTGGCTAAATTTGTTGATTAATCAGAAAAAAAAAAAATCCTAAGTCTTTATTTCACTCTTTATTGAATGATTTCTCCAGTTTGAACACTTCCTCATACAGATATTACAAGATTTAACTGTTGACATCTTGTAATCCCGTGGGGAGTTTATGTAGAACAGCAATTAGAACTAATTGCTTCTTTGGAAGAACCTGTTGTGGTTTATCTGATTTGCATGTTAAACATATAATCAGTGCAAAGATACCCAAGATACTATATCAGATCTGGCAGCAGAGAGTAATTTTTCTGTTGTTGTTGTTATTTGTTTGTTTGTTTGTTTTAAATAACCTCCCAAAAAAATGGAATTCTGAGCCTTACAGTGCTTGAGACAAGTACACGATGAGTGACCATGGCTGTCACTAGAGGGAGTGTCTGTAACAGTGGAAAAATATACTTGTCAAATATACTTGTCAATTTTTGCCATGGTTAACATAATAGGAACTGGGGGGGGAGGGAAGGCGGGGGGGAAAGGGGAGGGAGGGTAAGCACCAGGAAAACAAATTGCAATCTGCAGTTTTACAGCTGACTTCTGTTTTATTTGTTCATTAGGACTAGAGCAGAAGCAATACCCATCACTTAAAACCACATCATTTTGTTACACTCAAAGCATACGGGATTTTGAATGTCTGTTCTTAGGATGTATATATAGCTGCGTATGTACAAGTGTGGGTGATACTTTTAATACACTGTGATTTTAAGCATAAAAGAAAGGAACGTTTATTCATAATCTACATGGTCTGGCAAGTTGTTAGTCAATCTGAGCTGTTAAATGTCACTTTTCAGAAATGATTATTGTTCTTTTTTTGAACTGATTATTGTTCTTTTCTACCTTTAAAAATATTTGAAGTCTCACCTATGCTAAACAACACTTTTCCATAATTCCTTTGATGCAGGTTATGTTCCTAATCCTTCTATTTTCCTTATTTACTACCCTCTGAATAATCCTCAGTATTTTTATATTTGCCTCGGCAATTAGTGCACAAACCCAGATAAAGTATTCCAAATAACTATAAATTCAAAGTGGAATAACTGAATGATAGTACCATTTTTTTGCCAGGCAGGAGGAGTCTTCTTGCATGTAGTTACTTGCATTTTTCTTTTCTGAATTACAACCTGTTAAGCTACCAAAGTAATTTTAAAATCTGATCTAGAGATCACATACCTCACTAGCCTGGAGCTATAGGTAGCTTTACAACTGTACTTTTTGCTCTGCCATCCAGCAGCCTGTTAAGGAAAACGTTGAACAGAAGAACGAAGAGGTGTCATGAGAAAGCTAAAGCATGGCTGCCAACATGTGCAGGGCAAGGACCAACAGGCAGGGCCCATGTCATCGCCCCAGCAGGGCTGCTGAGAGCAGTCCCAGGCACTGGGCACCTCCCTGGGGATGAGGGCTGGCAGTGGCCAAGCTGGGACATCAACCAGATATCAGACTGGGCTCACTGAGGCCCAAGGCTAGGATGTTGGGATCTGGAGACTGGCCTGGTGTGGCATCACTGGACTGATGTTCCATCCAGGAGAAAGGACCAGAGAGAAGATCAGAGACAATGCTACCTTCTGTATAGGTCCCAAGCACACACAGGGAAACCAGCCAGCAGCAAGGGCTGCAGGAGTAGGCCTGGGTTCAACCTTTACATAGCTCCTGCCAAGTTTGGGTGCCCAAGCCTATGCTGGCATGGAGCCCTGGGGCCTGTGCAGAGGGTGTCTGGAAATGGGGTGGGGAGGTTGGCCAGGGCAGAGCCTTGAGAGAATGAAACAAACTCTGACTGCAGATTCCTTGCTGGCAAGGTCCTTATACATTTCGGCATATGTGAGAAACTGCAATGTAAACAATGTCATCTTGCTCAGAGCGTAACTTTTCTGAGAGCTAAGCAAGTGCCCATGGAAACACAATGCAGTTAGCAAGAGCCCTTTTTCTCCCCAAACTCTTAGTGTTCCCAATTCTGAACATGCAAGACAGGTCTCAAAGCCCAGGAGGCAACACACCCAGACTTGGAGCTCTCCCGAGGCTGAAGTTTTGTCCTGTTTCCTTCAAGGCTATCAGGCCTTGAATCCAGTGCTTCTGTCATTCAGGTTCAAGTCCAGAAAACACGTTATGGTTCTTACTCCTTTTGAAATCTACTTAGAACATCTACAACTTTGATGTCAGCTTTATCATTTCTTTGGTCTGCAGTCTTTAACAGTTGCTATTTTGGCTCTGTTAGTAATAGCTGGGAAGGTATTTGTTCCTTCCATTAACACTTTCTGGACTTCTGTGGCTGCCGCGGAGCAGCTGACATAACAAAGTTTTTAATACCAATATCTGTGTACATGCTTTTCTTCCCACTAAATAAAATGTAATTCAAATTACTTTGCCTTCAGTGAAAGAGAATGAAACAATTTAGCCATCTTCTAGTTAAAGAGCCTGAAGCATTATTACAATGGAGCAGCTAATAGAGTAGCTATTAGTAAAGATAAGTAGCATAAGGATATCTTTAGTACACCAAATAAATGAGTATGGTTGGGTTTATGAAAACCTACTGAAATGACTCAAATCCTGGGACTACTTACCTGTCCCCCAATAAAACTGTTATTCTTTTGCTTAGTTCACAAAAAGTACATAAAAAGTAATGCTGACATCAGAATAAAAGTGAGGGAGGGGAGTTTGCAAGACTGCACATAAGAGGTTGTAACAAATCACTCCAGTAGTGCTGTCATTAAAGAAGGGATGCACCTCCCCGCTCTCTTCCTGCTAACCAGGTCTTGCTTGCTGTGAAAAGCAAGGACTCTTCTGTTGTGCTCCTAGTAGCATCGGGTTTTCAGGAGCAGTTATGAGAGGACAGAGATTAAGCTGGAAGAAGAGTTTAATGCTAGTGCTCAAAGTTGACAAGCTGCCTCTGGCAGTGTCAGGCAATGTTGTTTGCTGTGGGAAACAGCTATGGCTTTTACCCACTGCCTGGAAATCAAGTGTAAAATAGACTCATGACAGCTAAGAGCATTGATCCAAGAGAAGACAGAGATTCCTCTGGTGATCCATTTGTTTTGCTAGATGTACTCCTCTGTGTCAGCCTGTGTCATCCAAACTATTTCTTTGCCCAAGCCAAAAGGAATGGAGGTTTTCATGTCCTATTGCTAATATGGAATACAGTGTCCCCAGGACAAGCTGGCTACTTTGGCAGCAAGAACAAGAAAACCAGCAGAGAAGTTTGATATCCTAGGAAAATCCCGTAGGCAGCTGAAGCACTGTCTGAATTTTATAACACATAGAGCATTAGATGAAACTAAGTGGTTGATTACTGTCTTTGGGTAGAGGACCCAAGCCAAGCCTAGCTCTACTTTTCTAAAGTAAATTAAACTTTTCTTCTTGTTTGGTCTTTGATGTATCTGCATTTCATTTTTTTAAATTACGGCCATGTAGCTACAGCAGTATAAGTCCCAAATGCCAAAGGAATCGCAGTCAATGCACTGTAAGTTGCCTAGGGCACTCCAGCTGTGGAGAATGCTTCAGCTTGCCTTACCCTCACTGGGATGTCCTTATATATATATATAAGAATACCCTTAACTAAAAGAGATAAATGTGTCTGATGGGATGCCTTACTTAAACACAGTCTAGGTTCTAACAGGTCTGCAGGACTGGGATTTATATTTTGTTTCTTCATGGGCATGGTATTATTTCCTCACCTTAAAAAATATATGCTAAGGGTATTGATGGTATTTGTGGATGAAACTACTTAAATTACTGGTAAAAAGTTACACTGACATAACATCTGCTGTTTTGTACTCATATCTTTTTGATATTGCTGATTAGGCTGCAGGGGAACTATCTGCCCAAAAGCATGATCTAGTTTTTCACTGTGAGTAGGTTGCCTTTTGCAGTTTCCTTCTCCCTAGAGAGTTACAAACATTTTTGTTGACTTTCTGTTGGCGTTTTTCTCATGTACCCACATATGCACAAAATCTGCATGAAGGAGAAAACATCGGCATTAAAAAAAAAAAAAAAAAAAAGTAAAAGGAATTGAGGCAAATATTAAAGAGCTTTCTTTGTCCTCATTGAATTCAACAATTCAACTATCTCTTTTTTTTTTTTTCCTTGTCTTTCTCTACTTTTAAATACTTGTTTTTAGAATGAGCATCTCTTGTTTATGAAGAAACCCATAATTAAATGAACATTAACCAGATTTTTTCAGTTTTCACTGTGTCTGTCAGATGCAGGTAAAACTCCTGCAGTGCGGGAGCCTCTGTATCGTGCCCATTGCGTACCGGTGTCCTACCAGTGACCACAGGAGACTGCTACTGGAGGTGGCAATGGTCCCACCCCATTTCTCTCAAGGGTAGATATTTCCCCTCTCTCATTTGGCGTAAGGATTTTATCTTTTAGTTTCATTCAGGAAAAGTTATTCTTTCCGCTTCGCTCTCTTTTATCGTGTGCTTTTCAAAACCACTCGCTGCAATTTCTAATACAAAACAGTATTATCAACTTCTTTGCACTTAGTCCACAGCTACCTGGCAGCTAGCGGGCTCCCACCTGGGGAGAAGCACGGCCCGGCAGAACGGCTGTGCCTGCAGGGGCCCCTCACGGACCACCGGGGCCACCCCACCCGCGCCGCCCGTAGCGGAGCCAGCCCGGCGGTGGGCAGCGGGGATGCCGGAGGGACCCCGGGGCGGGCCGGGCGCTGGGAACGGGGCGAGGCAGAGGGATGGTGCCCCAGGGGGAGGGCGCAGGCTGCGGCCAGACCTTCCCCGACCCCGCGGAGGGCGGAGGCGCCGCTGCCCAGCCCCGCGGTGCCGCCTTTGCCGGGCGGCGCTCCCCGGCCGGGCAGCGCCGGGCGCCCCGCGGCTCGCCCGTCTCCTGCCGGCCCCTCGGAGGAGCGAGGGGCAGAGCCGGGGGGAGAGTGGGCAGAGAAGATGCAGTGCCTGCCGGTAGCCTTCCAGCTGGTGCTGGTGCTGGTGTTGGTGCTGTGCAGCCAGGGCACGGAGCTGTGCCCTTCAGCCTTCTGCGAGTGTTCCGACTGGGACGACTACAGAATCACCTGCAGGGACATCCATTTCATCCCCAGCCTGCCGGAGCACACTCAGACCCTGTGAGTTCACTGCGGTGGTTTAAGCCTATTTGTACTTTGCAAGCAGGAGATGCTCTGAGCTAATGCCCTGGGAGAGGAGAGAGGAGAGAGGGAAGTGCCAAAGGGGGGAAGTGCTGTAACTTACCTGGGCAGCACAACATAGGGGGAAGGGCAGCGCACACAACCTGTGTGTGTCTAGCAGACCTAAGGAAAGTGTCCCTTAAACCTTACAGGGATGTGAAGAGATGCGTGATTTTAAAAGTTCAGGGTAGGATATGGGAACATTAGTACTGGACTGCTTGTGAGCAAGCTGATTGGAAGGCTGGATTTTGTGTGTTCCATGCGTGGAGGGGACACACAAAAACACACTTTTACAATATAAAAGGAATAGGAATTGGATGTACCACGTCACAAATAGTTTCATAAAAGCTTCCGCGCACTTTCAGCTGCTTTGCCAAACAAAGCCTGACAAAAAGAATCCATGGGAACTGGGAATCCCAACATGCCATCTGGAAGACAAAGTACTTCAGGAAAACAAAAGTGCACAGTATGAGATCAGCAAATCTGGGGCTTTCCAAAGTGATAGACATTTCAGAGCCATTCAGGTACCTAAACTGTAGGGTTTAGTACCATTACAGGCACTTTAGGCTATGTTGTCTGGATTCTCGCTGCCAGTCCAAAAGAGTGCTGCATGTCCTATCTGTCAGCTCCATACAGGTGTATGAGACAGATACTGTGGGGAAACCGAAATGGCATCAGTCAGCTTTAGCTAAGCAGTTGAATCACTCCTTGCCTTTTCCTTTGTCTCTTAAGTTACAAAAAGTTTCTAGTCTCTAAGGGGAAGTTCATTTGTAAATAAATTACTTCCTGATGAAAGAAACAAACTCAAACTCATTTGATTTAACTTCAAGATAAAAACATTACAGGTTGATAGTTTTATATCTTGATAATGATTTTCAGGACTTTATTTTAAAATAAGAACCATGACGTTTTTTGAAATTATTTGAATGGTTTTCTCGAGATGCACTTTAACACTTAAAAGTAAAGGCTTAGCAAATTAACCAGTTACCTGAAAAGACAGAGAAAACTCATATATTATTTCCATTACTTATGCATGTCTTTTTTTTTTTTTTTTTTGGACAATTAGACTGCAGACATGCAAGTATTTCAATTGATAAGTAATATCTTAAACATTTTTTATTTTATTTTATTCTTTTGTATATAATGTTTATAAATCTTGAAATTGCAGTAAGGTTACCATATGTAATTTATAGTACATTCTTCGAAATCTGTTATGACAAGCTAGAAAATGAACCAGTTTCAGCTTATAGGAGAAATCCATCTTTGTACAGGCATTTAAAATAGTTAATAGACACAGTGAGATAATATAATAGAATTGGATGGTTTCTATGAAAAATGCTGGTATGAGGACCGAGAAGTACCTCTCCATATACAGCTTTACAGGTAAAGCCATGGGCTGTTGCACATCCAGTGTTTTATTCAACAATTTAAACACTAAGGGACACTAAGATCATAAGCCATTGATTTAAAAAAAAAAAAAAAAGTAGTGAATATCTTCTTTCCATGAAAAAGTACTTAATTGTTTTATAATTATTTGGGTGTGTTTTAATCATCTGTACCAATTGGAATTACCCTTGCAAACTGAAGAAGTGTACTCCCTAACATAGCCATTACAATACAATAAAAAATTCAGCTAATGACAATTGTAATTTATAGTATGTACTAGAAAAGGTAGAACATGTACTGTGTAATCTGTTTGATTTGAAAATTAACAGGAAAATACTCTAGCAAAATAAGGAAAAACACATCTCTTTTCACAAAAAAAAAAAAAAGGAAAAAAAGCTTTTTTCACTTCAGTGTATAGTTTTCTCTCTGAAGAAAGTGTGTACATTCTCTGTGTTATTATCCGAACTGCTCAAGTCCAGTGGACTGTGTCAAATGCTGTAGTCCCTTCCTCTTAGCAAATGACTTTCTTTCCCTCTGTACATTAAATGGAAGTTATAACAGTTACTTTCATCTGTTTTCCATTCAGTGTTTTCAGACACCTTGGAATGATTTTCACGTAGAGGATAAAATACAAACCATTTTCATGAGGAATTGTAAGGTGTGTGCTGCTACTTCTATCGTGTTTTGCATCCTTCTGCCTTACAACTGACAACAGCTCTGAATTAGAGACAAAACATTCTAAAATAATCAAAGTTTCTGTTAACTGAACCTTTCATTTGAAGTGAAGTACATATTTGCTCATTATATGTTGAAAATATCTAAAAATGTCCCCAAATTCAGTAGCTTTGTTACTTCAGGTAAAGTAACTTTGCTTCTGGGTTGTTGTGTGTGAATCTCGAGATTACTGATTTTAAAACTTCCTTATGTGGCTATTCAGTTTTGTAGAATTTGTAAAGCTCAGCAGCTGTGGTGAATCTAGGAACACTTTGCCAGCTCTTGGAGACGATGAGCTCTTTTCAATGCATGGGATCTTGAAACTCCAATTAAAGATTCATTCCAATTATTCAGTCAGGACTGTTCTCATTTCTCTGCCCTACTTTAAAAGAGCAGTGTGGACTTTTTTTTTTTTTTAACAAGCCATGCTTATAAGAAATTGCAAAAATATTTATTTCCAAACCCATCTAGTAGAAAAGTGTCATGAACTCCACCCAGGAAAGAGTTTTTGTTTTAAAGTGTTTTTAACGTAATTGTCCAAATATAGTTGATGCAGGCGCTTATCCAGAATGGCTAAGTGCATAGATACTGCTTCTGATGTTGTTTTTTTTCAGGACAAGATTTTTATTTATTTATTTATTTTCACCCTGTCGAGTAAACTCAATAAGTAGAGAGAAAAAGGTTTTGTGTATTATGGGCAAAGCTTGCCTTGTTGCCTGATGTTAAGGATTATATACCCATGCCATACTATGGTAGGAAAGCAGGTCTAAGTGGCATTGAAATACAGTACTAAACAAAATGAAATTAGGTGTTGATAATTTTGTGACAGCTGTAATATTTTTGTGCCTCTCTGCACAGCTGGCAGCCTGACCTGGGCTGGTCCCATTTCGCCTCTTCCTTGCCCTCCTTTGCTTCTGATTCTGCCTGTCCTTCCTCTTCCTTCAGACAGTGGCAGTATGTGCACAGTAGTGATGGAACTCCTGTCCCAGTCCCACAGCTGTCATTGCTCTCCACTTTCACCAGCACAGTGCTGGAGCAGAGCAGTGGTTGGTGCTCTGACCTCTTCCCTGTTTGGTGGAACATGCCATGGAAGATCCTGGCCTTTCAGTGCCAGCAGATCTACTAGGACATGGGGGTTAACGACTGCTAAGAACAACTTAAATTTGTAGATCACTAAACCACCACTGAACCTTTGTCCAAATATATGCTTGCATCATAATGCTTGAAGTATTCTTCAAGTAATACCTTGAAAGCAATATCTTTCTTGGCATCATTATGATGAAATTCTCAGATGGTGTCTGAGTATCCCAGCATCATCTCAGAGTTCTGAATGCTTTTCGTTTTATGAGTCTATCATTGCTTGCTGTTAGTTTTTTCTTTTGCAATAAAACAAATAAAATTTTTCTTGCATTCACGTACTAAAATAAATTCATCTCTTCTTCCCAGCCCCAATATTCTCAATATCCTGCCTGGTGTACTACCGTGTTTTTCTGCACTTTAGTACAGCCATACTGAGCTCACAGAAGCTACAAGTAAAATTGAAGATGATGATGTCTTTATTTTATATTAAAAAATAACTGATTTAAAATATATTTTTCCCAAGTCTTTGTCTTAGGAACTGTCTGAAATTCAGAGATATTGTGATTTCAGGTAATTCTATCATGATCTTTTTATACACTTCCTTACTTCAGAATCAAGAATGGAGTCTCATAAATGCAGCTTCATAAATAACCTCACAACATAAGCACATAATTATTACCTCTATTTTAATGATGAAGTACTGAAATTCTGAAAGAACAGGAAACACAATGACATGGTGAAATAGCCAACTGGAGGAAGCTATTAGGGCATCCTTTGGAAAATGGAAATCATGTCCAAATGTGGGAATCTCTGGGAAATAAAAGTAATATAATACAAAAAGGGTTTTGAGGATAAACATGTCAAATCTTAAAAACTCAATATATTTGTTCAAACACAAAAGAGAATGTCTGGAAAAACTTCCATCAAGCTTGAACTATCAGTATAAAGCTTGTTTGAAACAAATCGGGGAAAAAAGAAAAAAAAAAAGAAAACAGAATTAAATTCCCTGAACCAGATAGTACTAAAGTAAGAATTCCAGAAACATTAAAATACAAAATTGCTGAATTATGTACAGTAGTATGGAGCTTAGTGTTAAAGTCAGCTATGGCACCAGAACAATGGAAAGTCACAAGTGTAGCATAATTCTTTAAAAGGAACTGTTTAAGTGAAAATGTCTGTAAACTGTCACATAATATAATATACTATGATAAAATAGTAGGTGCTTCCCTGTTAGTCTCATTTGTTTTCATTTCTTAGTAAGTTGTAGATACATAGATTTTAATGCCATGAGGGTTCATGGGATCATCTAGTCTGACATTCTGTAAGATAAAAGCATAAAACATCTCAGTTGTTACAGTTACTTAGAGGTGAATTTATTCACTCTTAATAGCCACTCTGGAAGCACCAACCACTCTGTACTGACTCGAAGAAATTCAGGCTTCTTATTTTGATGCACTGAACTGCACATAAGGACAGTGCCAGAACCACCCTGGAGCAACTAGCAGAGATAAATACTTTCTCCCAGAAGATGGAATCTGTGCAACTGTATCTTTACACCACCAGATTTTGTGGGATCTTTACCTGTCAGATGAAGGTGTCCAGCATTCTCACAGTTAACATTGTGATTCAATCACTCCTTTTTGTTTTAATAAATTGGGAAAGTTAAGATCTAGTGTCTTACACTCTAAGGCATGTTTTTTCAATAATTTGTTTAACCATGTAATCCTTTTACATACTGTCTGCAATATTTCTATCTCCTTTCTCAACTATGAGTATTACAATTGAACTACCCATATGTTCTATGAAACATTTTTGGGCATAGAGTGCCAATCAATTATCAGTTGAGCATATCCCTTAAGTTTTTTTCATAGCCTTTGTTACTGAGAGTAGTGTCTGCTAAACATATACAAAGAATTTGCAGTTCACTGTTCTCACATTTTTTTCTGCTCATCTATTTTCAGTGTATGTGGTCTGCATGTGTTCAGTTTACCAAATTTACTGTTTATGCAACCACTGTTTTTCAGTGTCATCTTCATAATTTACAATTCACACAAACTTTGTTATCTGCTTGAGTTACATAATTCAACACCCATTCAGCACATCAGACCATCTGCTTTCCTTTATTCTTGTACCTGACAATAGCTACTCTTACTGTAGGGATTGCACACAGTATCTTCCCCTCATCTGCTTTCTTCTTCAAACTGTTTTACTCTATTCAGCTCCTCAGATGAAAATTTTCACTTACCAACTTAATAAAAAGATGGCGCTAGTATTCAAGAATCATTTATTGACTAGAAACACTAGAGTCTAAATCTGAATATTCCTTAAAACTAAAAAATATTTTAAAATCACATAATCTAAAAATAAATGTTTACTGAAACTTTCAAATCTTTTTATCTTTGAGATAAGTTTTTCTTCTCACAAAGATAACCATTCCCTTCATCACAAAAACAGAAGATCAGTATAACAACATTGTCACTGAAAGGCACTTTCACTAAGAGTTGATCACATGTCCTTTTTTCTATCTCCTCAAATTTTCAGGTTTCCTGTCCACCTTCCTCTTCTAACTGAATTATTTGAAAAGTAGTCTATGACATCATTAACCCATGGAAAAAATATTGTTTAAAAGTACCTCAAAAGGGAATCCTTTTAAGAACAGAGAAATGGTTGTACTTGGTCAGGCCAAAGGTCCACTGTCCTGCTCCTGGTAGGGTTCATAAGTAGGTGCTAAGAAGAGTATAAGAAAAAGAGAAGTGAATATTATACTTTTCCTCTAATACTCTCTTTACCTCTAACAATAAGGTGATTCATGAGCCAGATGTTCTTATTGTCCCTATGCAGAATCATGTATCTTCATGTTATTTCCAGAAGATATTTTATTCTTAAAAACATTCAGAGATGAAGTCTTTACAGGTTCCCCTCAGCAATCTTCTCCGTTACTTCACTGTCTTCCTAATGCTTTTCTTTGGATTCTTTCCAAGTAATCGACAATCCTCCTGACATATGATGTTCCAACACGTATCAGTATCTACTGTTTAGGTACTACGTATAGAATTGATGTTGCTAGATGTAAAATGACACATGTAGGGAGGTCAGAAAGAGATGTATTTTTTCCTGGAAAAATAAAACAAACAAACAAACAAACAACAACAACACAGTTAACTATTTCTAGCTGCTATGGGATGGAATTAGCAAAAATTCAATTACTTACCTAAATAGATTTTTCTTGAGTTATAGGAGTGAAGTTAGTCTTCATCTAAACCAGAAACACTGATTTTATTAGGTTACAGCTATGACAGTAAGAACATAATAACCCTGCTGATTGAAACCAAGGACCCATTTCACCAACTATCCTCCACTTGAGAGAGACCACAGATAGACCAGAAGGATATGAACAAGTCAAGCACATGTTAATACTTTCTCAGTTTCTGAACTTTTTCAGCTGAAGGAATTTTCTGAGCCTGTTCATTAATAGAACCATAGAGTGGTTTGGATTGGAAGGGACCTTAAAGACCATCTAATTTCAACCCCCCTGCAATGGGCAGGGACACTTCCCACCAGACCAGGTTACTCAAAGCCCCATCCAGCCTGGCCTTGAACACCTCCAGGGATGGGGCATCCACAGCTTCTCTGGGGAACCTGTTCCAGTTCCTCACTACCCTTATAGCGAATAATTTCTTCCTTGTATCTAATCTAAACCTACCTTTTTCAGTTTAAAACCATTACTCCTTGTCCTATCACTACGCTCACTGAAAAAGAGTCACTCCCAAGCTCCTGTAGGCCTGTTCAGGGACTGGAAAGCCACTATAAGGTCTCCCCAGTCTCCTCCAGACTAAACAACCCCAACTCCTTCATCCTGTCTATAGGAGAGGTGCTCCAGTGCCTTATCATCCTCGTAGCCCTCCTCTGGACTCGTTCAAATAGGTCCATGTGCTGGGAGCCCAGAGCTGAAGGCAATACTGCAGGTGGGAGCTCATGAGAGCAGAGTAGAGGGGGAGAATCAGGCCATGCTGCTTTTGATGCAGCCCAGGATTTGTTGGCTTTCTGGGCTGCAAGCACACATTGCCAGCTCATGTTGACCTTCTCATCAACCAACACCCCCAGGTCCTTCTCCTCACAGCTGCTCTCAATCTGTTCTCTGCCCAGACTGCATCTGTGCTTGGATTGCCCTGATCCAGATGCAGAACTCCGCACTTGGCCTTGTTGAACTTCATGAGGTTCACACAGGCCCACCTCTCAAGCCTGTCAAGATCTCTCTGGATGGCATCCTTTACCTGCACTACTAGACTGCCTCAACTGCACCACCTTTTTATGCCTATTCATTGATTCTCAGTGGATCTCTCTTTCAACAGCATGTCCAATTTCACCTGGTGCCCATAATGTCTTTCAACAAGGAATTTCACAGGTCTACTTCCTGTTGTATGATGAAAGATTTCTCTTTGGTTTTGTTGTTGTTTTGTTTGTTTGTTTTTCCTATCTTTCTCAATTTGGTTTTCTTTGGCTTCATACATAAAGCATTTTGTTCTTGTTTTTGAAGGTATTCAAGGTCCAGGCAAACCCTGCATTTCTACAGTGGCATAAGTATGTTCTCTATCCCTTTCCCAGTATTTCCTAATATTTGATTTGGTATTTCTGACTGTTCCTAAGCACTGAATCCATGTTTTCGTGGATCTAACATAATGCCAAAACCTGTTCTGGAGTGAAAATAGTGAGTTCTGAACCTGTCATTTTTTTCAATATATGCAACAGAAGAATTGAACTTCCCCAGTTACATCTACTGACACCAAGTTTCATTTACCCTTTTATTTTCCAGACACTCAGTCCTATAAGAGCCTTCTGAAATTCCTCACAGTCAGCTCTTAGCATTACTACCATAACTTTCTAGCATGAGTAAGCATTGTTTCCTTACTGTTTGCTCCCTTTTCTAGGTCATTCATGAATATATTAAACAGCATAAGCCTCTATGAAAATCCTTGTGGAACTTCATTTACTCTTATCCTTTGTTTTCTATTTTAACTAATAAGTTAATTGCAGTGTGTCTATCCAAACTGTCACAATCTTGGAAATTAACTAAACATTTTTTCTCCAAGGGGAGAACTAACTTTTCCTTGTGTACTGAAGTGTCTCCCTCATGAGGAGATAATTACATAAACTTGTTTTTGATATGTAAAATCTTGACATAAACATTTATGCATGATAAAAGTAACAGTTAAAGCTATTTCTTAAGGAAGATCTAGGAGAAAATAACAAATAAATATATTACTTCAGGAATTACTGAATATTCTCTCTTTGATTGGCCTCAAACCCTGAGTCTATTTACTTGTATATTACAGCCTTATCACATAATTGCAATACCATGTTTGCCATCTTTGTCTCTTCATCTAAGATTTTAATTTTGTAGATTTTCATTTTTGTAGATCAAACCCCTGTAACTGTACGCATTGTACAAAGACAGGACATAAATGGTTCCTGGAAATATTGGAAAAAAATTGGAAATAACAGAGGACTACAGATAGATATTAACAAATGCTGGGGTGAGGAGGCATGGAATCAGTAAGGCAGTAGAAAGCTGTATATTTACATATATAATACACATATAATATATGCAGATTTCTACAAAAGTTTTTTTCCTTCCCCTAAGGTAGGCACTGGCACTACTGTAATTTATAAATGAAAGTCCTATACACTAAGGTAAATGAAGCCAAAATTACTATTTGTGTTTGTTTTTAGCAGAAATTCAAGCAGTTCTGAAGTAACTCCCTGTGTAATTTTATTTCTAAAAGACCTCTGGTGAATCTTAACAGTATTAAAACAAAAGTTTCTTTACATTTTCATGTGTGCTTTTAATGTTTGCCATATGTATGAAAGAGTAGACTTGAGAGATCATTCTGAATTTTAAAGTATTTCTGACTGTTTATAAAGGCTTTAAGATTTTTAAAGCCTGTTTGCTTTCTATACATATGATCTCAGCACAGAGTGGCTTTTTTGTCTCACAAAGCCACATGTTACTTTTTTGTTCATATGGAATTGCATTTGAAATTTAAAGAAAAGTATTAACTAAAGCATGCTGTTCTATAATCCCTGTTCAACTGGTCAGATTACAATCAGATTCCCTCCTTATTCCCAAATAAACCTGCAAAGATTTCTTTAAAGCTGGTCTTTGTTGGAAATACAACCCACTGTAGCATTGTCACAGTCTAGGAAGATGGCTTCTGTACTGTAACTACTTTTTAACCCATATGTCTGACTCATAGGGAAATCAAGAAAATGAACAAAAAAATCTGAAAAAATCTGTAATATATGGAAGTGGTGAGAAAGAAGGGCTAAGTGGGAAGAGAATACTTAATTTTGGTGGAGAGGATGAACATTTTCTAGTGGATCTGTAGTAAAAAACTAATGCTGTGGCACAGAGTTGTGATTTTGCACTCCATATAGATACATATGTTCAAAATTATATTGGGAACAAACATTTTATTGTGAGCTACACAAATTTAAGAATTGTCATCAGGATTGTCTCAGCCTTGGTTGCATCTATGAAGCCACGTTCAGGCATGACAAAATATTGTAATGGCGATAGCCTCTGAAGACATTCTTGGATGATGTTTTCTTTGTAACTGAATTTACCAATAAATTAATAAAATTATTTCCTCACAGCTGCGTTAAGCTTTAGGCTTTCATTTTTTAGCTTCTGTTCACTCTCTTGTTGTGACAGACACTTCCCTTTTCCCACCTTGCATGTTGTACTTGTCAAGGAAGGGAGAGGAATTTCACCATTGCAGAGAAGTTCTGTAAGAAAATTTTATCTTGTATAGTTCTAGTTTGTATTACCATTTGTGGAAACTCTGTAATTAGATGGCTAAAGACAAACCTGCATTTTTTAACAGCCTTTTACACTGTTTTGGTGGGCATTTCCTTTCTGACAAAGGGGTCTGAGTTGAAAGCAGCTTACGTCATTACCTCCTGTGGGACAAGTGTGTGTACTGAGACTTTGGAGTGTCCTGGAGCAGAGAAATTTAAGAATTATTGTACTAGGAAGCTTTTTGGTGTCATTATGAGGCCACTCTTTATTACCTTTGAAAGGTCATAGTGAACAAGGGAGATTCATGATGGCCAAATAAGGCAAACATCACGCACACCTTCCATTAAGGCAAAAAGGAGGATCTGGGGAAACAGAGCTGGTGGCTCCTATGGAGTAATTTTTGTATGGAAGCTGTTCTGTACTTTGGAACATCCTTTTTCAAGTGCTATCTATGCTGCCTTTCCAGTTAGGATCCACACAGTGGCAAAACAATTTTATCTGTTTTGTTCTTTATTTCTGCTGTAGTAATTCCTAACATTCAGATTGCCTTTTTGACCTCTGCTGAGCAGCTGGCAGCAATTATAGGCACTTAGTGGTCCTCTGATTAGAAACAATAGTAGCCAGCAATTACAGCCTGTTCTTGCTCTCTTTCCTGTAGGAAGTGAACCTCTTCTGGCTGCTGTTTTCTGAAATTTCACAATCCCATCTGAACTTTCTTTGCAGCCATTAACAGACTCTCATCTTGATAATTTAGAAGCGCATTCAGAGTGCGCGCTCCATCCTGCACAGGTGGAGCAAAGCGATGGGCTCTTTGAGCAGTGGCCAGCAGTGGGGTCCGCAGTACCAGGTAGAGCCTCTCCATCATCAGTCGGCCTGAACAGGTCACCCTGGTCTTTAAAGAACGCTTGGGTGTGATCTGAGGCTGTTAAGAGCTTTAGTGCAGATTATAGTGAGCATATACCAGTATTTTTATGAAACTGTTACTAGTTGTCAGAAATAAATCTAAGAACAAAATATTCTTCCACCAATGGTACTCTGTCTTAGATATCAGGGATAAGAAGTAATACCAGGGGAGAAATCTGCACTATTTCTGTAGTAGAAGATTGAGGTCTTCAGTAGTCTTAAGACCATCTTTTTTTTTTTTTTTGCCATTACGCTGAAGACATTAGTAAAGAAATCTAGCGATTTTCATTAAATTAATGATTTTCATTAAGTGGGGGTAGTAATTGCTGTATATATTGCCACATTAGTTTTTATTTCAAAACAAGATCAGAAGAGTTCCATAAAGATAATCTACGATGTTTTCTTTAGATCCAGGCAGATCACATGCTTCCTTGAAATCAAGAGAGACTGGTCTGATTTTAGCATGTGTCAATAGCTTATTATCATAAAGAGATTTAAATTGCAACAAATTCACTATAGGTGCTTTCACTGTGTCTACTTCAGTCAGGATTTTGTGGAATCATTTTGTGGAAATGTTTATCCTGTCAACATGAGGATGTGCAAGGGCTGACTCCAGCAGAACACAAAAGCACATGTTTAAAGTTAAGATTTTGAGGAACTGATATTGTGCTACGTACTTCTCATCCCTATTTTGGTAAATCAGCATTTGACAGTAGTCTATCTGTAGTACATGTTAAATTTTTCCATAACAGTTGTTGATGAAGGCAGGTCATTTATATTTCCTTAAACCACTTCCTGACAATGTCCAGTTTTCAAAATATAATCACCTTTTTTAGACTGTTTTGAGGTTCTGTAAACCCTTGTTATGGAAAATAACAAACATTTCTTGATTTTGCACATATATAAAACATCTGCACAAGTTAGATTTGTGAAAAGTTGCTTTCTTAACGGATACCAATAGAAAATATATATACTATTCTTAGCTTTTCAAAAATGCTTCGTAAACACCTCCTTAATTGTTACAGCATTTGGTAATCTTTAAGCTTTTTCTTTCCTTTTACAGTTATATCAATAAACTGTTTCTCAGTTCAGAAGAAGGCTGTTGTGCGCTTCTGAAATGGAATGGGTTGGAAACTTAAAGTCAAAAGAAAACAACGTAATGAAAACTGACTGCAGCAGCAGTTCAAGATTCAGTGAACTGTAACACTTATTAAATGACTCTTGAAATATTCTCCTAAGATAGAGTTTTTAAATTGTGGTGGAAAAAATTCTTTGCTATTGAGATGATCACAAGTAATTATCTTCATAGACACTGAAAAGACAAAAATAAGTTTCTACTGCCATATCACCATTGGCTTACGTCATTGTCCATGGGGTCAGTTCCCTTCTTACCGGTCTTACGGTAGATTTCTTAAAGCCTGAGTGCAGGAGTAGTCCATGAGACAGCACAGTGCAACCATAGGGGTGGAGTGAGCAGATTCAAAGCTGAGGAGACAGTGAAAGGGAAGAAAGAACCATCAGGCCTTGTACTCATCCTAGAGAAAAAATAATATTCAGGTCTTGAACATAAGGTGGAGTTCTTCAGTAGTCTGTTGTGAATGGAAATGATCAAGTGTAAATTATAAGTGGGAGACTGGGGTAAAATCTAGTGTATGTAATAAATAATGCTTTAAACTAGGTGCTACATATTTTGTACAGTTTTCTTCCTAGGGCAGATTTGAGAAACCGAATACAGTACAAACACTGAATTAATCTAATAAATATCAGAATTAATTGTTTAGGTGAATAGTTTAATATCTGTAGTTAGTCAAATATTTCCATTTGCATTATAACATGTACTTTCTAATGGGGTGGTATTTTACGAGTTTTCATGCTTGAGAGACAAAAGAGCTTGAAAAACAAGAGTTCTGTTTGGTTTGAGGGTTTCAAACACTTAACATTTTAATACTAAAAACTCATTCTGGGTTGTTATATCATGCAGATGAATAGTTCAAATTACCTGTAAGGGTATGGGGAAGGAGAGAGTGTGTCTGCATCCCTAAGGTTATCTGATCAATGACTTGTCAAATGGGATGCTAAGGCAAAGAGAAGTGATAAACAAAACATTCAGAGATGCAGACCTGACAGGAATGACAAGAACAACAAAATAATGACAAGAAACCAGCCTGGGCAGTCATACTAATTGATGAGCTATCAAGAAACTGCAGGCTATCAATGAGCTATCATTGATAGAAACTTCAAAGAGGGGCCAACCTGGACTTAATAACTGATAAGCGTGCAAACCCGGGGGTCCTGCATATTGAGGGTGGGAATTGGTGGAACCATGCAAACAGATGAGGCAATGTGCAAGGGAAGGGGGTTGGGTGGAACAAAGGAGGAGAAGACAAAAAGGGGTGTACGGTTAAGGTGTAAAATGGGGCTGGTCAGTATGTTTGTCTGACCAAGCCCAGTACCTGATCACTGTAATTTGCCCTATCTACATAGTAAATCCTCATGATATTATCTATTAAGTGAAATTCTATTTGATTTTGCTGAAAAATAACATGTAGAATATGAAGGTCACATTTCTATATGGTACGGACATTGACAAGAAAGTATGGATAAAATGACAAGAGGGGAGGAAGACAGTAAATAAAAGGCTTACTTTACCATGCTTAGTTCTGCCTCTGTCGGGGTGCTGGAAAGCCAAAAGGGGAGAAAGAAGAAAACACTCACAAGTAATCATTATCTTGTGTCTGTTTTGAAATATTCAACACCTACCACCTGTACATTTCATATGATTAAGTAAGCCTGTGCTGGGATGAGGGTTCTTCAGCACTGAACTTTGCAAGAGCTCCCCATGCCCAGTGGCTTGCACACATAAGCACAGAGGATTGGCTGTGCAGGATCAGGCCATTTCCATCTCTCCACCTTCTGCCTGCAGCTGTGACCAGTAAAGTACGCCCCATGAAGAGTATATGATACAAACATTCAGTGACACTGTCGCAGAGTACTGTCCCAGCCTATAATAATTTATGGTTCATGCACTTACTGAAACCAAGGTTTTGTATTCTCTACACCCAGATGTATTTTTCTTTCATGAATATGTCCAGTCACTTTAGAATCTGGTATTTTTACCATTTCTTCTGGTCCTTTGTCATCTCATAAAAGGCTGAAAGGAATGTTTCATTTTTTCTATCACCCAGGTCCCTGGCTAGTTCATATTCATATGCTGAGCCTTATGAAGGACAGCTAAGAAGTGAACACCCAAATTCTCCATCTAGTTCTGCCATTATATTATAGAGGACCATGTTTTGACTACCTTAGATCTACTTGCTAATGTGCACCAGACTCCTCTTGTAGTTTTTCCCATCTCCTATTCTGCACTTAAGTGTCTAGGTTCCACATTTACCACAGGGTACTGTATTTTTTCTGGTCTGTAAACTCAGGTGATGGACATGACTATTCATCCTGATCTATGCTTGGTGTAGGGTACTGGAGAATGAGGGCAAGAAGTCATTGTACATGTTATTCAAAGAAGGCATGCTCTCTTGTGTCATCACCACAAGGTGATATCTATCTATCTATCTATCTATCAGGTATTATCTACCTATCTATCACCAGATAATAGACAGGAAGGATTCCCTTCTTCTGACCTATATGAGCAGTCTCCTGCTTTGGAAACAAACAAACCAAAAAGAGAAAAAGAGAGAGACTCTTGAGAAGCTGGTGGTTAAGTACCATTGTAAACATCTTCTAAAAAAGTGGACTGTTTTTTATAGATGGCTTTAGTGTAAGGCAATAGATATCTTACATATGCCTTTAAGCTATTGTGGGAACTTCAGTGCTGAGGGAGGATTCATCAGCAATGAGAGGTAAAGCTTTCAAGTGATTCACCAAATAAGGCGGAGAGCAGTAGAAATGTTTTCTGTTTAGATTTCCTGTATTCTGTCAGACTTAAGTCTGTAAGTCCTTCACACTCTGCCAATATTTTGGTTACATAAAGCTGTTAGTGCTACTTGCTACTTATCAGATGAAGAGGTGCTAAGAGTGCTGTATACATTCTCCCCTGTTTTTGTTTTTGTTTTTTTTCCTCTCTTACACAAGAGATTAATGAAATTGATACAGTCAAACACAAGTAGGCAGAGGCTGCAGCAGTACAAAGTTACACCCAGATTGTCTGTACCTGTCAAATGGAAAATGGCTTGATGTTTTTCCTCTGGTCCTGCTTGCTAGGTGTATCTGATATTCACGAATCTCAATGTTTGAAAATGACCACCTGTGAGAAACAAAATACACTTCTATCAACGTTTTGAGTTTAACCTCCTTATATGCTAAACACTGACTTTTGTAAATCATGGGCCAGTTTCTATTCTTGTGCATTTACGCATTCAAAAGAGAACTGAGATCATCACTTGAGTTTTGTTGTAACTCCTTGTTACTAGTCCTTCTGTAACTGTAGTTACTGTTCAGTGAAAAAAAATCAGCTGTTCTGCAATTTTCACTTAAATGCACAAATGGAAGTGAAGAACTCCTGGTTTCTGAAATGAAACTATAGCTTTGCATAACATTAAAGTAGAGGACTCCTAAATGGATAATCAAGAACTATAATCTGAATAGTTAGTAGAGTTTCATATAATAGCAAAGCTTTACACCTATTTTTTAATCTTTATTTATTAATGGGATATTTCTGTGAAATTATTTCTTATTTTTATTAGTGGCTTTTTTAAAGCCGTCTGTAAATTGAATATTTTAATGGTTCTTATTTAAATATTTTTAAAAGTGCAGTGTAAAAAAAAAAGAATATGATACAACCAAATAGACTGAGGACAATTAACATTAATTACATTGCAAGTAACATCACTTGCTTAGTTGACAGATTCATTGTCTCATGCCTACCTTAAGCTGCCTACTCTTACAGCTCTTATGGGACTAATTAATACTGAAATCAACAAAATATTTATTCTTAGGTAGCTCTTATCTGATGGGAAAATAGGCACCAACAACAGCAAGAATAGAGTTCCCTGGTGCATTATCAGGTAGGACACTAGATTAACTGTCATAGAAGAGCAAAGCAGAAATAATAAATTTGTGCATAGTAGTACTAGGAATGCAGTGCTTAAAAGAGATATGACATTATTATCTACTAGATTTGTGGGTAATGCTCTGTGCATCGGTACTGTAAAGTCATTAAAATGAAGCAGATGTGTGTCATTTTGAATACTTCACAGTCCTTGTACCTGTATTTCTGTTAGTCAGAAACAGAGTTGTTCCCATGCAGATATAAAATATTTTTTAGTCTATCCACGTGATCTTACACTGAAAAACAAACAAACAAAACGCTAATATTTTTCTTTTGCTTACCAGTTGTCAGGTAGAGAGATTTTTTCAGGACATAGTCTTTAAGGAACATGCAGGGTAAACTTGGTGTAAATATCAAAGCAGAAAGAAAATTTAAAAACTTCAACTGACTGACCTGTGAAACCAGGAAATGCAAACTAATGTCAACCTACAAAACTTAAAATGTTTTATTCAAACATCTTCTTGCCATTTTTAAAACAACTCATTTACTAAAGATGTGGTTTGTATGCTTTTGCATCTTTGCAAATCTGGATGGCATGTTTATAAAATGAAAATGACCTCAGACTTTGGGTTCTTCTTTTTTGAAAGATTTTATGAAATACAGTCTGAAGATTTTTTCCAGATTTAGTATTTATTGAAGCTTTCAATCTGAATGAGAAAATAAAAGTATGAATAAATGGAAGTACTCAGGAGCAATTTTTCATTAAATGAGATTGAACATTCTCATGTGTGTTGTCTTTGCCTTAATATAGAAAGGAAATTAAACAAGCTATTAAATATGTGAGCACTTATAGTTACTTTTTTTTTTTCTCGCATGGAAAAGTAATGCATATTTTGCCAGTAAAATGTATATGTTTGCCAGTAACGTATATTTTGCCTTCATTCGGAAAAAAACTTACTTTTTCAATGAAGACCCTGTGGGTGTCTAGACACTGGACTCACTTGCCAATTTGCAAATTGGAATGTTTGGGTTAAAAAGCAATTTCTAATACATGCAAGACAGGAAGAATCACAGCCAATTATGAATTCCCAATTATTTATCATATGCTCAAACTGTATGTTAAGGTGGGTGCCAGAAACTGGCAGGTTGTCTGTCTGGAAGCCCTGACCTGTCTTTTGTTGTGATGGTTTTTTTCCCCGCTGAGTTTTATGTTTCTTAGAAGGCAACTTATGGTGTATCTAGCTTTGGTGTATCAGTCCACAGGTTCTTCAGCAAGAACTGGGGCTTTGCAGATGGTTGTACAAAAAGGCTGGCCTAAAAGTTTGCCCCTAGCCCCAGGCATTGACTCTATTTCATGGTCTGCATAAGCATTGACTGAACTCAGTCACCAATCTGTTTACACAGCAAGTAGTTGAAGAATGGCAGCTAGCATACACCAAATACTTTGTGACTATATGCTATATATGCTATTACTAGTGTATTGTTTATCTAGTAGGTGTATTACATGAACTTGGAGTCTTTTATTTTTGTTGATCTTCTCTAATACTGTTTCATCTCACAAATAAGTTCTTGTCATGAAATGTTTCAATTTTTGATCTTCTGCCTAAGATTTCTCTCTCTTCATACTTCATTGTCCTTTTACTTCACTGTCTCTATTTCCTTTATGATACATTCTGTATCACCTATGGTTTCTCGTCATATTTGCAGAATGTTGTTATATCTTTAAACGTTAGCAAATAAATAGGAAGAAATATGATGCTACCACTTTCAACCTATAAAATAAATTTATGAGCTGTTCAATCAAAATACAGTATTCAAAGCTAATGGTCTTCATTGTGCTGTACTTGAGATATTAGAAGCCTTATCTAGAAAGCTGTAAATGCAGATCCATTTCATAGTATAGTAACTTTTATAGCAATTGATTCATATATTATTCAGAATTTCCACGTTTTCCTGGTGGGATATGTAAATTTCAGGTATGTCAATAAAAGATTAACATGAATTCTCTTAGCCCATGATGGGTCTGACTCAGTTCATTCTGTGACAAAGATGGAGAGGGATGAATGTTTGACATAAAAGCAGGAGGTCAAGAGGAGACCTACAACAGTGTTTAAATTCATGCTTTCCTGAAACATGGAATTATAGGTTAAGTGTGACTGCTGGTGGGAGGCAACTATGATGTTGTGAGCCAGCATTTTGTAGGTGAACAGAAGACCAGAGGAATATGAGACAGGTTAAAAGTGAGCTTGGATAGCTGGAAGTGGTTTAACCTATGTTTTCCCTGACTTCTGGGTTCTAACAGTCTTAGGGAGAAGCTTTAGATCTCCTTCCTAATGCAGCCCAGGGTACTGTTAGCCCTATTTATGGGAAGGGCACACTGCTGGCTCATGCTCAAATTGGTGTCCATCAGGGCCCCCAGGTACTTTTCTGCAATGCTGCTTTTCAGCTGGGTTACCTTGAGTTTGTACTGAGGCCTGGGGTTGTTCCTCCAGGGGCAGTATTTTGTGCTACCCTTGCTGAAATGTATAAGGTTTCTGTCAGCCTATTTCTCCAGCCTGCTAAGATTCCTCCACTCTGTTCTACTTGAAGATTTGTTAAAATCTGTTTGGAACCAGAAAGTTCTCAGTCATCATTTTCAGCTTCCTAAAAGGGCTCGAAATATAGACAGATGTTAGATTACAACAGCAAGATCAGCAGGCCATAGTTGTTCTTTACAAACATTTTGTTCAGGACTGTGGTAATAGGAGGAAGAAGTATTATGAAATGGAGGAGGGAGTAGTATGGGTGTCAAGGTGCTCTGGGTGCAGGGGAATAGGCTAGTACACCCATAGACCAACCAATGTTCCTCTGGTTGTGAGCTCAGTGGAAGCTGGGTGCACTGAAGCCAGGAGAAACATCAACCTGTTAGATAAACCTGTCTTTAGGTTCTTTCTGCTCATTCATGTAACATGTCTATGGAGTAGGGGATATATACTTAGGAATAAGCAGAGTCTTATGCCTAAGAGCCTTCCCCTGTGATGGTACGAGAGTATGTTTTCTTGCTTTGTATTTTTACTCAAGATTAAGTTTTAAAAATCTCTACAGATATTTTTATTTCTTGCATACAAGTTCTAGAAACTTGATAAATCTTAAAATAATAATATTTTCTCTGTGTAAATCAAATATAATTTTATAATCTGATACTTCATGTTACAAAACAGAAAACATTAATGCTTGTTCATTTATGCTCTATGGAACCGTTCAAACAGCAGCTATGGGAAACATTTATCATTTGTTCTTGGTTACTCTTCAGACCGTTCATTGACTATGTATTTTGCAAGTGTATTCCCAGATGTACTGGAAAACCAAAAATGCCAAAATGCCTTCATCCAGCAATGACATGTTGTAACTTAAAATGTAACAGACATTATATTCTAATTTTCTAAAGCATTTCCTCCTTTTTTGTTGTTGTTGTTTTTTTGTTTTGTTTTGTTTTGAGCAGTCAGTCTGCTAGGAATTCATTCTATTAAGAACCTGGCTGTTGATAAGTGTCTCCCTTAAATATTGTCTGGTTTTCTGAAAATTCTGCAGATGGATATGATACATATTTCTATTCTCACCTGAAGAGCAGCTTTAACTGGGCTTGTTAAAGAATGACAATGTACTGTGCCATCCCCACATCCGTCAGATGTTTATGGAAGAACAGTGTATTTACTACAAAGCACGTAGAGAATTTTATGGAGGTAGCATGCAATTGCTCTAATTGAATTTCAGCTGGTGTACCTGAATTTCTTACTTGGAAGCAGGGATGGGTCATCTCTGAAGAGCCTAAAATGGTTAAAAGAATGCTTATACTCTTAGTATTTCATTTACTTCAATGGACAGATGTGTTTGCCAGTAATGCTCTGGGTTTTTGGAAGGTCCATCATTACCACTAAATGACAAATTCCTGGGTAAGATGATGCAGAAGGTCCTAATTTAGATTGAGAGAGCACACCAAGCAAACCACAATGCATGAAACAGGAATAAGAATAATATGAAGGTGGAACCACTGAGAAAAGAGAAAATAAAAACAGTAATATTGGAGCAGAGGTGGAGTTGTGTAGGACTTTTTAATGTTGAAATGTACTTAACAGGGGATATTAACTTAAACTTTTATTTCTATAGGAGGTTTATGGAGACTCATCTAAGAACAATTCCAAGTGAAGCTTTTTCCAACCTCCCCAACATCTCTAGGATGTAAGTTCTGTTTTTGATATTATTCTTTTAGATCTTCTATTAAAAATAACGTTTCTTCCCCTCCTGCAGTACTCTTGCACATCTGCTACCTCACCACTCACATTTTAGAACTGCAGGTAATTATTCAATTGTTTATAACTTGAATTGGCCATAACAAGGCATGCTAGGCATTAGTGGATGAGAACTTATCTTTATTGAAATAGATGTGATAGATAAGTCTTTTTTTTTTCCCCTCAATAACAAAATATGGAAAATGTCTCCATTCATAATAAATTGCGTATCCTATTGCTGGTCTAGACTAAGTTTTTTTTTGTTTTAGCTCCCAGCATGATTTTTAACTCATTCTATTGGAGAATCTGTGGCTTTTCTAGAATAGGAATGATTTTTTTTTTCTAGAATTGGAATGAATTTTCACTAAAACATTAGTATTTTTGTGATGAAATGAGGACTTCTGTTGTGTCACTTCCTTTATATGTAAATGCACGCATGGATACAGTCCATAAATGGAGGCCAACAGCCTCTACACACTTGCCTCAGATCAATTTTTGTTAACAAGTGGCTGCCTGCTTTTGTACTGCCCTGTTCATTGATGTCAGCAGTCTTGAGGCAAAGGTATCCCAGGTTTATTAATTCTTGCTCTTAATCCTATATATGGCCAGTTGATGCAGGAACTTCTCTGGCATCTCCCAGTTCACTCCCTAGAATCATAGAGTCATGTAATTTGGAAGGGACCTGAGGCCTCTTGTCCAGCCACCTGCTCAGAATTGGACCAATTATGAGGTCCAACCCTGTTGCTCAGGGTTTTATCCAGCCTGCTGCTCAAAATTATCTGTGTCCAATGGTAACTAAATAAACCACCAGCATCAGCAAGAAGTCCATATTTATATTTCAGCCTTTTATTACTAATGTAGTAATATGAGCCCTTCTTGTTATCCTTAACATTCCTTGCAAGTCTAATCTCCAGCTCAGCATTGGCTGAATGGCTGAGATGGACTAGTAATTATGAATTTATGAAAATGGGGAGACCTTGAGGTTTGCCTAATTATGTTTTATAATTGTACTGTATTGAATTAATTACTTTCTAAAATCGTTAAAAATAATTTTTCTTAAATATCTGCAGCCTAATTCACCATCTCAGTTTTATCACATAGATGGTGTATTGTTTTGGTTTTGTTGGGGGATATGTTTCTCCTATGACTTACAGTATCATATGTAAATCTGATAAACTGCATTCAAAACACGCTTCTATTAAATGTAAAAGGATGTAATCTCTGCTTTGGCTTTGAATAACACATCATCTGTTGCTTAGAGGCCTTTCAGATTGCAAAATTCTCAAATTGTAATAGTTATGACTTTGTAAAAGTATAGGTGTTCATCTAAAGAATTAATTGAACTCTTCTCTTAAATATGCCCAGCTTATGAACCAATGACAACCTTTTGCCTATACTGTTTGGTAGTAACATGGTAGCAGATACCAACAGATAATTTAGTGAAAAGGAAAGTCACATTTGCAAAGTCCTTATGGCCTTGAATGAGATAATAGGTGCTTTTTATACACCTTGAAATAATACATTGACATCCGTGTCAGTTTATTTGGTTGGTGATTTCAAGGCTAGCTGAGCAAACTAATGTCAGTATCTTTTCCAGAATTATTCTTCAGAGATATTAACTGAATATAGAGTTTTACCTTCCCCCTGTTCCACATTTATGCGTAGGAAAATAACTTATGGAATCATACATACAGCATGCATACAGCTGACATAGCAATAACCTATCTAAAATTATGACCTGACATGGTAGTGTTACATTCTCTCTCCTACCGTTAGATGAAACATGCCTGTTCTCAGTCTTCTGCTTGGTGCCAGGTGCTTCATGGTATGAAGGAACAGAAAAACAAAGATGCTCCTCCAGAAGGCATCAGTGTCGGGCTTCTGCTGTGGAATTCTTCCTGAATTACAACATCTTCTGTTGTTAATTTGCAAAAGCCTGTGAAGAATAGATAAAGATTTAAATTTCAGTAACATCAATGTCCTTCTGTATTTTTCTTATAGCATGATTACTACTACAAATCATGAAATGAACTCTCACATTCTTGTTAAAAATTTTGGCTTAAGGAATTAGTACCTAAATTTTAACTACAATTCTTTGTGTGTTTTTCTTGGCCTCTAATATACCACACACCTCATTTGGTTCTCCCAGCCCATAATTGTCATTAGTAATGAAAATTACTAGATCATTCCTTGCTTTGTAAGCTCATCTAGAAAATGTTCTGAAGTTTCAATAAGATGATAGAGACCATGTTTACTGTTCCAAATATACTGCATTGTTTTGCTATATGGTTTCTACTATACAGCTTCCACAAATTAACTTTTTTTATTCTCTGAGCTGAATAAAAGATTTAGTTGGCCTCTTTACAAACCTTGTTTAAACAAGAATTTTAGAGCTACTATTCTCTTAAATTAATGTGTCTATGTACTCTTGATAGCCAGAAGTAGAGATTGTTTCCCTTTGCCACAGGAATGAAACAAAAAGCATTTCAATGAAATGCTCAAGTGCAAAGCTAATTCCTATCAGAAATGCATCAGTGCACTCAGATGCATATGCTTCATTCTGACAATAACAACACTGAAAAAAATGTTTTATAAGGCATTCAGATGCAATAGAAATTTCTCTCTTTTTTTTTTTTTTTCCATCTTAAAGTTGAAAAATCTTGGAAATCTTGGTAGAAAGGCTTTGCCTGGTATTTCCATCCCTTTCTGACTTAGGACAGGTGGAACATACAGTACTTTTAAGGTCAAAGATAAAGAACTTTTTTCCTGGGCTCAGAGGGACTGAAGAGGACATTTGTGAGTATCTTATAGAGACTTGCTGCATAGCTCCCCAAGCAGTTTTCTCCACAGCTTCTCCAAACAAGGCAGCAGCCCTGCACTGCACAGTTCCCTTTGCCAGCAGCCCCACACAGAGCATTAACATTTCTTCCATGCACTGTATTTCTCTATACAATTCCTTTGTCTTTCCGAATCTCCAAGTACCTTTTCACACCCCATACACACTGCTCCTACACTACACAGCAACTCCCCTGCTCCCCAGTGCCAGCCCCTATGTTTCCCTGAGGCACCCCACTCATCACTGAGCTGCCCTCCAGTAGCACAAGATGGGAACTTCAGCAAGTGGCAGGCAGCAATACAGCACAGGACAGGGAGCACTGAGGCTGGAGAAAAACAAAGGAAGGTGAAGAGAGGGAGAAAGAAGAACAGTGAGGGCAGGGAGAAGTCCTTGAGGCTACTGCCACAGGCTTGTTTAAAATCCTGTGCTCTCAGCCTTCTTCTCAATAGTGATTAAAGTTATTTAACTGCAAACAGACTTTCTCCAAAAGAGAACTTGTGCACATAGTGTTTAGGTTGTGGCTGTACTCATGATGGGTGTCAGAGGCATTTTGGAATCCTGCAAGTTAAACACAGCTGGTACAGAGAGACAGTGCCGAATTACCAGATGTCTTCAACTTGGGAATTTCAGCACACTTTTCCTCTCTTTCCAGGGTAACTCCTCCTGGTTCTGATTGCTGGGATTTTCTTGCATTTAAATGTGTTGTATTATGTGTCCATTAGCCAAGGCATTGGTTAGTTCAGAAGCACTTTGAACACTTGGAAGTAAATATTTATGTACAATTAATACTTTTCAGTTTGATATTTCTTTCTCAGAGGAGACTGCGTGTTTGTGCATGTTCATCAAGTGTTAATCTAGGTAACACTAAAACAAATACATGTAAAACCATGCATGTTATTACTGATGATGTTGTTTAATTAATATACACAATTATACCTGCTTACAAAGCAGGAGAATGGAGGTCAACATGCAAAGAAAATAAGCCATTTCCTTCCCACTTTAATCCTGCAGCTGTAAAATGTAAAACTGTAACTCAGCCAGCTCCAAGCCAGCCAGTGCAGTAAAAATGTGACATGCAGAGTGCTGGGAAGGGAAGTGGTGGTTGCAGGCGTGAGGGAGGGGAAGAGGAAACACCACCACTACCACCACCACCACCCTTGCTGCTCTTCTACCTCCTCTCACACATGAGAAAAAGGTGCTCGCCTGCCTGGGGTGAGCTGACCCATTCTGACCATGGGGCACATGAAAAGTGCTCTCTAATTCTCAGCCCCAGCTGCTTGGCATGAGGATGCGATGTTTGCTCATTCTCTGGTTTTCATTTCATTTTCTGTCAAGCTGATTTATATACAGCTGTTTGCAACATAGAACAGCGTTTTATTATCATTATTTGTCATTGATATCACCTATCTTTTGGTGTGTTAAAATGTAGGCTCTGCTAAAATGGATTAATTATTTTTTTCTGCAAAGACTGGAACTTCAATTTCTTGGGCAGTAGGCATTTACTGCTTACAAGAAAACAAAATTAAAGCATCTCACATATGCATCTAATTCTGCAATAATCTCAGATACAGACTGGAAATACATTATTGTATTCTCCTCTTTTCCTTCCTTTTTGGATCTGAAGTAGCTTTTTAAAAGTAACATTACTGTGGAAAGAGAGTCCACTGATCATGAAATCTCTACTTGTAACTTCTGCTATCTTTCCAAACATTGCTGAATACATCTCCAAAATATGCAATAAAAAGTAGATCTCATGTTAGAAAAGTTAAAAATAGTTCAGGTAATATGTCTTTAGCGCCACAATAGGCAGGACATAAATTCCCTTGAAACAGTGAGTAGCATTAATCATCTGCTGGTTGTTAAGGCATAAAATGCTCACAAAGTATTGCTTCCAATTTTTTAAAGCATTTCAAGTATTTCTGAAATATCCATTGAAATAAGTTAAATTTCAACTTTCACAAAAGTTCAACAAAAGAATAAAAAAAATCTGATCCATAATACCTTGCATTTAAAAGCCCTCCTGAGTTAGAAGATCATATTTACATTTCCATTTAACAGATTTTTTTCTGTTTTGTTTACAAAGCACAACACAACCCAATTAGAATAAATGCAAAATTCCAGTTAGATAGTTAAGATCTGACTCTGGGTCTTCGAAGGCCTACTAAAGAGGAGGAAAAGCATATAATACTCTCTTTATTATTATATTTTACTCTATTTTGACATTTAAAATTAACTTCTAAGTCTCCTCTGGTCAATTTAATTTAAATTTAATATTTAAATTAACGGCCAGGTTGCTCAGGGGATGCGTAAACATGAAAAATATTAAAAACTGAGTCAGTAACTTCAATTAGAACCAGATTTTTTAAAAATCTTTCGACATTACTTTTGTACACACATGATCATGTGACATTCAATTTGAGAAAAATATTGTCACTTTTTAAAAACTTAAATGTTTTCTTTTTACTTTCTTTTGGTTAAGTAGCAAATTAAGTAAAGATAGCAGTTAAATATTTTAATATAATAAATATAATGAATATGCAAGGCATTCCAATTATTTTTAAATATCTATAGATTAGAAATATTACATGAATTGTGTTTAGAAAAGTAAATAAAATACAAGAATACATCATTTAAATGCTATTCCAGTACTGATCAATTTTAAAACATCTTAAATTTTGAGATTTTGAATTGTATAATCCGAGTAGTAATGCCAGTGTTACTCTGAAAATTTGCACTTTTTAGTTGTATTGCAGCTTTATTCAACACTTCAAAGCCTTTAACAGAGTAGTTCCAATATTACCATATTCCTAGTGATGACGGAGAAACTCTGAAAGGCTGTTTTCTTACCACATTTAGTAGATCACCAGCAGTATAATTGCTACTCAGTCTAAACTGTTTTGTAAATTAATATTTCTTAAGCTTGTTGTTTTGTTTTGCTTTGGAGCCACATTACACCTTATATCCTTTATGACATTCACTGTATGGCTAGAGTTTCTTTCTAAATTCATGTTACAGCATATTTTTTTCCTCAGCAATTAGTAAATCATTTGCCCTGGTGATAGAGAAATTGTGAGAACTGTTGCAGTGATGGCCCAAGGACCATCTTCGTGTCTTTCCTTTTTTTATTCATGGATGTAGAAAAATATGCCAATTTACCTGAGGAATAGGTCTCCTTAGAGAACACTAAGGTGATCTTGGTTCCTTGGTGAATACCAAGTGGGAAAAGAGAAAAAATATGATTCTAAAATGTGAAATCTGAATATTTAGTACCTATCACATTGCTTTTTTTTTTTTTTTTTTTAATGGTAATATAGTATACATCTAGAACATCAGCCCAAATTAAAGTCCTGTTAAAAGTTCCTTTGTCACACAACATCGGTGCCACCTTCCATGAGGTGGATGAGAACAGAGAGGAAAAATAAAGTGGCTTGTTTAGCACTAGCCATTGCTTGCCAAGGTCGGTGACTTGTTTCTTTTTCTGTTTGCTGGTGTTTAGCTATATCTCCATAGATGAAACCCTTCAGAGTCTGGAGGCCCATTCCTTCAACAGTTTAAGTAAAGTCACTCATATGTAAGTACTGCAGTTAATTAAATGTAAATAAATGAATGCAGTGGTTCAAATAAATTTCAAGGTGTATGGAGTAACATACAGGTTGATTTATGAGTTGTCATTCTCTTCTCCTTTGCAGAAAAATATTCCTTTTCTCATTTTCTTTCTCCATATTGTGGAGAAAGTCTGTTTTTTTTTTTTTTCTCTTGTGCTTTCTTTAGTTCCCTTGCTTTTCCATATCCTCCTAAGTGTAAGAAAAATATGTGGGACTGCACTGCAAGCTCTAGCTTGGTGGCAAGTTTATTTGAACTGGCAGCTAAGAATTGGTTCTGTCAACTTACTAAACATACATGTAAGTGTAAAACAGCATAAGAAGTGAAATTGGAAAGGCCATAGCACAGAGCAAAATGGCACTAGCAAGAGACATGAAGAGTAACAAGTAATCATTCTGGAAGTGCACTAAGTATAATATAATAGTATAGTGTAGTATAATAGTATAATAACAAAGAGTATTTGTCTGGTTATTAAATGGAATGGGGAATATTATGGGTAAAGGTTTCTGGCAAGTTTTTATATTTTTTGTTTTTATCAGTCCTCACCAAAAAAAATGAACCATAAGTGCAACTAACATCAAGGACAAAGGGAAGAGATACCAACTTAATATTCTTTAACCTCTTCTTTCCTTATTCTTACTTAAGATTTTCAGATTGTGTCAAACGAACCTAACATTAGAATGTTTAAAGTCCTGTATGAAACAAAGTCAGCTATCTTTGAGAACTTGCAAAGGATGAGTGAAATACCAGAAAAGAAAAAAGGGCAAAAACTGGGTCTGTCTTCTAAAAGAAACTGTGATGAAAGCAGATTAACTTCAATTCCTGAAAAAGAAATCTGGAACCAGTAATCAAACTAATTGTGTGTAAACACAAAGAATACTGTGAAATGAAATTACAGCTACATGGATTTAAGAACAAATCAGATCAGGCTATCCTGCAACAGGAAGAAGGTGTCAAAATTACAGTACTATGGCTTTTGGCACTATATGGTATGAGACTGCACTATAAAAAGGCTTGCAGAACAAGGCCTAACTGAAATAGTACTGGGGTAGATATAAAAGTGGCAGGATACCTGCACCTAGAGAATTCTTGTCATTCAGAATTACCCTGTCAAAATGAGAAGTTAATTTACTGAATAAGGCTTCACAGGATCCATCCTTCACCTGGTTCTCTGATCCAAATGAGGGCATACGAAGTGTGTCAGTATCAAAAAGCTCATATAAGCTGCAGTTTGGCACATTTTGGAGATTTTTGTTTGAAGAGACTCCATGGGAGAGCAATGCCAGTCATTAAGGGTCCAGAAAACTTTATCTGAAAGAGTTTTGTTTCCAAAACTAAAATATGACAGAGGCAGATACATCTTTTAAGCGTATAAAAGGTTGCTGCAAGGGATGAAACTACTATCCGTTTTTCACACTGACAAAGCAAAACTAATAATAAAATTAGATTAAGGAGCAATTTAAAAAAAGCTTTCTTATGGTTGGCATAAATAAATACAATTGCTTTCCTAGGGAAATTGTCTTTGTCACTGGAGGCCTTTAAGTCTGTAATCAGAAACTCCATAGGTCTATTTAACATTCACTCAGAGAATGAGATTGAACTAGGTGATCTCTCAACACTGCACTATTTTCTATACTTCTTTTGCATTTAATTTATACATTATGAAACAGAAGGGTTAATAAAAATAAAGGAGATAATATCATTACTCTTACTGTAGATAGAGAGCAACTAACGCTGGAAAAGGGAAGCATCTACCCTACAAATCCTTGGCAGATTAAGTTAAGAGTAGAGTCCAGGATCCTGAGACTTAGTTTAGTCCAATAACATGCTCCTTTAATATTCTGGAAATGGTGTCACAAGAAAGCTTTAGTGTTATAACAGTACTTATCTTTGGTTTGAATTTAGCCAGTCTCTTCTGTAAATGGTTTTTCCAGGTCCATGTTACTCATTCTCCCTTCCTGTTTCAAAGTTGTTGTGTCTTCAGGATTTCTTGTTTAACAAAAAAACATTTAATGAAACACTTACTGGCATCCCATTTTAAAAGTAATAAAGTATTTGGCACTACATACCTTGTGGTTCACCTTATTAGAAATTAAAGACAATAAAATACTCTTGGGCCATCTCATTTCATTGCAGAGTTCTTCCATGCAATACCCAGGGTTGTATCTTTTTTTTTTTTTTTTTAATTATATGAATATAAAGTTTTCCTAAGAATGGCTTGAGGAAAAGAGGAACTAGCTGGTTAGATAGCTACTATTATTTCTGTATTAGATTCAAAGTGAAGAATGGATTAGAAAAGTCTACCTGAGGATAGTAATTCATAACACAAAGGATCTCTTTCAAAGGCTAATGTAAGCCTTTGCATATAAAGGACAATTCCATAAAAACGTGCATCTTGAAATGCGACTACTTTAAAGGAGTGGTAGATTGAGCTATGGTGTTTTCAGTGCCTCCTCTGGCACATGAAGGCTCCTCTGGAAACCCTCTGGTGTTCTACAGAATGTTTCAGCACCAAGCACCCAACTCATTGTAAGGCACTACATCCACACCCACCCTACAGGCCTTCTCTCCCAGAAGCCTTGTCTGAGCACACCTCAAGGTTTGAAGCCACCACATTATCACACTCACGTCAGATCCATGGCCTGCATGTGACACCCATGATGCTGCAGCCTGTGTAGGAGTCAGTGGAGCTCAATGGTACCTACACCTTCTTCATCTGTGGTACTTCGCTTACTTGCAAAGGCAAAACCCCAACCTTTGCAGCTATCCCATGAAGAAGGGCTAACTGTACTACTCAAAAGCATTTATACACTTTTAAAATCAGTTTGGAAGTAAAGCACACACATTATTTAATCAGAGAATACACAAACATCTGGCAAATTAGGCAGCTGAATATAAACAGAAAAAGAAAGCTATTTATAAATTCGACTATTTTTCTCAGTTGCTTCCATAACTCCTCTGATTGCTTCCATAACTCCTCTGATTTGTTAACACTTATTGTTGGGTTTGATTTACTTTCCAAAGAACAAGATTATTTAGGGATAAATGTATGTGTTGTGCTATGCATTTGTTTAATGTTCTCCACTTACATAGTTATTTTCAAACTATTATTGCTAAAATAGTGGATAAAGAGTAGCATAGGATATGTTCAAGGAAGTTGAAGTTACTCTAACAGTTTTGAAAAGAAGTCATTTCATAGAGGTTAGCTTTCATAGGTTCATTTTTCATGGACTTTTCATAGAGTACGGTTTTAAATAAATAATCTTTTTACCATAATTTAAGCTTATATACGCAGTTTAATTTTTAAAACATTTGTTTTTCTACAGAACTTCTTATGAGAAAATTTAGTGTTTATGGAAAGGAAGAACTAATTGCTTGGCTTGAGTCAAGTGTCATGTGAATAGGCATCCTGTGTTTGTCACCACTTCATGCCAAGCCTGTTAGTGTGCCTCACTTTTCATCTTAAGCACTCTGCTTTCCTGGTCCTTGTTCGGTTCTGCTTCTGTGCCTCCATTCCTACTTTCTGTTCCCTCCAGACCTTAGATGCATGTATGCAGCTTGTCCATATTCCCCTACAAGCAACTCTGAATATATTTATATGAACCTAATCCATTTGAATGCTGAGTAACTTCTGCAAAATGAGGATGCTGATCAACTGCTGTGTTTTAATGAGATGGATCTCATTTCAGTTGTAATTAATAGCCACTCTTTTACGATTAAAATCAGGGCCAAGACTTTGTATTAATTTTTTTGCCAGTGATGGGGATTGTTGGTCTAACAATATTTTCTTTTTCCTTATTTTTGTCATTACTGTTTCTAAGTATACCTGCGAGACAAATTTAACATGCTTACAAATTCAGGATTGTCTTTCCCATAGAGTGACAAAACTGTATTGTAGATACAAATGTGAAAGTGCCAGATGAGCAATGTCTCTGGGTACATATCTTACTAGTGTGTTGCAGCTTGGTAGCATCAGGCTTGAGAGCTTTTGGAGCTAGGTCTTTTTTCTCAGGAAAACATTTTCACGTAAGGAACACCAGGAAAACTCTTTCTTTCCCCTTTCCCTGTGTCTCTGCTCACTCTCTTCATCTCTCCCTCACTTCTCCACAACTCCTCCCTACTCCAAACGCTCTCTCCTTTTGAACAACCACATGAAAAGCCCTTTGAGCATGTGGGAGTATTGCCAAAGGTTGCGGTTCAAGTGGCTTGCCCTTGTACATGCAACATCATTTAGAGCTTGCAGGGGCTGCTCTCCATCTCTGCATTGGGCAAGTGCTGGGGCAGCTCCCCCAGCCTCCAGGCAAATGCTGCAATTCTTGCAGCCAGCTCAGGGAGCCAAGTCATGGCATATCAGGCTGCAGAAAGGAGATATGATTTTATAGAAGGGTCAGAGAAGCAACTGGAGAGAAAGGTTGAAGAGGGAAGAGCTGGCCCTAATACGAATCTGAATAAAGGGGACTGCTGTATACCTGCAGTGAATTTCAGGGCACTGGAACAAGACCTGTGCAGAAAGAAAAACTTGTTAAAAGCTTTTGTCTGGAGGTGGGGAATAGACAGGCTGGAGCCTGAGCCAATTTTTTGGAGCTAGTGATGCAAAAGCTTGACAGCTGTGTGCAGGTGGAATGCCAATTTGGACAGCTCAATTTGGGGGGACTGCAGCTAGGCTGCGCAGGGAGAGAGAAATGTGGAAGTCTATGTACAAATCATAGAGGCCAGGGAAGCTATAGACAAAGTAAATCAAAGTGGAGAGCGGTCTAGTTATTTTAAGATAAAGAAAACAGCTGACTTAAAACATTTTAGAACTGCTGACCTAGATATCCTTATTATTCATACACATTTCAGCATAGTGGCATTATATAGAGACTTTGCTCTGATTTGCAATAGCTGAGCTCTAGTCTTGAACAAACTCAGGGGTGTGTCAATACTGCAAGGCAGGTATGAAAGATATATCTGGTAAATTAATTTTAGGAGCAGCATAAATATGTGAATGTTTTTCCTTTTTAAAATTCATATAAGACGTGAAGTCACTTACTAACTTTTCTAGGGTTTATTTTGCATACTTGCAGCTCATTAAGTAATTTGTCAGACTAATATTCAAATGATTATTAGTTTCAGTTTTAGATTAATTTTGATTTGGAACTAAATACTTATGTCTGCTCATGAACATAAGTATGTTATTTATAGTTATTCATAAGTATTAACACAGAACCGTAAGTATGCCACTAAGTAATTTTCTCTGCACATGTGTTACTGACACTTTAAGGTTTTTAATGTAATTTCTTTAAAAAGCAGAACTTAAGTGCTATTCATGGACAGTAAGATTTTAGTTTGATTGTGAACCTAGCACATTTTTAATTACTAGTCTGAGGGCCAGAAATGAAATGTAAAACTTTGACTTTAAATCACACATAAGCCAAGTCTTAATGGTTTTACGTACTTTTTTTAAAAGTAAAACAGAAGCTGAATATTTTGTATTGTAACTTTCAGTAATTTTATGAGTGTTCCACAGATAATTCTGTTATCTTAAGGGTAGATAGCATCAGCCTTCTTTCTTATTAGCATTTCTAAGTAATTTTAGTTAGGACTGTGAAGTGAAAGATTTGTCCAGGACACCTTTCACCGCTCTGTGTAACTGCTCAGCAAGGATACCTATTAAATATCTTTTTTTTTTTTTTTAATATATCTTTAATCATTTTGTTCCCAGAAATACTCAGAATTGTTACATTGCTGCTGGGCACAGAATTTAAGCCCTGTATGCTAAGATTGAATTGTATTTATATTGTGTATCAAAGTTCCATTTCAAAAGTCACCTAAAGTTGGTTCTCATAGGCACTTATATACCAGGGAATTAGCCTGCCAGACATTTTTAAGTATATACTTTGGCTGTCTCTGTATTTTAGGCAGCTAAAACTACTAATATTTTTCTCAGAGCTACTTTTAAAAGGAACCTTAAGTTTCTAGATCTGTGTTTCAATCTTTTCAATTCACTGATTTAGAAAAGATTACCGATAGAAATGCAAACCCTGTCTAATGAATCTACCGATAATCAACAATCTTTTCTTCATTTTTGGAACCTTTAGAAGTAATATTTAAACCACAGGAGTCTTTTGATTACAATTTGAAAATTGCTATCATATAACATTTAGGCACCTTTGAATGTACTATTCATGATTGATTCACATAGAATAAATTATGAAATCTATCTTGTGTATCACTGTCCTGTTAACTTGTGAGAGCAGGACTATTTAATAACTTTCATTACTTCATAAGCTGCAATACTGATGGAGCTACAGATATCCTTTAAATCTGAGATTTTAGAGAAGATTCTTTCCAGTATTGTGATATTAATGATGTTTGAGTATGCAAACAAGGACAGTTTCATGAACAGAACTAAATTTGAAGATCTTTCTCTTTTTCATGCATATGAAATGAGAGGCCACATATTCAGCCAGTCAAGTTCAAGAAACACATTTGACTGGACTAGAAGCAGAGAAAAATGAATTTTTCTCCTGATTTTTTTTTTTTTTGTAAGCTTAACATTCACTTGGGTCAAATCACTTTTTCCCTTTTTATACCTCTCTAACCCTCTTTCTCATCCATTTTGTGAAGAGATTTCTGGGCAACTGTTTGTCAAAAGTGCCCACAATGGGTCCTTTTCATCCTTTCAGAAAATAAGAAACCTCTATAATACAACATGTAGGACAAAATGCAATTATAAAAATACATTATATTTCAAAGTACACTTCTTCCCTAATCCCAGCATCACCAATTCAAGGAAATGAAACAGTGAGGGCATAAGCCTTTCTTCATTGTTCAGTGTATATATTGATTTCCTCACTAACAGTCTTTAAGCTTTTCTCCTATTACTGTGCCAAATGTCTCATCTGGCAATTTTAAATCTTTTATTCACAGATTAACTAGTATTTCATTTTGCTCTGTTAAACAGCACTTGCCCTCTTTTGGCCTAGTTACTTAATAAAATCTGCTTGAATCTCATCGCATTATTCCGTGCTTCCAATTTTAGTACCATCTGCAGATTTTGAAATCTTACTTTCAATACCCTCTTCCAAACTGCAGAGTACTATGAATAGAAACGAGCCAGAACTCAATGACTCTATGGTACTCCAATGTATTATCCATTTCCCGACTGAATGTTGATCTGAAAACTCTCTTCCCCTGGAATACGTTTGGTCCACAACAAAGAAATATACAGCCAAGAAGCTCCTGACTCCAGCTTTTCAAATGCAGCCAGTGATGAAAAAAACATTGTCAGTTCAAGTCTGTGGAGCAAATTCCACTGTTGGAAGTATGATTGCTACATAACTAATAAAATAATTTGAGAGAAGCAAGAGACTGACACAGAAGACTTCTCTTAATAGCAGAAACAGTACTGTTCAAAGAAGGTAACAGACACAAAGAACATTTGAATATGTTGCTCTAATAGTAGTATTATAGCTATTAACTGAATCAGTTCAACTTGCAAGTAGAAGCTAAACCGTTGTCTCCCTACCACGTAAACAGTAGAAAATGAAGGCTTGGAAGATGGAGAACTGTTTTCTCAGTAAAGCAGCATACATAGAAGATAAAGTCTTGGTACCTGTCTCCACATACTGATTTATCTATTGTCTTACTTTTCCCACTTTCATTTCTCAGATAACTTGGTTATAATGATTTTATTATGTAAGAATGATTCCAGTGACAGAGGTGTTCTTAAAATCCAGCTTCCTGATACCCTATGTTGTCTAGGCTGATCACTGCTTTGGGTGACTTGGCAGTGCTAAGGCATGCTAATTCAAGTACTACTGGTTTGCACCATGTCTATGACCACTTTTTGGGCTGACCTAAGACCAGAACATCACCCACAAAACCCACACCACCATGCCACCCATTTTAACTTTCATTTTAAAATTGATAGTTTCTGTTAAAATAAAGAAAGAAATGATTAATTATCAATGTGCTAACATTCCCCCTTTCTTTACAGTGAAATTCGAAATCTTAGAAACTTGGATTACATAGATCCAGATGCCTTTAAGAACCTCCCACTGTTGAAATACCTGTAAGTATTTAGCATCTGTAAGTTGTTGGCACTTAAGCCTTACAGAGAACTCTATTTTTTTATTTTTACACAACAACAGTTTATTTGCATTTCATTTTAGAAATGGTTGCAATGCTTTTCCATGTTTATTTTAATGACAGAACATCAGTATAAGTGGTTGGAACTTTAACTACTTTTGCAAGAAAGGAAAAGGTTCACAAATTCATCAGTATTCTTGTGATCTATTAAGTGCAATACACAAATTTTTGCCTGACAACATTCCACAGCTAGTATTCTGCTAATGATGGTGCTGTCATACTATATTTATCTAGGGAATACTGGGAAGAGAGATATAACAGAAATCATACATCTTTTCTATTTGCTGGATATTTATATAGGGTTTTAAGGAATATCCATCAGCTACATGTGACAAATAAGTCTATATCTGATTTCATATGACTTCTATGGTAGAAAGAAATCCTCGGGGATTCTCTATATCCCCATGAAGAGCAGCACAGAGTAACCAAACCACAGAATTATAAAATTATTGCACAGGAAATAGAAGAAGAGAAAGAGAATATCTTCTGTAATTTTTAGTAATGTTCAGAAGACTCTGAAAAGAGTTGTGTGCTTGTGGTGGGGATAGCAGCAAGGAAGAAAGACTTCCCAGATTTTTCCTATATATCAAAAGTGATTTTAAAAAAAAAAAAAAAAAAAAAGAATGTAATCAACACTTTAATTTCAAAATAGTTTTAAAATTTGAGAACTGTATTTCCTGAACCCTACAGAAGTTCAGAAATAAGGGGAATTAACTGTATTCATGTTAGAAGACTGTTTGGAAGACAACATTTTTTCCTTTTTAGAGGTATTTCAACAGCTCTGAGCCTCAATGAAAGACAGAGGATTTGGGGCCCAGACAAAAGTCTGAAGCAGCCTTAATCTCAGAAATGTGCACAAAGTTGTATTTTTTTTTTTTCCTCCCTACTTACTTCACAGGCTACTTCCCCCTGCACACCTACTTATCTGCATTTTATTCTGTGTTTCCATCTTTTAGATTCTATCACTTACCATAAATTTGGTATTCTGATTTATTTTTTATTTTATTCTTCCATCATAGTATTTTGGAGAGTTGATTTGGACTGTGAATTGACTGACAATAGAGAAATACTGATCCTGCACTGCTGAATGATTTAAATACACTGTATGTCTTTATTTGGTGATCCCCTACATGTAATTCTCCTCTCTCTGCTCTAGTGGTATTTTTAATACTGGACTCAAAGTATTTCCTGACCTCACCAAAATCTACTCATCTGATGTGAACTTTTTACTGTAAGTATCTGTCCTCATGGTTAGAATTCTGCCATCCTCAGATCCCAAGAAAACCAACAGCAAAGGCTTACATTTTAGAGAAAAATATCAAATACGCCTGTCAAAGTACTTTTCCTCAAGCTGTAGTTCAACGATCATTAGTATCAAATCTGGAAAATGCCAGGTCATCTAGCACTATAAAATTTGACCTGGATGAGACACACAATCACATTTCTCTTGAATTACCCAAAGAACACGATACACAATTTCTATAGGCCTTTTACTCTTGTTTTGTTTTAACGCTGGCTGTGCAATATCTGAATTAGCCTGACATCAGAATAGTATAACACACAGGACCTGGTCTAACATGCAGCCTGCTAACATGTAGTCAGCCTGTCAACATCTTTCTGACAAATTTGTGCTGGCATGGTGAGCTTGCGGTACACATTTTCAGATAGTAGCATCCACTAATGTCCCACATTGTTGAATCATAACCTCAGCTGGCTATCTGTCTTCTTTCTTTTGAGTACAGACAGCTCAAGAGCAGGAGAACTGGAAAATCTCTAGAGCAATTTTTTATCTTTACACTTTTAAAAAAGCTCAATGTTGGCCTGAACCTTAAGGAAGGTTTCACAAGAAGAAAGATTTTAAGGAAGCCTTCACATTTTGGTGAAGGTTTATTTTACCCCAAATATGTTGCTTCACACAACTCATGTTTTAATACAGGAAATCCCAAAACAGAAAAGGAGTTTAAAAAAGCAAATTACCAAAGCTTAGAGTTTCTATGTCTGTAACTCAGGAGCACCTTGGTTTCATGACAATGAGGTCAGCTCAAGCTGTCACAACATGTGTTCATCCATACCTGCAGCCCTAAGAGTACTTCTGAACATCCTAAATGTCTGTGCTGCAGCAAATACCAAAAAGCCTTGGAAAACCTGGGAGGCCACAGCACAGCAAGCTGTACCTTAGCTAATTTGCACTACTTCCTCTACATTAGCCCATGACAGGCCTCCTTTAAGAGCCTGAGTTCACCGCAGGCTATCTGAATTCACACTGCTCTTACTACACCAGTATAATTTTGGTGTCAGTTTGGGAAAAAAATAAGAGATCTGTGCTGTAAGAAACTAGTAGGAACATCAGGCACTGCCACTCTTTCTTTTAAGAACCTACCTGCACTGTTGAAATTTAATTATTGTATCTCAGTGCTTCTGGACATACATTACCAGGCCTCAGACTGTGGTTGATTGTTAATGAGATGCTAACACTAGGAAAAGCCCTGGGGCTCTGTGGGAAGAGCTAGCAGTACCTCTAGCACAACAGCAATCCTATGTGTAAATTCACATCCTCAGCTGATGGGCTCCATTAGTCCTGACTGTAATATCCTTATTTCATAACTGCAACAAGCACACTTCTCCCTTCCCTGACATCATAAGGCTCCTTCAGGGTCGGTCCATCACTGTTCCCCTGTACGTAATGACTGCAGCACACCGAGGGAACTGAATATGGATATCCACTGTAAGTGGATGCAGCAACCTCCAGAATAGCCTTTTGTGTCCATAGACATTGATGTAATGCTGGTAGCACCAATGCCTCTCACTAGTTTAGGTATTCTGAATTCCTTTCTTTCTCTCCTACTTCCAGCCACCTTCCTTTCCCTTACTTCTCATACTTCTGCCCTCACTGCGATGGATAGCAAGTCTTCTTTCTGTTATCAAAACATCAGACAGCAGCCTGCAAGTACCAATCCAGCCAAGGCAGAAAAGCCTTTCACCCATAAGCCTCCTGTGAACAAAGGGCCACATCTTTCCTGGAAACTATTTGGCTTTACTTTAAGAAAACACCCTTAAGAGAGGGTGCCTGTCTCCTTTCTGCCACTCACCTGGTTTCACAGTAGTTGAGCTAGGTACATGTCTTCTTTTAGAGTCACAGCATAGGCCTATATGAATAGATACTTTGCTTAAATGTTCTTGCCTAACCTTGCTTATATAGTCACATTTTAAGCACAACTCTATTATCCCACTGAACAAGCAAAGCACAAGGAGTGATAATTAACTACTTTTAAGCAAGGCTTCCTAGGTGGAGCCCTCTCTTATTAACTGCAGTCCTCAGCTGAAAAGAATTGTCCTACTAGCAAGTTTTGCTAATTTACTTGGGTTTGCTTACACGAAGCACTCCTACATCACACTAAAACACCTTAAAAACATTTACTTTAGCTAAATTTAAGACCTCTTCTCCTGCCCACCCTTCACTGCTTCAATAGCTTGAAGCAAATTACAGAATGGCTTCTTGGAGAAAGGGAGTGCAAACGTGGCAGGGGTAGTGGTGGTGTATCTCCCATTGCTATCCTTAAAGGTATTTCAGAAACAAAGAGTACTACCGTTAAAAGAGCAAGTGTTTCTTTCCATTTAGGAAGCAAACCCTATTTATTTCTCTGTGCCTTAACCTACAATTTGAGCCCAAATTCAGGGTTGCAATCAAGACAAGAAGGAGCAGCTCAGATGAAGACTTGCAGGCTGGTTAAAGTATCTCAGTCACTACCTAGGTGTTGCAGTCTCTATATGGTAGCAGCGTTCAGCTGGAAGAGGCTTGACAGCTAGATGGGCTAAGTAAGAGGCTATTGAAAATCAGAGGTATTATTGTAGAAGGTAACTTGCAGAGAGGTGATTGGTGGAATACCGTAGGTGGTGTTGCAGTGCTGCAAAGTGGTGTTCTGAGTCAAGTCAGAAAGAGCCCCATGTAGGGCCACCAAGGTGATGAAGGGTCTGGTGCACTTCTCCTATGAGGAAAGGCTGAGAGAACTGGGACTGTTCAGCCCGAAGAAAAGGCTTAGGGTGTATCTTATCAATGTCTATATGTACCCGAAGGAAGGGTGCAAGGAAGACTGATCCAGGCTCTTTCTAGAGGTGCCCAGTGCCAGCACAAGAGGCAGCAGGCACAAACTGGAACACAAGAGGTTATGACTGATCAACAGAAAACACTTTATTGCTGTGCAGTTGACTAAGTATTCACACTGGTTGCCCAGAGAAGCTGTGGAGTCTCCCTCCTTGGAGCTCTTCAAAAGTCACCTGGATGTGGTCCTGGGCAACCTGCTTTAGGTGACCCTGCTTGAGCAGGGGAGGGGTTGGACCTCCAGAGGTCCCTGCCAACCTCAACTACTCTGTGATTCTGTGAATGGTCATTGTCCCCGCTGTATTCATGGTATGCCAGTGGCCAGGTGACCCTCAGAGCTGGAAATGCTGGCTGTTTTGCTGAAAAGTCTAGACCTGCATTAAGCAAGGAGATTTTACTTCCCAAGGATCTTCTGAGACTAGAGGTAAACCTTGTACTACCTCCTGCTCCATAACCTGAAGATGCTGTTTGCCTTAGCTGTAGGCCTCTAGGATGGAAATCGGAGTTAGCTAGAGCTCTGAGTGAGATATATTTAATCTGAAGGGCTACTTAGGGAGATCCTCAGAGATCAAATGGGCTTCAGCTTAAGCATTACTGTGTTGCGAATTACACCCTACTCTTACTATATAGAGAGAAACAAGAAGTAAACAGGCTATGTGAAACAGAAGTAAAAGTCCATACAACCATTGTGTCTATGCTTCCAAGAGAGTAATTTGGCCTCATGGACACTGACAGAAGTGTCCCAACAGTGCAACTTACAAGAGCTCAGCCGTCCCAGTGACAGCAGCGCTTAACTGAAGTGTCCTGATTGCAGATGCTCTTAGCCAAGAGATTACTTCTTGGAATGACTCTTACACCAAGTGAAAACAGAACTGGATATCATCAATGTTTAGAAATGCCTATCTTGAAATTGCCGGTGTATGCTTCGATGAAAAATAATCTTTTCACTTCTGTTATCAAGAAAAAGAACCTACTCTTGAAGAATAGTAGGCTTCTAAGTGATATATAAAGTATAGCTGGGGAAAAAGCATTCATTATATCAGTATTCACTGTTGTGGTTGTCCTGGTTTCAGCTGGGATAGTTTTCTTCCTAGTAGCCAGCATAGTGCTATGTTTTGGATTTAGGATGGAAATAATGTTGATAACACACTGATGTTTTAGTTATTGCTGAGCAGTGCTTGCAAAGCCAAGGACATTTCTGCTTCTCATACTGCCCTGCCAGCGAGGAGGCCGGGGGTGCCCCAGGAGCTGTGAGGGGACACAGCCAGGACAGCTGGCCCAGACCGACCAAAGGGAAGTCCCATACCACATGGCATTGTGCTGAACAGTAATATGAGGGGAGCTGGCCAGGGCGGGGGCTGCCATTGCTCAGGGACTGGCTGGGTGTTAACTGGCTGGTAGTGAGCAATTGTGTTGTGCATTGCCTTCTTCCTCTTTCTCTTTTTTTATTAAACCGTCCTTGTCTCAACAATGACATCTTGCATTTTACCTGTTTTGATTCTTTCCCCCATCCCACTGCAGGGGAGTGAGCAAACAGCTGCATAGTGCTTAGCTGCCTGCCAGGTTAAACCACAACAGTGGCCTATACGCAACTTAGAAGTAAACACTTGTTTAGAAACGTAAAGCAATCTGAAAAATGCCAAACCAGAATAATTTGTGCTGGAAAACAGCTACTGGCGAAATGAAGAATGAAGATGGTTGTAGTACAGTTCAGTGTTAACACATATGATATGCACAGGAAAGGAACAAAATTGTTCTTGTCACATGAACTATTGTTAGGACTTCTCAGCTGATGTACATTATCATCTGGCCTTAATAGATCATGTCTCATCCACAAGAATGTCATCTGACAAAAATAAGAATTTGCAGAATATTTCATTTTCCAGACTGTAATATGATACAGGAAAAAGCAGGAAAGGGACAATCAGACACTTTTGTTTCTGCCAGCTTTTTCTCCTCTCCATTTTAGTCATTGGTTTTGTTTTTTCTTTGTCTCTTTATCACAACAGAGTTTTGCTCTGAGAATACAAATTTCTTAAGTATTTCTTTTATTAAGCTTACTTCTTTATTAAAGCATTTCTTAAGTATTTAAGAAATGACAGACGGTGAAACACTCATTTGGACAAGAGTTGAGAAAATTCATTAGGTTAGATCACACAGTAAATTTTTATTTCACTTGCATTAAATGCAGTTCTGTGAAGTGAAATGCCTGTCCTGAACAATGTATTACCTGATGGCTCAGCTGAGCATAGCTAAACAGCAGGATCTCAACTCTAAAGTCATTTGGGTTGACTCCATTGACATTGCAGCATTATTTACTTTGTTAATTCTTTGGCTTTTGGGAAAATTAATCTGTCTGTGCTGTTAACCATGGGATTCACACAGGCTGGCACACCTCACCAGGACTTTAAAACCCAGCTACTTCACAAGCTCACTTCCTGACTGCTGGAACCTGCTTGATTCTTAATCATCCCACTTCTGACTGTAGGTGTAACTAAACAATTATTCTACACTTTTATTTATTATCAAGGCAGAGAAGAATTAATAACAAGACTGTTCTGGAGAAGTTCTATTAGGCAGATGTTTGACTGTGGTGTTTTGTCTCCTTTTCCAGTGAAATTGCAGATAATCCTTTCATGACTTCAGTGCCTGCAAATGCTTTCCATGGGCTCTGTAATGAATCTCTAACCCTGTAAGTCCTTCCAGTTTAAGTCACAAGGCAATTATTTTGCCTTGGTCTCTCAGGCACATGGTAATGTTAAAAAAAATAACTTGGTTCTACTCTCTAAGTAGTTTGTAACAGAGAAGCATCATACATAATATCCATAATCTATTTTGCATAAATCCTCTAAGGTGGCAGTAATTTGAATCAAGCTACTTTTCTGTAAACTGGCTTACTAAAACATTCTTGCTCTGGTATGACAATGGCAAGAAATGATTATAATGTTGAAAATCAAAGGCAAAAACGTAGTTTTCCTTCTCTAAAGCTACAGTATGGTTAGAATTGTATTTAACTTTTTTGCAACCTAAGTGGCATATATTATGAAAACTAATGGGTGGCAAGTACCAGAAGTCCTATTTAAGAGAAAAAATGTTTAAAATTATATTTAAGAATATAAGAATTATATAAGAATATAAGAATTATATTTAATTCAGTTATGCAAGTCATACTCAATGTGAGCCACAAAAAAAAGGACTGAGGAGAGGGGAGAGAAAATGACTGTAATGAGTTAGGATCTCAACTAGGGAGGTCAGTACTAAAAGGCAAAAGAATGAATTCTAAAGAAATTCGAAATATTCACACAGGCCTTATAGTAAAAAGGTACCTATATTGTATGCATTATTTCCTTAATCGGTCCTTGCAGAATTCTGTTTCCTTGTTTTTACCTTGGGAGTAGGAAAGCTATGGCAAGCCATTTCAGTCTAGTTCTATCTTTGCTGTAAAAAGAAGTAAAAAGATAGCACAACTGCAACACAGTATTCTTAATTCTGCAAGAATGCTGCTGGGCATCTGCTTGACCTTGCACTATAATTGCTACTTCTACAAGATATTAAAATTAACTCATCCATAAATGTGCTGTTGCCGAGGAAAATGATACATAAGATGATAGGTATTCAGTTATTGAAGCATCCCCAAAATACACTAATTTATTTCTATTTTTTTCCTTGCAGCAAACTCTACAATAATGGTTTTACCAGCATCCAAGGCCATGCTTTTAATGGGACAAATCTAGATGCAATGTAAGTAGCAGATCATTTTCTTCTTTCAGGGAAAAAATAAAACAACAAACTATACAAAAAACACAACTATAATTAATACTGTATTCTTGCCAGAGGCTCTCAAATGCATATCTTATTCTAATTGTTTTTAAGGAGCAAAAAAAAAGGATATTAATTTCAGCCAGCAATAAAAATATGGGCATTTTAATGTCTCTTGCAGTGTGCTTTGATTTGAGTTATATGTATATATATATATATATATAGTATGTATTAATAGCTCAGAAATAAAATAATGGCAGGTAATTCTACTGTAAATTTTGTTTAACTTTCTGGCTTGAAGCTATAATAAAATAAATTATGATCAGTAAGATTTCTAAGACTATTTCAAAGACAATTATGCTGTTTTACCTACAAGGCAGTTTATTTTAACAACTGTAATACTGATAATGGTAGCAGCCGTTTCACAGAAATATCTTACCTGAAAAAAAATAAATAAATAAAAAAGTGCTGGAAGCAATTGAGAAGAAACAGTCATTTGCACTTGAAATGAGATGTGCATGTCCAAAACATGAAGCAACCATTCCAGCTTTCCTTTCACCTTATTGTAGTTTCTGGAAAACAACTATCTAGTGATTAAATATCCTTTTTACACCGTTCCCAAAATAATCTTCATCAATCATTAACACAAAACACATCTCAAAATATTTCAGAGGCTCCATTCGATTTGGCAGAGCTTACTCAGCTCCTACAGAGGCTTGACTAGAATCTGATTGGCAATCTATCTCATGAGTTAAAGAGCTTTCTTCATTGTGAGCTCTGAAGTTAACCAGAGAAGTATGAGAATACACAATTATTTTCAGTACTTCTTTATTTTAAATAGGACTTTAACTGTATAAAAAAGTCTGTAAGACCATTTTTCACATGGTCTGAATCTTTGCAAACCACCTTTTCTTCCTTAACACCTTAATTTGAAAAGATTGAAATTAAACTAAAGAATCGGGATAGGTCTTATTTTACTCACTTTAGTTCAGTTATTTCATATGAAAAAGGAAGTTTTTCATGATGACATGGTGTTTGTACTAGTGCCTACAAAAATCACAAGATGCAAAGTATGGCTAAATGAATTCAGTGTCTTGACCAAATCCCTCTAAGCTATATATGAAATGCTTAATACCTTTCTAAGTGTTAGCCAATATATGAACTGTGAAGCTCTTCCACTTTGACAGTTTATAGATGATTTTATAGAATTTTTTCTTTTTGCTTCTCTGGTAGTGTGTAAGGGCTATTGTTTCTGGTCTTACTGGAATTTTCCTTATTATTATCAAGTGAAAACGTATTTTTATGCAATTCAGGGGCTCAAACATCTGCTTTATTGAATGGGTGGAAGTAGAAAAGGAGAAAACACATACCAGGTTCTGCAGATACTGCTCACTTTTTTTTCAGAAAAAGTTTATAAGTAGTATTTTTTAAGTGAATCTTTCCAGAGACTGGTTATGATGTGCTAGTTAAAAGCATTAAAGAAAAAAAAAATATTCTAAAGAATTAAAAAGAGGCTTACCTTCAGGGCATTGTCTACCAGCAGGAAAAATGGTTCATTACAACAAACAGTTTTCTCCTAATTAAATCATATGACATTTACCTAAAGCAAAGCACTACTCCAGATTTACAAGGCAAACTAGGGAGCAGAACATCAGTGATGAAGTCTTTATCTGTTTGATAAAATATATTGAAATTTCTAAACTAATTTTCTGAAGTAGTTTGATTACCATATGCCAAGATAAGGTGTAATTCTGTTGAGTGCAAGCTTGGAGACTTGTTGTTTCTAACAGCAGCATTAAGTTAATGCAAAAGGCAAATATTTCATTTTTTGTATTCTGACACTTCTAATTTGAACTCCTGTTTATCTAACGCTGAACTGCAAAGAAAGTAGCTGTTTTCCTCTGGTTCTGATGCAAGGCCCTTTGGACTAGATGTAATGAAGAGCGAAAAAGAACAAGAAAAAGAGATTTTAATGGGTTTTGAATGATGACCTCAAGGAAGAAAAAAGGCAAAAAAAGGAAAACATTGGGATTTTTTTTTTGAGAAATCATTCAAAGACTCCATATACCATCTAGAAATTTTCAGAAACTTTGGGTATCTCTGAGGTTACCTTCTACAACGTAGCATGTCTTTCAACCACTCTTGCAGTATAGACTTCAATGAGGTGAAACAGACTTAGAATAGACTTTCACTTCAATGAGGTGAAAACAACTAACGCAGATATAGGTGTGGAGTTCTGCATAAATGATTTCCTGCATCATATTAAATAATGGTGCTACCTACTAAATCTTCTCATTCAACAAGGATTTGTGTTTTAGAGCAAGCCACAGTACAGCTGTACTTGTATAAAGGCAGGGAAGTAAAGAATCATGAATGAAGAGGTGAATACTTTTACTCAACAGTGTTCATCTGAAAATTGAATCCCTCATCTAACACAACATTAAGATCCAGTTTGAACTGTGTCACTTCTGCAGGCTTTCTGCAAAGTGGTGCTCCTGCACCAATGTTTATTTCTGCAAGGAAGGAAAGACGCTTCTTATATATATAGTTCCAGCAAATGGCAAAATATATTTGAGATGAGCTTTTACAGAGCTAAAGTACTGAAACGGAGAGTGTGCAATCTCAAAATCTAATTTCTAAAATAAACTCCAAAGGAATATATTTACTTTGGTATACACTCCCAGGGATCGTTTATAATGGTTGGCTGAGCTCAGAGTCAAGATAAGCAATGGTGTGGTAAAACCACATGATGAATCCTTAATATTGCTAATTTACCAACACACATCTTTTGTCTGCTCATCATTTAACCTTCATTTCATAAACCAACAATATTTAAACAGACTAACATGTTTTATGTCCAGAACCCGTTTAATGTTATAGTGCTGCTCTGTAAATGTGTGGCCAATGTTGTTTTGTGGGTTTGCTTTGTTTTTTACTCCCTGTTTGTTAAAATCTATGGACTTACTTTAAAACCAGAAGCTGAAATAAAACTGTAACTTTAGTTGGTTTTAACTAAGTGATTCTTTGGAAGAAAATGTTGAGAAAACTCCCTTCTTCTCTAATCTGTTTATTCGTATTCCATCACTCCTTATGCTCATAAATTGGTTGTAGGACTACAGTAAACCTTGTCACTGAAATAATCTATCTTAAAAAACAAAACAACAAAAAAAACACCTTGAGAAAGCTGTGTCCAGCTACAATATAGGGGATGGCATAAATAATCTTGTACTATGAAAGAAGAGAAATAAAAAGTTTTTAAAAAACTTTCTGAAAAAATAAAGGTATGTGAAACTATATGTTAGTTGAAATAGCTGGTCAGCACTTTTCATTCGTATCTTTAACCCCCAGAGGAAAATACAGTTTTAGTAAAAATATTTTGTAAATATATCTTTGGACCTATTGGCATTTTTCAGTTTTTCATCTCAGTTGAGGAGTTTGAATACTCAGTATTTTGGTTTTCTTTTACCACGTCATGCTCTTCACATGTTCTCTGTATCTCCAAAATGGTATCCCTAAAGAGTTCCCAGAACACCTGTGGTAATTTAACTTTTATACCTGCTTCTTTTTGTTTACTTTTAAAGAACGTTTTGTTTACTTTTAAAGAACATTTCTCATACATACGTATTTCTCCTTTTTGAAGACTCTAGCTGTGGCATATTCTTTGTCTTTTTTGGGCCTACAGAGTTGCTGATTATCAGTACCTGGTGGCTGATCTTACAAAACAGACTTCAGACAGTAACATTTTGAAATAGATCCCGTAAGCCACTCAAATTGAAATCAATAATTGTTTTTCCTCAGGTGGACTCTCTAACTTGTTGTTTTATGAAGCATGCATTGATAATGTCATAATACTCATATCTTTGCTTAATACTCAATATCTTAATACTCATATCTTACCTGACATGACATTGTCCTATTGTACACAGTAGTTTAAATGCCCTATTACTGTCTCATGTCCTCCTAAGGTTTCTTGATGCTCCTCTGCATACTACAGTGACATCGTCCTGGTGGGGCGGTGGTAGCACAGACCTGAAAAAATATATTTCCCACCTACCCGTGGAACTTGAGCCCATCAAGATTCAGTATTAGGCATTGGTTATTAGCTTATTGATCTGATTTTAAAACAAAATGATCAAAACCCCTTCTTTTACTGATAGCACTATGAAACCATCTGCTTATCCTACTCTAGACTTCCTGTGTACTTTGCATCGTGATGGTGATGTTTATCTGATTGCCTTCCACCAACTTTCCAAAATGACTGTTATTCTAATGTCCCCACCAAGGGCAGATATTCCACTTCACCCATGTGGTTTGTTAGCCTTTCGACTTTTGTTTATACGCATGGGTATCACTATTGTGGTTTTCTTTTCTGCCCTGTATTTAAATGACACTTGATACCATTTGGCCATGCGTAAAAGCAGGATTAAAGGAACTCTTGGAAGGAGTTATGCTGGCTATACATAAACTTTCTTTATCAAATAACTATTCACTAGAGTCTTATTTCTTTTAATTTTTAAAGAGGTACCTATCAAAGTAAAAGCTTAAACAACTGAAATCAATTAGCATCAGGAAACTGTACATTCTGATGGGCCTGACTCATCTATGTGGAAACTGGCAGCTAACGTTGTAGCCCCTCCTTGGTAACACACGGTTATGACCTTTCCCTAAGTCTCCACCTAGCTGTTTCTATTTGTAAGTTAGAAGACTTTTATTGCATATGCAAACTATTATATTTGAGGTTTATCACTCAGTGTTCAAATGCTAGGGAAAACCTGGCTGTATAACAATGTCTAATTATTAAAGCAGACGGGTTGTATTAGGTCAGGCAGGTTTTTCTGTCCTTCAAAACTACAACCTAGGTGTTGAAATCTTAGATTAATTCTTAGCTCTTGCTCTGTTTTTGATGTTTGCATTAATTAGCAGACTAAATCATGAGGAAATCTGTAAACTGAAGCAATAGTTCAAACCAAAGGTGACTAGGCTGTCATTTACGGAATATAAAAGTCTGAGTTCTTCTGAGAAAGCACAAATGCAATGTGATACTATAATGTCATATATTTTTGAAGAAACAAAGCTTATTTCAAACACCAATAGATGAGGAGAAAGAATAGGCTGTTTTTCTCTCTAAGAAGCAAGGCTTTAGTCATGGGCAATGTCCAATAAGTAACATGCCAGAAATTTTATCCTGGCATGGCTCCCTAAGATTTAGCGTTGTATAACCCAGCTGAAGTGCATTTACTTCTGCTCATTTCTCACTATGGTGATCAATGTAAGCTTGTATACAACAACTGTTAAGGAAAATTCGCCAATGACATCAACTAGGATGGGATTAGAATTTTTACCTGATTTTTTTTCCAAACCAAACAACAAGTGCTTTGACTTTGTTTTTACAGCCAAACCCCAGTTCACCTATCTGAATTTGAAAGATTCTTCCAGCACAGAGGTAAAATGGTGGTCTTCTGCATTTTCTGAGTTGACTGAAATATCTCCACAGCCACCACCTCAAATGGTGTTTTTGTTACAGAGATTAGAATTAAGAAAGGTTTGACAGGGAATATACCTCTGCCATTAACTGGCACAGTGGACACAGCATCTTCATTGACACCCTCTGAAAGCAGGTGTACAACCTTCCTTTCATATTTTTTGCCTTCCTAGCTACATCACAAGCTAGTTTTAAAATGTTTGTAATAGTTATAGTACCCAGTATCCTGACATTACCTTCTCTCTTCACCTTTAGTATTACTGCCTGAATCATTAATATCAAACTCTTTACCCTTTCATGTCATTGAATTTCTATAATAGGTCTGGTCTGGGTATCTTATCATTTCTGTGCCAACAACACTGAAATTTTACAAAAATCCTCTTTTTAAGATTATCATACTTAAAATTATCTTAACAGTTCTGAACAATGACATTCTGAACATGATAGGTGACATTCGGAGCAATGTCACCTGGCTTCACATGGGCAACGCTGTTTCCTCCCGTTTCTCTCTTTTTCTGCTGATCACATCATTGGCATTCTTCTCTGCTTTTATCTACCCTTTCAAACATGATCTCCATCAGGCAGTCTGTCTGCAATCCTTGCAAGGTTTCTGTCCTTTAGCTGGACTTAGGAGGAGCAAGATTTTACAAATCACCTGCTGTGGTGTTATTCTTCATCATTTTTGCACTGCAAGACCTCCACCAGCCCCGTGCCCTTGTTGGCAAAATGGATTTAAGGGATTCTGCCACTTGCAGTTGTTTGGCCTGAGTGACCCACTGTTGTCCCATTCCTATCAGCAGGAGATCCTCTTCCTGCTTCTGCCAAACCTGAGCTGCCTGTAATACTGCAGCTTGGGGCTGTTGTTGCTGCTCCTAGACCACAGTCTCATGTTTTAATCTGTGGCTTGCTACTGGGCCATTAGACTTTACCTTTCTCACTACACAGAAAATTGATAAAAAGAGGAAAAACCTTCTGAGTATAAATGGGATAGTCACAGGTGCCTAAGGCACTATGTTCCTTCAGGGCCTTTACATTTTACAACCTTTTCATCAAGGGGATTACACATTCCCCTTGGCAATTTTCTGTGTTCTCTTTAATGGATTGCACTGCACTTCTGCTCTGAAGCTCAGTCCTGCAGCTTTTCACCACTCCACTGCTGCCTTAGTTCAAGCTTCTCTCAGAGGTCTTGTGATTCTGTGACTTACCGTAATACAAATAAAAAATGCTTGGACTGTAGTGTCTCATTGCTTATGTAGTGTCCCTCTGCCAAAAGAGAGAGATGTTCATTCGTCTTTCTCCAGGGACTACTATATTTGGTAAATGACTGCCATCATAAGACATCAATTTCCAACTCAATTAAGTTAACGAGCACAACTAGATTTGATGCCTGCAAGCTATTAATCTTGTAAACATTGTGACAGAACTTGATTGAACTAAGTAAAAACACCATCTAGGTTTTAATCCCTAGTTGAGAGAAAGAATTATCACAGTAAAGTCCTACCTGTATCCCTACATGTATGTGTATGGGGTGTCTATGTATATATATAGACACGCACATACACATGTATGTATCACAACCTCATCTTCAGTCTCTCTTCATTGCTCAGCAAATTCCACATATTCCTGCCTATGCTTAGAAGATCTGGCTGCTTGCAGTCCTCCTGGCTAACCAGGGGGGTACTGGGATTGGCATTGAAGTACCACCTTGTCAAGGAAATTAGCATGCCCATAGCATTTTGTGAAGTACTTTTTAGCTGGACAGTTGTTCCAAAACCACATTTTTGTTCTAACTCTGTGTCAAGTAAACCCAACTCACACACAAGCTGGCACCATATGCATAAAAATAATGCTTGTTTTTCCATTTCATCATGTTCTGTGTCTATCTGCTCTTTGCAGAATGTCATTAAAAAGTGCTCAGTGCCATACGTTCACTGTGACTCCAGCAGAAAACTAGGATGCTGGTGCTTCTATTGCTCCTGAAGGTTTTTTATGCTTTCTCTTTGTACACCTGCAATTGTGGAATTACTGAAACAAATTATTTCTCCCAGATCTTCCCACAAAATCTTCATTAATGGTATTAGGCTACTGGGAACAAAGTCTGAGATAAATATAAAGCAATTTGGAACTTGACCAAATTACCTCCAATAATAACTCATACTTTTAAGCTTTTCAAACGACAGTTTCAGACCACGGTAAACAGGAATCCAGCTTAAAAATATATATATTAAAAAAAATGTTCTAATCAATCATTTTAAAATGTAATCTAAAAACACAGAATTGAATTAAAAATTCATTGTTCCATTTGGGTGTATTTTTTTTTTTTTTGAGTGTTCAGTACCACTGCATTATCTACCTTCAATCATGTACCTTCAACTCAACACTGGGACAGGATGGCCCTTTACATATGATTTTTGTAAATCTAATAGGCAAGTAAACTGAAGATCTTTAACAGAGAGATAACTATTTCCAAATACCTGTGTTTTGTCTGTTTCTCCAGCTATCTGCACAAGAACAAATACCTGAAAGTTATCAATGAAGATGCATTTCTGGGAGTACACAGCGGACCAACTCTACTGTGAGTAGGAGAAAATGAAGTAGAGAAAGCTTTAAAAATAATACAATGACAGTTGTGCTTTCTTTCCAACTGTTATCAGCAGTAGAGCAGCAAGAGCGGGAATGGCATGTTTACAAAAAGATGATCAGCAGTGAAAGCTGTTCTTTAGGGAACTCATTTATTGTTAGAAATAGTGTTCCTACAGGTTTTTCTTCTGAAAGACTCTGTGCTACAATCTGTCTCCTGACTATACAATTGGAGTGCAATTGTAAAACTAAGGACTGCAGTAGCATGTATGTAAAGGAAATGGAAAAAGATTTTTAAAAAGGAATTTTAGACAGAATAGTTACTTCTGGTGCTGCCTTTTCTTCTTTCTCACATAACTCGGCTTCCAGTCTTATTTCATAATCCTCCAAAACCTCTCCAGTAAAATTAGAAATGGCAATATGGAGTGACACAACTTTAAGAAGAACCATATTGTCTGACTCTGTTCATTTAGTATTTAACATCGCACGTAGAACCAATCACGGGGAGAACTGAGGTGCCAAAAGTGAGATTCCCTCCTCCACTGCAAAACCAGATGGTGCTGGCAGTGCTTCCTCCACAGAAGAATCAGTTTCACTTTCTGTTCTTCAGAATGGCACCTTTACATCAGCATAATGGTGTGTGGTTTCCATAAGGAATCCTAGTAATTAGCTATAGTTATGAAAAAATACAGATGTTTTTCTCCCAGAATCTTGCTGACTCCAGAAAATCAGGCTGGCTACCAGCTACATGCAGACATTTCAGATACAACTTTATGCTAAGGAGAGTTGTGTACCTACTGTGCAAAGTTGCAACACACCTTTGATAGCGAGGTCATTATCAAATCTCTGATTCTCTCTGTTCCCTGCATCTAAATGCAGATGCATTGTGAGACCTGTGTGTGGATGGTAGCCTGTCTTCTGCTTCAGTTGTCTAATCACTTGGCCTTGTTGGATGAAGAGGAAAATCTGGCTGAGGTCTCACCTTTCAGGGCCACATTATTCTTCCACATCACTCTCTACCACAAGGTCCACTGGACTTGCTAGCAGGGAACAGGGTCTGAGACAAGCTCTGGTGAGTATCAGGTTTTCCTTTCACCAGCTTGGGGGGAGGGAGAAGCACAGACCACGCATTCCTAATTCTGAAGCAGATACTTGAAATAACTGGACGCTGGGGGGGCAGTCCATAACAATCAGAGTCATTCCAACAACAAATTGTGCCAAAATACTCCAGTCACACAAGGGTTGACATTTTGTCTGCTTCCTTAAATCCTCCTCACTTTCCCAGTGGCACATGATGCATCACCAGCTAACCCCAGATCTGAAAGAGGAAGCACCAATCCTACAGCCATGCTCATAAGGGCACGCAGGCCAACTCTTCCTCCCGTCCTCTCACTTCTTTCATTCCCCTTCCCTCTGCAAAAAAATATTGCAGACTGCATAGGTCAACAGGGTAACATTATGCCACAACCTTCTCACCTCAAAGGTGCCAACTGGTGGGACATCTTAGCCAGCACTTCTCTCCAGGGAGCCTGCAAAGGGAGGAATCTAGTCCAACCCTCTTCATTTTAACTTGCAAAGTTCTTGGGATACAGGTGTGTATGAGAATAGGTAAAGGCAGGAACACAGGAAGCACTGTCTCTCAAGATGCTGTCAAAGACTAAAATGCCTACTTTTTTATCCTGTCACTGAGTCACCTGAGGGCTAAATTTCAGTTATGCCAGGAGTGGCCAGATCCTGAGACGACAACGAGGAGGTAGTGTTTTCCAGCTGGTTCCTAGAAGTTATATATTCTGGACAAAAAGAATACAATTAAGATCATGGTCCACAATCAGGAGGAAAACTGCCCATTTAGGCAGAGCAAAAGAGTGTGTTCTGGAATCAGAAGGCAATAGATCAGGAGGGAACACTGGAAAAGCTCACAGAGAGGCTGTTAAACTTCCTGCTCAGGGAACCTGGGTGGTAGTTTTGTCCCAGAAAGGGCCATTGCTGCTCTGCCTCCCTGCTGGCTGGACTGCCTTCTGCCTTCCAGGAAGGCTCAGGCAACCCACCTGTGTACTGAGGCAGTCATGGTAGTACAACTAGCAGAGGCTGTGTTGGTGCTAAGTCAGCCACTATTTTCATTAGTATTTGGTTGATGAGGCCTCTTTCTTAATATTGCACGTGGCAACAAAAAAAAATCCCTTTCTCATTTTGTATCTGACCAGAAATAAGTTTTCCATCTGATGCTACCTAGACACCATATTTTCATTATGATACTACTTTGTCACATGCAATGTGCAGTCTCAAACCAAGTCACACTCTCCTGCTATGTTTGAGGTTTCATACAGCTCGCTGAACATCTTCCCTCTGGGACTACAGGTGGCACAAAGGGTTGAAAAGCTCCTCCTAGGAATGGCAAAAGAAAAAAAAGGGAGGTGAGAGCCTGCAGCAGCAGATTTTGACTCCTGGAGTTACTGTGGGCATTTAGAGCACCACTGTCATTGTTATGCCAGAGAGGTGTACAAGTGATGACATGCTTCAAAGAGTTGTGGGTTAATAATAATGCTGTATGCTGATGTATTTAAGCCCCACAAACCTCGTGTCAGGGGCTAGAGATCACTTCCTAGGATATACATATGTAACTGTAGAAAACTGCCTTCTCACCTTACCCTCTCTTTTCAAGACAGGTTCTGAAATGACTTGAAATTTTTCTGATCTTCTGTAATTATAGTGCTAGCCTAGCTGTCACTGACCCTTCATCTCAGGGCATGTTTTACATCTACAATCTAAACAGCCAATTATCCATCTCCCAGTAGAATGGTAGACTATAGCAACAGTAGTATTTATAATTAAAGAGGGATGTGATACTACAGTGGTATTATAGAATCATAGAATAGTTTGTGTTGGAAGGGACCTTAAAGATCATCTAATACCAAACCCCATGGGCAGGGACACCTCCCACCAGACCAGGTTGCTCAAAGCCCCATCCAGCCTGGCTTTGAATACCTCCAGGGATGGGGCTTCCACAGCTTCTCTGGGCAGCCTGTGCCAGGGCCTCACTGCCCTCTGCGTGAAGAATTTCTTCCTTATATCTAATCTAAATCTACCCTCTTTTACTTTAAAGTCTTTACTCCTTGTCCTATCACTACACTCGCTGATTACAGAGAGGTATTGTTCTCAAAGGCAGAAGGTATAAAATAGCATGTAAGCATCAGTATATCAACAGTGATTAAAAAAGAGTATTTCACATCATATTCTTTTGATTTGCTAGTACTAAGCAAAAGATCTTTAGAGTATTAATTTTTAATTTAATTTTAATGGAATTGTAGTAGCAATTTTAGAGACTCCTATTATCTGTGAACAACTAGGAATTATTCTGCATGTGTGATGCAAGAAGAGTTTGTTATTAAGCAGATATCTTCCAAAACCAATTTACAGCAGAATCCTTCCACCTCCACAGATCTCTTCTTTGAGATTCAGAAACTACTTTAATGGGGAAAAAAGTTTCTGAAACTCCCACTTACATGCTTCCTTAAGAAGGCTGAAGTCAAAATGGATGAGAACTGAGTCAAACACTGTGATTTATCATTGTGTCATATTGAGGGCCAGTAACATCTCCCACGGGGGACAGAAATGTGTTTGCAATCAGTGCTTTATTACACAACCCTGCTGCACCATCAAGACTAACATTAGTGAGTTAATTATAGAGAGATGAGAGATTTGTTAACTTGCATAATAGCCTCAGAAGTCTGACCAATATGGCTGTTCCATATGCCACTTGGGTAGTGTAAATGACTTGGCTTACTATAATAAATAAATTAAGTCATTTTTGGTTCAGGCATCTTGCTGTTGTTAGCTTCATTAGCTGGCATAGGAATTTGTGGACATTGGACCTTCCTCAAGAAAAAAGTTCCACTTAAATACTCTTTCTTCTTGAAAAATAACTCCATGGAAAATGATTGCCAGAAGACGAATATTCCTTTTCCTGGGGCAATGAAGGGCATTGCCTACAATGGTAGCAGAATTAAAAGGGGAGGGGTGGGGGTGGAAGTATCTATGGAGCTCAAAAATGAGATTGTCTTTCTGCCTTGCCTCCCTACCAAGCTGTCAGAACTCATCATCTCTGGATTGCCTTTTACACACTCCTGAAGTGAGAGAATTTGAGGTTGATGGAACAAATGTCTGTGCCACAGATCTATTGTTTAATGCTTTTTTTCCTGATCAGGATTTCAGCAGCAACAGCAACTTGGAGATCAAATGGATAATTACCTTGGATCTACCCTGCTGGGGAAATTTTCTTCCATTTTAACTTTAATGAAAGCCAATGGAAAATATTTAACTACAAAATAATTACCCTTGTCTAGGTATGTTACATGAGTTTAGGCATGCTCTCAGACCACGTAGTTAGGTGGTATATTTAAGTAAATATTAAAAATTTAGGTACTTTTTTCACATATTTGCAGTTTGCAAAAGCAGAGGAACTGGGGGGTGGCATCACTGAAGACAGAACACACGCCGGTCATTCTGATTCCTCTGTCACTGCTGTACATTCAGATGTATACACAGATTGCTACCTTTGGAAAACTATTTTAGAAGCATAATGGTACTATATTGCTCTTTACCTGACAATAGATTCTTGGCTAGTATTCAGAGATTCAATGGACCTGATTTACTAAAATACATCAAGAAGAGCTGCTGCCTAGAACACAAAATCAGTAGAATACAACAAAAACATAAACATAATCAGGCTTATTGTGCAATTAGCTTTCGCAAAATATGCAGCCCAAATTCAAAACATTATTGTCGTACAGGATAGATGTGGGCAATTGATCATCTTTAGAAAGCAGAAGCACTCTTTAAAATATCACTTCCTGGTCTAGGAAAAAGTTCTACCTGTGGAGGTTCCACTCTTCCTGCCACTGAGCACAAGCAAGTCTCCAAGGAATGGGAACACTCCACATTCTGCTAATCAAACAGTGCAAATTTGTCAATTTAAAGACTATTTCAGTAAACAGAAATAATATGAGGAGTCTAAGCCCATCTGTTATATATCTTGTGCTTTTTAAACTATTATAGTACTGCAGTACTCAGAAATCTATGTGTGATTAGGTAAAAATTCTTAATTGTGCTACTACGCATTCAATCTCATTTTCTCAACCTTTTAAGTTCTTCTTCTTATTTGATTTCATACTACAACCACATTTTTGGCTGTGAAAGAGGTTATTGAAAAAAGCTATTACCCATTACATCTAGTTCTGAACTTCATAAAGAAATAGTCCAAGAATGATAATCCAGAAAAAAGTATAAGACAAATATTTAGCTGCCCAGATTTGATACTTGTATCATACATATAGTTCATTCAGAAAACATCTCCTAGGTCATAAACTACGTTTTACTCCCATATTCCTCTGAAGCTCACCCATGTCTCTGCAATCTAACTGCAAATTTCTCTGCAAACTCTGCAAATTTCATGTAAGTTAAGCAACAGCTTACTTAGAAATGTCAAGACATTCCTAGAAATGTCTTGAGATTTATGAGAAACTGTGAGGAAAAAAGAAACAGCTAACGAGCCATGGTTTTAGAAGTGAGCGAATGTACTTTGGTTACTTTTACGCTCTGCAGTGCAGAGCTCTGTACTACTGAAGATCGACCACTACCAGTTACCTGAGCAGCTCTATATCCCAGCTAAATGCTGGAGTCTGGTCTGGATCTGGGCTTGCAGGAAATTTTTCCAGCACTTCAAGACAACCCTGAACATTCAGTGTCTCACATAATGCTGCTTGCTTGTTAATATTATAATATATAACATTATAATTATATATCATATATTTACATTCTAAAAATGATATAAAATATTGTACATGATATTATATACATATTATATATTAGCCTTTGGTGGTGGTTTGTCAAAGGCCTTGTAGAAGTCCTAGAATGCTCTAAGAGCAAATTTTTCTCATAACACTCAGGTTTATTTCTCAAGTGGGACTTTACAAAAGCCCTTTACATACTAACTTCCCTCAGGTATATCATATTAACCCGTATCTTCATTAACTGTACTTTTTGCTTGAACTTCTAAGAAAAAGCCCAGTTCAGACATCAGACTGACAGGCCTGTGCTTCCACTGTCCTTCCCAACATTTCAAGAATTGGTGGCTTATTGGCTACCTTACTATCCTGCGACTACGCAGGGATAAGTTGGAAGCTGCACACCTGTTCTGCTAACTTGACCATTTCCTTCCTGACTCATTATCATTCATTGTCTCAGTTTTCTTGCCCAACCTCTTCTATAGTCACTTAATTTTTGTGACAGATGCTCTTGCTGAGTCTATCAGACCTCTTGTATATTCTCGTGTGTCTTTGAGCCAGCTACAGCCTAGCAGTAGTAGCAGGATACTCTGTGCATTGTACACTTGCTGTGTTTTAACAATTTCTTAGTTAACTATATAAATATGTATTAGTGAGGCTGTCGTAACTGCAGTCACTTCCCATTTTTCTGAGCAGCCCAGAGTAAGGGCTGATCATACAGTGAAACAGAAGAAAAACACTTAAGAAAACTTGTCCTCTATATTAATACAGACACAGATTCAATTATCTGCCTGATAACTCTGACTTCTTGGATACACATTGCTCTGAAGATTAATAGTTATTATTTAAAACCTTTCCAATCCTCTGCTTTCTAGTTTCAAGACAGCTGCTGAGCTGTTTGAAGTTGTATGAGAATCTTAACATATAATCTTCAATACTGGATTGGTAAGGTAAAAAAAACCCGACCAAGCCCACATTTTTTCCTCTGGCCAGTTGACAGGCTCTGCTAACAAAGTGTGGGCTTAGGTAGGGTAACTGCAACATTACCTTCCAGAGAAGGACAAATTATCACCAGACTCCCAAGAGGGTTTTCTGTTTGCAATAGCAGTAGTACAGACAGGCGATAAGACCTCTCGGTGGCAGACACAGTACCAGTAGTTCAGGGACTTCCCAAACTGGGGACCCTGGAAACTTTCAGACTTCTGAGCCTTCTTTATCAAGCTTCTCTACCTACTCCTTATTACTTCATATAGGAAGTATTTGATACTTCTGATCATCCTTTCTGTGCTTTTCTACTTTATTTGCACACTGTAAAATACATGTAGTATTTATAGAATTGCATAAAGTATTTGAGATGTAGTCATGTTAGATTTAGAGTGATTTTTCTCTGTTCTATTTTCTCAGTCTTTCCTAAAAATCCTTAGCATTCTATTTCCCTTCAACGTTACTGAATAGCACTGAGATGACATTTACAGTGAGGACTCCAAGATGTTTCCAGAGTGCTAGGTAAATTAAACCTCATTGTCATCTACATACTGTTAAGATTGCTTTTCCTAAGCATACCTTACATTCATCAGCATTGAATCACATCTATTATTTTACCGCTCAGTCACTTAGTATTACAGGATCCTTCTGCTCCTTTTCATGGTCAGCTTTAGCTTTCACCACCCTGTGTAATTTTGTGGCAGGAACAAACTTCATTGCTTCTACTCATTCTCTTTTCAGACTGTTTATGAATATTTCAGTATTATCAGCACTAATTTAGCTTCTGTGGGCCTCTGCTGTGCTGACATGTATATTCTGATACCAGTTCATTTTCTGTTCTTCTCCTAGTATGAATACTTCTCGCTAGGTACCAAGCTCCTCCCCTATTTTTAATTTTTTATTAATCCATGAGAGCCATTCCTCTTGTCACATAACATCTTTGTTACCTCAATTGCAATTGATATCTAACTGACAAGGCTTTTCAGAAAAAAAGTTCATTGTACAAAGAGCATCACCTTTCTCCCTATGTTTGTGTGAGAATACCTTCAAAGAACTCCCAAGAGTTTGTGATGTGTCACTTCCCTTCCAAAAAGCATTAGCATTTCCCATCACATGACGTTTAGCCATGGTCCCTTCCTGCAGGTAGCTGCCACCACCATGAGTACTTGATAGGGATTGCCAAACAGCCAGCTACGTCTTAGTAAGGTCTTGTCCAAGATGTGCATTAACAAGATGTTTTGCATCAGAAGGAGGTCTACATAAAATGAGGAAACTGGTGAAAAATAAAGGTAACTGAGTTAATAAGGGATTAGAGCAACTGTCATTCATGAAAAAGCCAAGAGAGCTGGGAATGCTTAGCCTGGAGAAGAGAAGACTCAAGAAAAACTTAGCAATGTGTATAAATAGTTCAAAGGTGGGGAGGGAGCTGGGAAGATGGATCCAGGCCTCTTCTCAGTGGTACCCAGTAACAGGACAAGAGGCAAAAAAGCACAAACAAATACAGAAAAGTCCAGTTCAACATAACAAAAATGTCCTTACTATGCAGGTAGTCAAAAGCTGGAACAAGCTACCCAGAGAGGTTGTAGAGTATACATTTCTTGAGATACTGAAAACTCAACAGGACCTAGCTCTGAGCAACCGGCTCTAGATGACCCTGCTTTGAGGACAGAGGTCAAACTGGATGATCTCTGGATTCAAAGATAAAATGACAGTAGACAGCATTCAAACTGTTCTAAGACCCATCTCAAGGGCTTAGCAGAAACACATACAATCTACCAAAACAGATCTGAGGGGAAAAAAAAAAGAAGCTGATGTTACTGAAATCAACTCCTTGTGACATATTTGAATATGTATGATAGCAAAGAAGCTATTACAAGTAAAAAGCCCTCCTTCAAACAGTGGAAGCAATTTCTAACTTAATTATAAACAAACAGTAGCAAAACAAAAGAAAAAATAAGGCAGAGTAAAACCAAGAGATTGAGAAGCAATTTATTTAAAGAATAAAATTAGTAATAATTTTCTTCTAGACACAAGAAATCAGACAGAGTGGGTAAAACAGAGTGACAAGAACAGCACGCTTGGAAAACAATGCATAGAAAAAGCTGAACTATTTATTAGCATGGGTGTTTATGATGGAAGTGCTTAGTGATCCTCCAACACTTGAAACGTTTTTACTGGTTTATTTCTTTACAGAGAGGTTTAGGGACAAAGCAAACAGATGAGTGGAAAACACTAGCAGGATCAGCTGGCATGCAGCTTGTAGTTCTAAAGGAAATCCACAAACCAGGCAATGCAACTGCTGAGCTGAACTCAGGAAAGAGAAAGCATCAAACATACTACATTTCCTGAGAGTTTCAGGATACACCGAGGTAGAGGAATTTAATTTCAGGTTATGAAATATGTTGTTTCAGCAATTATAGTGCTCTCTCTTGAAGTATCCCAATGGGTTAAAATGAGTAAGCCCAAAAGAAAATAGCTCTTCCAGTGGAAGATCCAATCTCATTAAAGAACTTTTGGATTTTTTTTTGTACATGCATTATGTGGTTGTCTCTAAAGGTGTTATTTTAGAAGTCCTAGTATTTCTTCATCATGTCTATTCTCTGAGACATTAAAAATAAGCTTTAAAACACAGAGAAAATCATAGAAGGAATTAATTTTGTATTAGAATTTGAATGGCATCAGAACCTAGCAAAGTGATATAATAAATCTTTGAAACATACTGACAGTATATGTACATGCCTGGAAGGTATACGTAGTATTCCTAATGAAGGAAATGGACATGTTCTTGTACATAAAGTTATTTATATCCTAAACTGTTAGTTGAATCTGAGCCTGTGAATTGATTGAATCAGTCCCTGGTGTCAAGTTAGGGTTTATTTACATGTAGTTCAAAAGAATATGTTGTAACTGCTCTTGTGCTTCAAAAGTGGAAAATACCCATGCAGCTTGCTAAAACCCCACCTCCCCTGGATTTGATATTTGCTGTAGAATTCTACGAAATTCATCAATCACTGTAAGAATCTGAAATTTCAGAGCCAGTCACTTTATTTTCTGAAGTTTGTCTGTTTCTTCCTTTACCTAGGGATATCTCCAGAACAGAGATTGTTAATCTTCCAGCCAAAGGACTGGAAAGCCTTAAAGAACTAATGGCCAAAAACACATGGACTTTAAAGAAGTTACCAGCTGTAAAGGTTTTTTTTCAACTAATGCGAGCTGATCTGTCCTATCCAAGTCACTGCTGTGCTTTCAAGCACATGAAAAAAAGCAGTGGGTGAGTTTTTAAAGGAATTAAATGAAGACAATGTTTTAGTACTAATATAAAGTTACATATATTGTCACTTTTATGAACATTTTTCTAGGTATAGAGGACATTCTTTGAAACAGAGGTTACAATTCCAGCTGAGGGAAGAAAGAATTTTTGATATAACACAATGTGTAGGACCTTTTTCTTCCTTTTGCTAAGCCCAGAAGGAAAAAAAATGGTAGAAAGAATAACCAGAATATGCTACAGCAAGGACTAGAAAAATAATTTTTCTGAGGGTTTATAACCTTATGTTTCAGATGTTTTCTAACTGAAAAACCAAGGATGTATGATATTCTGCAGTAGTAATTTTAGCAGAATTTCCAGCTTCCCATCAGAAAAGGTGCTGATAGCTTCTGGAGGGAAAAAAATACATTTATAGATGTCCTGTTGCAACACAGCAACTAATCTGCTGCATGGGGGGGAAGGGGAGCACACAAGAGGGAATGGCTTGCTGTGGTTAGCAGCATTCTACTTCAGAATTCAAATTCAGTGTAATTTTCTACAAAATTTAATAAGGTTTAGAGCCATGAACTCTTACTGAGGCCAGCCCTCAATTCAGGAAAACAGCCTCAATCTTCAGTAATGCAGCATTTGTCATTGCAGTGTATAATATATTAGAAAATATGCTACGATAAGTGCATGAATTATTGAAGAAAAAACTCATGTACCAATAACATTCACAGTTAAAATGGACTGGGAAAAATGAGGACAATCAAATAAGACAGGAGAGAGATTCAAAACTTGGACGGGAATAATATGCAGAAGGAACCCAGCACAACCTAATAAAAAAAAAAAAGGACATGCATGTCTATTAGTGAACATGAACATATCTCAGACTGAATTTTACGCAATCTTAAATGTTAAATGATTTCAAGTTCTAAACAAAAAATGATGCTGAATTGCAACTTTTTTCTACTAATAAATATAAATTAATTTTGACTACAAATGCAGGTGCATCACACCATGATGTACTGTATTCCCAACTACTATGGTACTAGCTAGCTGTAAGTAAAGTAGAGGAAATAAATAGAACAGAAATGAAAGTGATTAAAATTCTGACAGAAACTGATTTGTGAATAAAAATGAAAAGGAAAATAACATTGCATGTATTATCTAAGGCGTTATAAACAATCTTGTGAACTACTACCAAGAAGGAAGAGGGATTATAGATGGTGGCAGGCCAATTTACTACTGGGGATATCTGACAGTAATAGAGAAAGGAAAGATATAGACTGAAAAAAAAATAGCTATTGTGATGACGAAGTCTCCTGAGATGTTTGACCCTAGAAACGCTCAAGCTTATTGTTCACTTTATGTTAACAAAAATATGTCAGATTACACTTTTATAGCTACATTCTTATTCAGTGATTTGTTTTTGAAGTGTTCTCTTTGTTTACCTCAGACTGTAAATGCCAGTGGTAATTTTCCCCTGTACTCTTTCAGAATTCTGGAGTATCTGATGTGTAACCAGACCAGCAGTCACAGCTTTCGTAAGAGAAGATCAGTCAAAACTCTCAGAGGTCCACTTTACAAAGATTATACAGAAGAATACACAGACCACACTGATACTACATATGACAAAAACACCAAGTTCAGAAATTTTCATGAAAATTCCCAATATTACATTTTTTTCGAAGATCATGGGGAAGGAAATGTTGGATTTGGCCAAGAGCTGAAGAACCCTCAAACAGACGACATGCAGACCTTTGACAGTCATTATGACTATCCTGTCTGTGGAAGCAACGAGGATGTAATATGCACTCCAGAACCTGATGAGTTTAATCCCTGTGAGGACATTATGGGATATCAATTTCTGAGGATTGTGGTGTGGTTTGTGAACCTGTTGGCCATCCTAGGTAACATTTTTGTCCTTTTCATCCTTCTGACTAGCCACTACAAATTGACTGTACCACGCTTTCTTATGTGTAACTTGGCCTTTGCTGATTTTTGCATGGGGTTATACCTTCTCCTGATTGCTTCAGTGGATCTCTACACCAGGTCAGAGTACTATAATCATGCTATAGAGTGGCAGACAGGGCCTGGCTGCAACACAGCAGGCTTTTTCACAGTCTTTGCTAGTGAACTTTCTATATACACACTCACTGTGATCACCCTGGAGCGCTGGTACGCCATCACGTTTGCCATGCGCCCAGATCGGAAGATTCGCCTCCGGCATGCTTTGGTTATCATGCTGGGAGGTTGGCTCTCATGCTTTCTCCTGGCCCTTATGCCACTGGTTGGAGTCAGCAGCTACAGCAAAGTCAGCATCTGCTTGCCTATGGACACAGAAACACCAGTGGCTGAAGCCTACGTTGTCTTTGTTTTAATATGTAACATCATCGCTTTTGTCATCATTTGTGCCTGCTACATAAAAATCTACATCACTGTGCGAAACCCTCAGTACAAGTCAGGGGACAAAGACACCAAGATTGCCAAACGGATGGCTGTGTTGATTTTTACTGACTTTCTGTGCATGGCTCCCATCTCTTTCCATGCTTTATCTGCCATTATGAACAAACCACTGATAACTGTCACTAATTCAAAGATTTTGCTGGTACTCTTCTACCCACTCAATTCTTGTGCCAACCCATTTCTATATGCTATTTTCACCAAAGCTTTCCAAAGAGATGTGTTTATCCTGCTAAGCAAGTTTGGAATATGTGAGCATCAGGCTCAAGTCTACAGAGGCCAGACAATCTCAGCCAAAAACAGCAGTGGCTCTTACGGGCAGAGAATCAGCCGAGGGGTAGGTCAGATTCTTACGAGCATTCAAGACCCAGTCAATGATTACCTTCCTGCTATGACAACGCAAAACCAAATTCTTGTCGAGGAATCCAAGCAAACTGAGCTATGACATCTCCAAGTATCACAACCACAATCTAGTCAAGAGCTGGCTGTGCATACAGAAAGTTGAATGAGAAGATAATGTTTTCTCCTTATCCTTTTTTCCCTACCCTATCCTTGTGATGTCTCAAATAGCTTCTGAAAGATGAGTCACTTGAACCTTGTCTCACATTCTTATCAGTGCAGGTGACAAGATACTGTCCCAATGATGCTGCTGGAAATGGATGTGAAGGTTCTATATAAATTTCCTATATAAATAGGAAATTTAATATACTGAAATAAAGTCAGCAAATATTAAATGTACCTTCATCTAAAAAAAAAAAAATAAGGAAGCAGGAGACCAAGCATAAAACGTCAGGGTACCATTGTCAGGGTACTGTTATGACTAAAATGGACGTACAGTCTTAGAGATAAAATGAGATTAAAAAATATTAAAAGTTGAAGCTCTTCAGTATTAACTGCCTGTGTGTCAAAAGCTTTGGTTTTATAATAGCAAATTCTTAAAACTTCCACTTGGGTGTGAAACGAAACAGATTCCTTCTGCTCCTACAATCCTGACCTGAAATGAAGCCAAGACTTTGTTTGCAGTTTTTGGTTTACTTAGGTGAAGTGAGAAGAGAAGCTTCTTACTGCTATAAAGGCAAATACGAAAAGACAAATACCATTGATTTTGCTGTTATTCATAACTGGTAACAAACATTAGGACATTTGTCTGTGCGTTGCAAAAATACCTCTTACTATCACATTCTCTCACTTTCTGATAAACCTACGTAGGAGATGGTTTAATATGAATTTCTTTTAAAGAAATTCAGTCTACCCAAGTCAAGTTAATGTTGTTCATATTTTTTTGATGGTTGAAAATTTCAGATTGTACTAAATTTTAATGCAACTCTCCATTCTTCACCTAACTACAATGCTGTTTAATTTGAACATCAGGAACCACTTTACTGCGCAGGTGACTGAGCACTGGCACAAGCTGCCCAGACAGGCTGTAGTCTCTCTTTCTTGGAGATCTTCAAAAGCCACCTGGGTGTGATCCTGGTTAACCTGCTCTGGGTGGCCCTGCTCGAGCAGGGGTTTGGACGAGATGACTTCAGAAGTCACTTCCAACCTCAGCCATTCTGTGATTCCATGAATCTGAGCACATTTACGTTGAACACCAAGTACTGCTTCCTTACCACTGCTGTTCCTACTTACCTCTCTCGTACACAGCTAGAATGACTTTCCTTCTAGCACTTGCTATGCTGAGCTGCCTCACTTAGACAGAGGGTGCGGATCGTGCCTTCAAGTTACTTCATGCCCTTCGGTTACTGAATTGAAGGCCAGCTACTGGCTCCTCCAACATGTTTTCAGAATATCTCTCCATCTTGTGGGGAGATCTGTATCTGAATGTTGTAAGGTCTGCAGTACAGCCACATACACCACGTGGTTATCTTTTGGCTGGCCACTGCATGCCTGCAGCTTAGGTGCATACTCACCACACTGTGCTTAAGGAAATGCAAGCTCAGACACAAGGAACATTACACAGGTTCTTGCTACAGCGAAGCACTAAAGCACCCTTCTGGCACACCTGCTGCTAAATACAGCCAAACCTTAAATCAGGCTTGGCTGTGGTAACTTCACCCACATGCCACAATCAAATAAGCCAGGGCCTGGCTCTCTGCATCTCCTGCAGAGATCAGGAGTCGGGTTAGAAGCTGCTCTGCATCAGCTTGTTAACACTTGTGTGGCACGAGTGCCTGGTTCTGACAGCAGGATCAGACCTGTTCTCAGCCAGATGTAGAGACTAGCTCTGCAGGACTGGTGCCGAGATTGCCATTGATTATTTCACCTATCTATTTGGAATGCCTACCATGAGAACAAAGAATACTGAGTGAGTCTCTGCCTTCAGGTAGGTATTTTAAAGCTCATTTTTATAGTATCTATACAATTTTAATGGAGTTACAGTCTTTGGAGAATAGTGATTAAATTGAGCAGACAGCAGTCAAGCCTCTTACAATGAGAGTTAGTAGGCTCCAAACAAACATAATGGTAGAGCCTTTCCAACTATGAGCTATTACAGCCAGTAACTGCAGGATTGTGAATGCCACGTACATACTCGTTCAAACACAATTTGATTTCACATTCTTAATTATAAATAAAGGCTGCTTCAGTGAACAGAAAAAAGGGCCTACCATTCACTGAAACTGTGACATGGTCTTATAAAAAACATTATTCCATCACTGTTAACTCCATCTTGGGACAGTAGCATTCAGAGCACCCTAGTCCTGCCCAAGAGTACCATACACAGCAAGCTACTACAGTTGCAACCCCTGCCCTCAGATTCTGTTGTCTTTCTGACACAGAAATGCTTGTTAAAGGGAGAAATGGTTATCTGTCCATACTTCCCTGAGTGCCTTTATCACTTCATCAGAAGCTAAGACAATCAAATTCCATGCATATACTGTATACGTGTATTTATGCTACAAATTCCATATGCACTAGTGTACCAGTAGGGGGGAAAAGAAAATCCAAGCTTGAATCATATGCTTTTTCAAAACGAGGGGAAAGACTAAATCAATTACCATTTTAAAAGTGTTTTTAGAAGTACCACAGATCACTTATTTCAAACATCTTTTCACCTTAACTGAAACCAGAAGATTCACTCCATGGAAACTACTAGGACATTGGAAAGACGTGGAATTTTGGACTGCCTGCAGTATGACTTTGAATTAATACAGCCCTTTGCTGTTACTTACGGAAGATGTGCATTTACACATTATTGAACTTTATCTCCCACCACTGCATATATTTTGTCAATTAAAAAGATTCTGTGATATTGCCGTTATGAACAAAGTTAGGTATTTCTGTTTTGTCTTGCATATTCCTTTTGTGTTTATCTCGATGAAAAATATTTAAGAAGCTACGGGAAACATCCATGCAGTAGACTTTCAAATAAATTATTTTTCATGTGTTTATTTGTAAATAGCTGTATCCTATAAGATATTCTCTTGCATTTCTGCTCTGGTCAGTCCTGTCAGCCATTTTCGTTTTTGCATATACCCTGATGTAATACTTGCTATTTTAACTGTCTCAGCAAGATGTGCTATTCCCGGCAGTAAGCACTTTTTTTTTTTTCCCTTTCTCTAAAATACTTCAGAAATAATGCAGCACATTAGAATAAAATGTTTTGTTTGAAATTTTAAGAGGCCCAGTGAGCTTTTCTGAAGGTTTTAGAATATTTTTCCTCTAAAAGAAGTTAAGACCATTTCTCCTGCACTGAATTTAATTGTTCCTTGGCTAGCACACAGCCAAAAAAGACTGACTATTTGACGGAGATTTTGTTTTTTTCCCTACAACTAGAAGAGAAAAAGTTGTCCTAAACAGCCATTTCAGTGCAGCAGAGATGGAAAGATACATCTGTATTTTACTGAGATTACTGCTGAGCTCCAGAGTTCCAAAATCATCACTGAAAACATTCAAGACAGTCAGAAGAATCACCTAACAGCCATGAGATCCTCTTCAAAGACTAAATCTGGTATTTGATCATTTTCACACTCCTTTCTAATCTTAATTTGTATGTGACAGCCACAATGACTAACGATTCGATACTTCATGAGAAAACACACACAGTAAGAAAATTGTGTGGTAGAGAGACTGCAGCAAGAATTCTCACATAGCTAAACAAAGTATCAGTCAAGTCTTGACATACCTTCCCTGTCCTAAAAAAACTCAGTTGACTTCAGCATCTGTGCACCATGCCACATCTTGTAATTATGCTTCTCTCATGAAGCTTTAGGGCTCAAGCAATCTCTTTCTCAGTTGTAGATGCTAACTGGGACAAGTAGGCTAACAAATGACCATGAATAAATAGTTCTTTCCAGGAGGCCTGTGCTGTTCAGCAAGTGCACTAGGGACCTGGAACAAGGAGTGAACAGTAAGGAAAGTTTGCAATAGAACTAAGGTATCCAGAGAATCAAGAAGAATGGATATGACTATGAACAACTGCAGAAAGACTCCTTAAGACTGAATGACTGGCAAAAGAATTTCAGCACAGATATAAAGTGATATGTAGGGGAAAAAAAAAAACAAAAAACAAAAAAACACACATCTTAAGTGATGTGCTCTGAGCTGCAAGGGCAAGACTGGCTGTCCTCACTCAAAACCCTGCATAGAAATGGCAAGAGCCACAGTCTTCAGGACTTTGGCTGGCTCTGTGAATTTGGATGGGAGAACAAAATATAAAAATCCCGTTTCGGGGTGGCAGAAAACGCCAATATTTTTTCTACATAAACTTGTGAGATTGTATTTGCATAATTTATAGTGCCAATACATACACAATGAAAGACTTCCTCATTCTCAGACACAGAGAAGAAAAAAGCTGTAAAGCTGCATCGCAGCCTTGGTTATGAGACTTGAAATTTTCTGGGAGCAATTTAAGCTGCCTATCTCCCTTCTCCCCATCCAAGGACAGACCTGTTTTCTTGTACAAGTAGACAGATGACACAACCTGCAGTGGGTCAGCTACAGTCAAAGTAAAGCACACCCTGCTATGGAATCCTGGAACCTGTAATAAGTAATAAAAAGTAAATTTCAAATCAATACCATAGCTTTTCAGCTTACAAACATAAATGAAACGCACTTCTATTTCCTTTCTTGCCAGATAGTTTATATATTAATGCTCACAACATAGCCTTTGGAAAATTCGTATAAAAGAAATCCTTGAATAGTAAAGCTTGATCTGAGCAGAACTCCTATACTCATGCGTTAAAATGAGCCAACCCCTCCTTTCCAGGCTGTTTGGAAATAGCAGCATAATCTGTTTTTTTTTTGTTTTTGTTTTTGTTTTTTTGTTGTTGTTGCTGTTGTTTGTTTGTTTGGTTGGTTTTTTTTTCCTAACAGACACAAGGCACCCTTGGTCTAAAACCCCTCCACAATCAAACGGTGTCTGGCTTGCAGTTAAAATTGGATGGGGTAAGGCACACAATTAATTGAACACCTAATCGTGCCTTTTTGTTGTGCACTCCCCTACTCCTTGGAAGGGATTGTGAAAACATATGACACTGCACTCTGATGTAGGCTTTGTTGGCTATGGCACAAGTTGTGAAGGGCCATTATCGTGCCCTGGAACAGAAGGTGGTTAAGAGGTCCTGGTGACGCACACTGAGACGTTCTGACAGCACTGTAAACCTAGAATTGATACTGGGCCAATAACACATCTACATCAAAACTGAAATACTTTTAAGCTGTTTAGTTTCTTCTGTCTGGCCTAACTTATTTTTGTCTGACTATAATGACATGAAAGCAAATAAATGGATGCTCTAAAAGGTCCACACATGGACCATTTTATCAGCAGAACCCACCAGTTTTAACCTCCTTTCCCCATGATGCACACATGTTGGTGTGAATTGCTACAGTACTTCAGATTATCTCAGGGCCTCAGATTAGACAAAACACTAATCCTGTGGATTTTTTTGTT